TAGATGCTGATAGGGAAACTGACTTTATGCCAAGGATTTTTCACAACTTTGGACTTGATTTCTGATCACCTGGCCTGATTTGACCTTTCCTAAACTGAGCTGAACTGAGCTGAACAAAGCCTGCCAAATATTAGACTACTTTCCAGTTATGGTAGCTTTATTTGGCTCAAAATATTCAACTAATCTTTCCCTAGCAGTTAACATTCACTTTCCAACTCTTGAACTCGATCTGGATCGAGTTTATTTTTGTTTTTGAACCGATTTAACTAGAAGATATCGTCTGAAAACTAAAAAAGACCTAAATCTAAAAAAACTATAAAGATATTCAGTTAAAAGAAAACGAAAATCGAAAAAGATCATTGAGTTAGAGAGGTGAGTGTTTATTTGTAGTTAAAAATAGTAAAAAAGCATTTGAGTAGATGGGTAATCGTTGTCGGTTTTTGAAGAAAATGAGTGAAAAAGGATAAGCAAATAAAAAGCGATAAGTAGTTCGTAGTGGGGTGCAAAAGGAAGATCTAAGTGCACACTCTGTAAGCCTCTTTTTTTGCTTTGTAAGCCTCTTTTTTTGTACCAGAACTTTGTCGCTTTATCTATTTTTTGTTTAGCGGTTGAGGAAAGCTGAAAGCTGAGCAGTTTATTGTTTGCTACGGTTTTATAGATCAATAGTTTTATAGATCTATATATTCTATAGTTTCGTCTATCTATAGTAGGCTGTATTCTACAGTAATCTCAATTCGAATCTTCTTATCCGATTGCTTTGATCTAGTACTACAATGTGGCTCATTATAGTAATCTTCAGCTTAATACGGTAGCCTGAAGACTACTGTAACTATGCCCATCCATTGAAATCAGTCAAAGGATTACTGTAGCTGTATCCAATACTACAGTAACCAGCTACTAATGGATTACTGTAACTGTCTACTCCTACAATACCAGCTGCTAAAGGATTACTGTAGCTGTATCCAATACTACAGTAACCAGCTACTAATGGATTACTGTAGCTGTCTACTACTACAGTAATCAGCTAGAAGGATTACTGTAACTGTCTACTACTACAGTAATCAGCTAGAAGGATTACTGTAGCTGTCTACTACTACAGTAATCAGCTAGAAGGATTACTGTAGCTGTCTACTACTACAGTAATCAGCTAGAAGGATTACTGTAGCTGTCTACCACTGCAGTAACCAGCTACAAAAGGATTACTGTAACTGCCTCCAATACTACAGTAACCCGCTACTAAAGGATTACTGCAACTTTGTTCATTTTATAGATCTCCACATAGATTCTGTCTTACTAGCTGGATATCTTGCGTTACAGTACTATTAACGATACAGCACTTGATACAGTACTATTGAAATTACCTGCTGATACTTTACAGTACCCTTGACTACTGTATATGTTACAGTATTCTTAAAAAGTGATAATCTTATGTAAGAGACTCAATTCTTACCCTTCTTTAGTACTTACTGTGTCTTGAAAAACACTATTTGGTGGGAATAATGAGATCGGATCAAATTGCAAAGAGAGGTTCAAAACAGAAAAGTCGACAGATCAAAAAGCCAACTTTTTGCAGAAAAAAGAGCTGCAAGTGAGCAAACTGGAGAGTCGGAGAAACCACGAGGGATCAGTTGAAGACCATTACTCGAGGAAAGGGGAAAGGGAAAAGACTGAAAGCCGACACAATTTCATCGCTTCTCTTGCGGCTGAAATGTGTACCATTGGAGGGATACCTTCACAATTTCATCGCTAGCAGAGTCAAATCAAACCTGGTCAAGCTAACAAGGGAATGACACCAGCTTGAAGTTTCAATCTTATTGAATCGGCGATGCTGACAGATCAAACCAAATCTAGCCTAGAGCCAAGCAATGCTAAGGCAAGCTAGGAGAACCCAAACTAGATCAGACCAAGAAGCCAAGCCTGGCAACGGCTTGGTAATGCTACTTAACAAGCCTAGCCTATTTGGCAAGTCTAACTGACAAGTATAGCCACTTGGCAAGCCGAGTAGGCTAGGTTAAAGTCAAGCCAGGTAAAGCTAAACAAATCAAAGCTTAAAGTAAATCCAAACAAATTCAAAGGATATCTTTTGAAATTGAGTCAAAACTGTTTTTGAATTAGCATTTCTCTTTGTTTTGATAGAGTGAAAGCGAAGAGGCAAAGTTGAGTAGTATTGAGCTTGTTAGTCAATCAGCCATTCCCAGCCAGCCATTCCCAGCCAGCCATTCCCAGCCAGCCATTCCCAGCCAGCCATTCCCAGCCAGCCATTCCCAGCCAGCCATTCCCAGCCAGCCATTCCCAGCCAGCCATTCCCAGCCAGCCATTCCCAGCCAGCCATTCCCAGCCAGCCATTCCCAGCCAGCCATTCCCAGCCAGCCATTCCCAGCCAGCCATTCCCAGCCAGCCATTCCCAGCCAGCCATTCCCAGCCAGCCATTCCCAGCCAGCCATTCCCAGCCAGCCATTCCCAGCCAGCCATTCCCAGCCAGCCATTCCAAGCAGCCATTCCCAAACAGCCATTCCCAAGCAGCCATTCCCAAGCAGCCATTTTCAACCAGCCATTTTCAACCAGCCGTTCCCAACCAACCATTCCCAATCAGACATTCCCAAGCAGCCATTCCAAGCAGCCATTCCCAAGCAGCCATTCCAAGCAGCCATTCCAAGCAGCCATTCCAAGCCAGCCATTCCCAAGCAGCCATTCCCAAGCAGCCATTCCCAACCAGCCATTGCTACCTCATTAGCTTGATATGGACGTGCTTTGTGTTCCCAAATCCATAGACAAGAGTACAACTTTCATTCAAACCCAAATCCTAAATAGATTCAAATTCTGCTTTATCCCTTGATCTACTTATGTCTAATGTTTGGTCTGCTTTGGTTAGATTCAACTTCCAGCTTTGTGCTTTGGTCTATTGTATCCACAGAAAGTGACCCAAGGAAACCCATTCGATCGCTGACTGTCTCCCCCCTTTTCGCCCAGACTTGCAAAATAAACAAATCCCAATCTTAGCACGCTTCTTTTCTCTCAGCTTTGAGAAGAGTTTTGTTTTTCTTGAGAAAAGAGCTGCAAGTTGCAAGAATTTTGCAAAACTGGTGGTGGAGAATTTGCAAGACGGACGATCAAATGTCGTTAGAGTCTTGCAAGTACGAAGTTTTGAATACTTTTGAATAATTTGGATTTCTTTTTGTAGTAACTGAGAGAATTGATTGTTCTGATGGCTTTTAAATCATCTTCTTTATCAAATTTTCAATCTCAGATTTGTTAGATTTTTTAGATTTTCTTTAACAAATTTTCAAATCACTTTGAAATCGAATTTCTTGAGATTTCTTGAGATTTCTCTGTATTTCTGTAATTTGTTTTTGCAAAATGGTGTTTTTTCTTCTATTTCTATTTCTATTTCTATTTTTATTTCTATTTTTATTTCTATTTCTATTTTTATTTCTATTTCTATTGGGTTGTCGAGTTATGAATGCGCGTTTTTTACTATTTTGTAAATTTCTCAAGATATCGAAATCAAGAAAAAGATATATATTATTCGAAAGCTGAAATTCTCCTCTACATTTTGATATAAAAAGTTTTTGAATTTGTTCACCTTTTGGGCAAATTGATGGCACAGAAGAAGAGGTGGCCAAAAAATGGAAGGGTGCCTTTGGATCAAGTTTTGGCTCCGCTCAAATTGGGTTAACCGTTTGATGTTTGGCCAAGATATCGAACAGATGTATTTGTGTGTTATATAACATTCGAAAGCTGAAGATCTCCTCTACATTTTGGAATAAAAATGTTTTTGAATTCATTCAACTTTTTTGGGCAATTGACTGCACAAAGGGAGAGGTCGTTTTCGAAAAAAAAACCCATTCCAGCTTGGCTATTCCTCAAGTTTTATGGTGTAAAATAACCGCCCAGAAAAGAAAAGAAAAGATGCTCTGAAATGGTTATATTTTTAAAAAAGTTGTATTGATATATCTATCGTAGCCGATGAAGGATTTCAGCCGAAGAAGTCTCAAAAATGAAATCTTGAGTTATGTATTGACTCAAGTCAATACGACAAACTCAAGCTCTCTAAAAGGCGCTTAAAAGCTAAAAATGCATTCTAAAGAGTGCGCATTTTATCATACTATAACCAAAGGCTATAAAAGGGTCCTTTTCGTCATTCGTCAAAGGCACGGATTTAATCGATCTTCAATCCGTTTCCGATGGAGAATTCAAGTTTTTGATGGTCTACCAGGATCATTTCACAAAGTTCGTCGTTTTGCGCGCATTGCAAAGGGAAACACAATTTGAAGTTGTCGATCATCTAATGGAAATATTCGGAACGTTTGGAGCCCCAAAAACTCTTTAGTCCGACTAACGGAAAGGAGTTCGCCAACAGATTGGTAAGCTTTTACTTTTGTGTCCTATCGAATTTCTTAATGACGCTTTATTTTGTTTGCTTTTAGGTCAAAGAACTCGTGAACCGGTGGTATTATTGTTTATTTTTGTTGTTTAGTTTGGTCGAAAAATGCAACTTGCAATGAAAAATGCAAAATGCAACTGCAACTAGAATGCGTTTTTAGCTTTTAAGCGCCTTTTAGAGAGCTTGAGTTTGTGGTATTGAATTGAGTCAATACATAACTCAAGATTTCATTTTTGAGACTTCATCGGCTAGCCGAAGAAGTCTGAGACTTCTTTGGCTGAAATCCTTCATCGGCTACGACATATCTATTGGCCAAACATCAAACGGTTAACTTAATTTGAGCGGAGCCAAAACTTGATCCAAAGGCACCCTTCCATTTTTTTGGCCACCTCTTCTTCTGTGCAGTCAATTTGCCCAAAAGCTGAACAAATTCAAAAACTTTTTATATCAAAATGTAGAGGAGATCTTCAGCTTTCGAATGATATATAACACTCATATAAATCTGTTCGATATCTTGAGAAATTTACAAAATAGTAAAAACGACAACCCAATATTTCTATTCAATAACTTTCAGAAAATTCAGTTCAACATCCATTTAAGTGTGAAGGACTATCGGATGTCCATTTCCTCTACGAGTAAACAAAGTTCATTGGAGAATTGTGGTAAAAAAAAAGCTGAATTTAAGGAGAATTCAATGAATTTAAGAAAAATTCAATGGATTTGAGGAAGATTCAATGAATTTAAGAAAAATTCAATGAATTTAGATGATATTTGTCTTGTTTGCAATGATCAATCTTCTGGATATCATTATGGGATTCCATCGTGTAATGGATGGTGATTAGAAAGCGAGATTCTTTCCCCCACTTATCAAAATCTTCTAGCAAGACTTTCTTTCGGCGTGCCATCGTCCAAAATCTCACGTTCATTTGTCAGCTTGGTGGAAAGTGTTCGGTGGATAAAAGTGACACTTTTCTTCTGTAAATCGTTTGTAAATCGTGAAATTTAGCTGTTCGTTGTGCTTGTCGATTTTGTCGCTTGAAGAAGTGTATAGACATGGGAATGGATAAAAATGGTTGATTTTCTGACTGGATTCTTTTGAGAACTCCAGTCTTTTGACTGGATTCTTTTTTTTATCGCTATTCAGCTATTCAAAACAATCGCGAGCCTATTGGATACACGAAACGATCAAGAAAGAAGAAGCTGAGCTTTGCACAAGATGATCAACAACCAAGTACATCGAAAGAGGTAAGTGATAGACAAACGATAGACAAACGATCGAAAATCGAAAAGGAATTAAAGCAAGAAAAGGAATTAAAGCAAGAAATCGAATTAAATCAACTTTTCTAGACTCTATCTCCATTAGATTCTCCGGAGACTTTCCCCGAATTAGATCGCTTGGTCACCATTGAGAAGCGGCTACAAAAACTACGGGTAAATGAACTCTAGCTTGTCTTACTCTTAAGAAATTGTTTTCTAAAAAGTATGAAAGGAAAAAACTACCATAACTTGAAAGGATTACTGTATTGTGAACAACTAAAAAACAAAGGGATTATGGTATCTTTTCTAAGGATTATTGCACTTTATAGAGTTTCCTTACTTGCTTTCTAAAAAGTGGATTATGATAATAAATGGATTACGGTAGTTCTAACGATTATGGTAGCTTTAAAGAACGGATTACGGTAGCTCTAATGAACGGATTACGATAGCTCTAGAGATTACGGTAGCTCTAACGATTATGATAGCTCTAACGAATGGGTTACGGTAACTCTAAAGGTTACGATAGCTCTAATGAACAGATTACAATAGCTCTAACGAACGGATTACAGTAGTTCTAGAGATTACGGTGGCTCTAGGCGATTGCGGTAGCTCTAAAGATTACGATAGCTCTAATGAACGGATTACGGCAGCTCTAAAGGTTACTCTAGCTCTAATGAACGGATTACGATAGCTCTAACGATTATGGTAGCTCTAAAGGTTACGATAGCTCTAATGAACGGATTACGGTAGCTCTAAAGGTTACGATAGCTCTAACAATTACGATAGCTCTAAAGAACGGATTACACTAGCTCGTCACTTTTTCGAATACTCAATCAAGAAGACTAAAGCCCGGCTCTCACTTTTGAAAGTTTTCCTTTAGATTGGGATATTGAATGTTCCAACTGAACTTGAAACAGCTCTCCTCTCAGAAAGACTTCTAGAAAATGAGGGATTCATCGAGAAAAATGGAAGAGAGGTTTTAAAAAGAGTTTCACTAAATCAATGCATCATTTCTAGTTTAAGTCCCCGTTTTTCCAAAGATATTTTACTGAAGAAGATGCATCATTTTGGATTGATCGAGATGCGACATTGATGCTCGAATGGATAAAGTGTTTGCTGGGTGGGCAAGAGCTCGATGTAGAGGATTTGGTGGGTGAAGGAAAAATGGAAATCTTTAGAACTCAAGGGTTATAAGATCAAGATTGAAGTTATTCTTTCTTTACGATCTTTTTAAGCCTTTTAAGCCTCCTTTTAAGCCTTTTAAGCCTCTTTTTAAGCCTTTTAAGTCTCTCTTTAAGCCTTTTAAACCTCTCTCTAAGCCTTTCAAGCCTTTTAAGCCTCTTTTTAAGCCCTTTAAGCCTCTTTTTAAGCCTTTTAAGCCTCTTTTTAAGCCTTTTAAGGCTCTCTTTAAGCCTTTTAAGCCTCTCTTTAAGCCTTTTAAGGCTCTCTTTAAGCCTTTTAAGCCTCTCTTTAAGCCTTTTAAGCCTCTCTTTAAGCCTTTTAAGGCTCTCTTTAAGCCTTTTAAGCCTCTCTTTAAGCCTTTTAAGCCTCTCTTTAAGCCTTTTAAGCCTTTTAAGCCTCTTTTTAAGCCCTTTAAGCCTCTTTTTAAGCCATTTAAGTCTCTTTCTAAGCCTTTTAAAAATGAGATCACTGTTGATTTTGGTTTTCAAATTTAGCAGTTACTAACATTAAAGAAATCCTAATCTATTTCTGTAAGTCAGCCAAATTTTAACCTATTTCTGTAAGCGGATGAAGCTAGCTGTAAGCTAGACTGAACTAGTCTAGTTCTAGGCTCAACTAGAGCTCAACTAGAGCTCAACTAGGCTCAACTAGAGCTCAAATAGGCTCAACTAGAGCTTTAGTAAGCTTAGAGTAAAGTAAAGCAGATCAGAATCTTGCTTTAGACTTGCTTCTGATCTTGCTTTATATGACCAGAATTTTACTTATAAAATAAGAGTTTAAAATGAAGATCTTAGACTCAAATCATCTACTCATCTTCCATTAATTTGCTTGTTCTTTTATGGACTTATTACTCAAAGGATACAAAAGAAGATCGAATCGTTTTCCCGAATGGAGCTTGGTTTGATACTGGACAGAAACAAGTAAAGAGCTCTGTTTAGCGTTTACGAAAACGTGAAATAAAGCATTTAATTTTATAGGAAACATCTCTATTCGTCTCTGAGCGTTCTCAATTGATCAATGGAATTCTCAAAGACATTCGAAAATTAGAGTTTGATGAAGTGGAAATGGTGGCTTTTCGAGCATTGTTAGCGTTGAACTCGAGTGAGTTGATGGAATTGAAGTTTTGAATTAAATAAACCAACTTTGAATACAAAGTCTAGCTCTGATCTGATCTAGAGGCTAGATTTGAGTAGATTCTGTGTCTCTTGATCCTGATTAGCATTACTCAATGGGCGTTTACGTGCAAGCTGCGTCCAAAAGAGTCAAGTCAGTTGTGTCGAGTCAAAGCCATAGCCTGATCTGATCTAGAAGTCAAAGCCAAAGCCTGGTCTGGTCTGGTCTAGAGGTCAAAGCCATAGCCATAGCCTAATCTGATCTAGAGGTCAAAGCCATAGCCTGATCTGATCTAGAAGTCAAAGCCAAAGCCTGGTCTGATCTAGAGTCTAGATTTCAATAGATTCTGTGTCTTTTGATTCTGATTAGCATTACTGAATGGGTATTTACGTCCAATCTACGTCCAAAAGAGTCAGTTGTGTCGAGTCAAAGCCATAGCCTGTTTCAACTTGACTCAACCTTAATCAGGTTTTGGTTTCGACCCGGTTATAGCTTGAAATCTTTCAGAATCCAGCTTTTTTCAAACGACTAAACTCATTTTAGACATTGAAGAACTGACATCGAAAGGACGAGAAATTATCGAGAAGAATCGGTCCTCGATTGCCCTTTCAATTCATCAATATTTAGAGCAGAAAATGGGCGGATTTCTTGAGGCTGATGAAAGGTTTGCTCATTTAAAATTGCAAATCGCAAATCATAAATTCAAGACAATGGTTTTCATCTTACATTAGTCTAAATTTTAACAATGACAAGGCGATATAGAGCTAAGTATCCCTCAAAACGAATATCATTCAAAACTTTGCATAAACTGGAAAACTTGCCTGCATTCGAATGATTAGTCGCAGCGCTTTGTAGTGCTCGGTTTTCGTTCCCTATATTTCATTCTGCCATAACCTTAAGATAAGATAGGTACTGATCAATGAAGAACGACCGATTTTTCTAGCAATTCCTTGATAGCTGTCTCTAGCTTGATTTATCGCTTCAATTATTATCGGAAAGTTTCTTCCTTTTGCCATCTTTATTTGGCATTTTCTTTATCGAGATTTAATTTTAAGATAGGTACTGATCAATATTGAAGATTAATACTGATAAAGATTTCTAAAGACTTCTAAAGACTTCTAAAGACTTCTAAAGACTTCTAAAGACTTCTAAAGACTTCTAAAGATTACTAAAGACTTCTAAAGATTTCTAAAGATTACTAAAGATTTCTAAAGACTTCTAAAAACTTCTAAAAACTTCTAAAGACTTCTAAAGATTACTAAAGATTTCTAAAGACTTCTAAAGACTTCTAAAGATTACTAAAGATTTCTAAAGATTACTAAAGACTTCTAAAAACTTCTAAAAACTTCTAAAGACTTCTAAAAACTTCTAAAAACTTCTAAAGACTTCTAAAGACTTCTAAAGACTTCTAAAGACTTCTAAAGATTTCTAAAGTCTTCTAAAGTCTTCTAAAGACTTCTAAAAACTTCTAAAGACTTCTAAAGACTTCTAAAGACTATTTAAAATATGAAATTTGATGAGATATGATTTTTCTTAAAAGGTTATTGAAAAATGAGGTGATGTCTAGCAGTGTACAAATGATGTCCAGCAGTTTACTTGTACCGATAGTCTTTGCGGTTTTCAGATTTGGATCCCTTCTTCTCGTTGGGCCAAGGTTAGCAAATGTTGAGCCAGAATTTCGCGATGCTGCCTTTGCTATCGACTTTTTTGATAAGGTACTACTCAAGAAAACATATACCGTATTTTCTCTAATAGTAGTGCACCCTGAGCGTCGCCTAAATTCCTCGAAATCTCGAGAACCGCTTATCAGAACCTATCGATGTGGGGTCGGAAAATGTAGCTGACAATGAGATCTTGAAGCTGATTTGAGTGTTGTGCTTCTGGGAAGACCTAGAAACTGTAAAATAGTCACCAACTCGGCTCTCCTAGATGCACTACTATTAGAGAAAATACGGTAAATACAATCATACACTCGTTTATGTATAGAATTCAATCTAGAACTTTTCTTCAATAATCTATTAGGTTGATGCAAAAGTCTTTTTCATTTTTTTCGTACTTCCGTTAAAAAGTAACAAATGCACCAATTGAACAACGGTTTATTGCATTCGAAAGGCGAATTATTTTTCTGCAAAATGACATTAAAACGAGTTTAAAATGTCTTATGTCTAGATTTTTTTGAGAGCCTGAAGTCGGGTAGTCAAAAAAGGCGACGGCTCGATGATGCATTTTAGACGCTTTAGCTAAGGAAACCAATCTTGATGTTAATAAATAAAAGATAGAGCACAAAAAGTTAGATATTTTTTCAGATTTTCAGAGAAATTGATTCAGCCAATTTCTTTATAGAGGTTTTTATCGATTTTTATGAAAAACCCGTTTTCACTCTCGAATTTGCTTGAAAGTGAACCCAAATTGACTTAAAAAGATGGGAAATTCAACAATAAACACTTTTCATTTAGAGCAAACCATAGGTTAATTGATGACTTTGTTATTTTTCAAAAGAAGTACGAAAAAAATGAAAAAGACTTTTGCATCAACCTAATACAAGAGCTTTAAACTTGTTGTAGTGGTGAAATTGAGTCTCAATCAATCAAAACACTCAATCAAAACGGAAAGTTTTTTTGTTGTCTTTGTCGTTGTCAAATCATCAATTTTTATATTGGCATAAAGCAAAAAGCTAACGACACTCGAGATTAGAGTGTGCTCTTCGTCAGTAATGCGTTTTTTAAAACGCAAACTTGAGAAAAATTACCGTACTTTTAGCAAAAAAAAGGCAAAAAAATAGCGCCAAAAAATGGCGCAAAAAAATGGCGCAAAAATCACGAGCGCCGCCTTATATACGACTCCTTTTAAAGATATTCCGCCCCTTAAAGGAAGGAGATGAAGGAGATGCACCAAGCAAACGAATGAACCATTCAATTGTTTTATCGAAAATGCCATTGAACTAGACTTGTTTTTTGAATTCCATTGAAATTCCATTGAACTAGACTTGTCACTTGTCCTAGGCTTATTTCTTGTTCTAGACTTCAAGACTAGACTAGACTTTTTCTAGACAAGCCTAGACTAGACTTGTTCTAGACAAGACTAGACTAGACTTGTTCTAGACAAGACTAGACTAGACTTGTTCTAGACAAGACTAGACTAGACTTTTTCTAGACAAGCCTAGACTAGACTTGTTCTAGACAAGACTAGACTAGACTTGTTCTAGACAAGACTAGACTAGACTTGTTCTAGACAAAACTAGACTAGACTTGTTCTAGACAAGACTAGACTAGACTTGTTCTAGACAAGACTAGACTAGACTTGTTCTAGACAAGACTAGACTAGACTTTTTCTAGACAAGCCTAGACTAGACTTGTTCTAGACAAGACTAGACTAGACTTGTTCTAGACAAGACTAGACTAGACTTGTTCTAGACAAGACTAGACTAGACTTTTTCTAGACAAGCCTAGACTAGACTTGTTCTAGACAAGACTAGACTAGACTTGTTCTAGACTTCAAGACTAGACTAGACTTGTTCTAGACAAGCCTAGACTAGACTTGTTCTAGACAAGACTAGACTAGACTTGTTAAATAGAAATAAAATAGAAATAAAATAGAAATGTCGTAGCCGATTATGAATGAGTGGGTCCGGACGCGTCCAACCATCAAGTATCTGGTATCATTCAACGCAGAATCATTAATAATCATGTAAATTTTTTAAATTAGAAAGTTTGGATAATAAGAAAAAAAAATTATGGGGCTTCAAAGTTTTCTCTTGAAAAAACAGTTTTTTGCTCTAATTTTTTTTCTTTTTATCAAATCTTGCTAATTTCAAAAAGTTAACATAATTATCAATGATTCTGCGTTGAATGATACCAAATACTTGATGGTTGGACGCGTCCGGACCCACTCATTCATAATCGGCCGAAATTCATAATCGGCTACGGGGGTCCCGCCGTAGATTTTGAATGAAACGTTGTAGCGCCGGCAATTTTTAACCTAAACTCACAAATTTGGTACCAATCGACGCAGAATTTAATTCGCTACACAATGATATAATATTGTCCTCATAGATTAAAGGGTTGCTCTACTAGAAAGATTTGCCAAAAAATTTCATTCATAATCGGCTACGACAGATATAAAATAGAAATAAAATAGAAATAAATAAAAATTATTAAATGTTAAATAGCTAAATATTTTATGTATCAATTATTTAACGCCTTTCTCTTTTGATTTGAAATGAAAATTTGATGTAGATTCTAATAAATAAAACCGAAAGTTGATTCAGCTTCTACATTTTGAGTTATAGAAGTTTCGAGTAGATGCACCCTTTAAATCAAGTAGTCTCACTTTGAACAAAGTTTTCTCCTTGTTTATATACTAAGGTGTAGTAAGTTAGTTGTGGTTTTCTATAACGAAATTTCATAAGGAACATTTTAAGACCAACCACAAGTTGATCGGTCAATTGCAAGTTGAGATATGGAGGCAAAGAGGAGAGTCGTCGAACTCCGATTCTCTGAAGGGGGTCAGAGAAATCTCTGAGGGGGGACTTATCTCAAGTTTAAGTCTCCGGTAATTCCTTTTCAATCCCACATCAATTTTTGTCGATTAGATGTCGAATATGTTTAAGAAAATTCTAAGGCATCTTTTTAATAATAAACTTTGAATAGATTAAGTATCTTTAATAGATTATCACAAATTGTTTCAGGTCAAACTCTCCTCATTCACTCGTCAATTACTATTTCGCTCAAATCCACGTCAATCAACGCAACCAAGCTATTCAGGAAACGATCCAGAGAGCTACTTTTTAACAGGAAAAAAAGAGAAATCCCAATTTTAAACGTCATTAGAAGAAATTTTCAAATCATATCTAGAATTTTGGGTTCTTTAAGCCTAGCCCAACCAAGGCAGAAGTCAGCTCTAAACCTAGTTTTTCCGTTCACTTCATTTTATGTTAAACTTCTTTATCAAAGGGTACTTTGTGCTTTTGTGCTTAAAAAAAAGAAACGAAACACAGACGATGAGTTCAGCATGAAGAAAAGTGTTTCTTTTTTTAAGCACAAAAGCACAAAGTACCCTTTGATAAAGATGTTTAGCATAAAATGAAGTGAACGGAAAAACTAGGTTTAGAGCTGACTTCTGCCTTGGTTGGGCTAGGCTTCGTTTCGTTTCTTTTTTTAAACAATTTCATCAAATTTTTCAGTGTTATTTTCTTGAAATGATGCCTAAATAGGAAACGATTTTCAGTCAATACTTTAAAAGGTGCTCATTGAACGCGCCAAGTCTCTCTCTGTCGTTTGGGATAAAAACTATTTAAATTGGACAGTCCAACGCCGAGAAATTTGAGCTCAAAGTTGCCAATGGGAAAAGGGGCGGGGCGTGTATAAAAGGTCCGCCGCCCCGCCCTTTTGCCAATGACAGGCTAACTTTGAGCTCAAACAGCTTGGTGTTGAGCTGTCCAATTGAAATAATTTTTGTATAAATCGATAGAGAAAGACTTGGCGCATTTAATGATATCAAAAATATTGAAATTGGATAGCCCAACGCCGAGATATTTGAGCTCAAAGTTGCCAATGGGAAAAGGGGCGGGGCGTGTATAAAAGGTCCGTCCACTTTCCCATTGGCAGGCTAACTTTGAGCTCATATATCTCGGTGTTGGGCTGTCCAATTTCAATATTTTTGATACCATTCGAGGCGCCAAGACCTTTGCGAATGAGAAAAGGGGCGGGGCGTGTATAAAAGGTCAACCCTGCCCCTTTCCCATTGGTAGGCTAACTTTAAGCTCAAATATCTCGGTGTTGGGCTATCCGATTTCAAGATTCTTGGTATCATTAGATGCGCCAAGACTTTCTCTGTCGATTAGTACAAAAATTATTTCAATTGGACAGCTCGACACCAAGAAATTTGAGTAAGAAAAAAAAACGATGTTTAAAAGCTTCAAACTGGTCCTTCGAACTATTCTAGCATTAAATAATAACTTCAATTTATAACAGAAGTCAATAAATTTACTCTCTAAACCTTCAAATGAGTCAATTCCAAATGAAAAGTTCAAAAAAAAATGCGTCTGTGATTTTTTTGTTTTGTTTTCCCTCTTTTTCGGATCTCATTCGTGCTTTTGCCCTTTTTTTTTTCTTTTCTCTTTTCCCAATTGTCCTTTTCCTCTTTTCCCTCTTTTTCCTCTTTTTCCCCTTCTTTTTCGATGTTGTTTACGATGTGATATTTTGAAATTTTCTTCTCACAACAACATTCAGAAAATAAAACAAATCTTCAAATTCTCAAATGATTGAGCCGAAATTTGCATTTAAAGGGCATCGAAATTTGCATTTCTGCCCAGATTCCACGAAATTGGAAATTCCACGAAAATCTTCAATTTCTTATCATTCTTTTTTCCAATTCACTATGTGGTTACGAGTGAGCGATGAAGATTTACCTGATCAGGTGAGGATTTGCTTTGTTTTTTTGGATAATCTATCGTAACCCAGCAAAATTCTTGTAGTCTAGCAAACTTTGGAACGTTTGAATAGTCTAAAAGCTTCAGTTTAACATCTAAATAGTCTAAAAACTCCAATTTAACGTCTAAATAGTCTAAAAGTTTTAATTTAACGTCTAAATTATCTAAAAACTTCAATTTAACCTCTAAATAGTCTAAAAGCTTAAATTTAACGTCTAAATTATCTAAAAGCTTCAATTCAACATCTAAATAGTCTAAAAGCTTCAATTTAACCTCTAAATATTCTAAAAACTTCAATTTAACGTCTAAATAGTCTAAAAGTTTCAATTTAACATCTAAATAGTCTAAAAGTTTTAATTTAACGTCTAAATTATCTAAAAACTTCAATTTAACCTCTAAATAGTCTAAAAGCTTAAATTTAACGTCTAAATTATCTAAAAGCTTCAATTCAACATCTAAATAGTCTAAAAGCTTCAATTTAACCTCTAAATATTCTAAAAACTTCAATTTAACGTCTAAATAGTCTAAAAGTTTCAATTTAACATCTAAATAGTCTAAAAGTTTTAATTTAACGTCTAAATTATCTAAAAACTTCAATTTAACCTCTAAATAGTCTAAAAGTTTAAATTTAACCTCTAAATATTCTAAAAACTTCAATTTAACCTCTAAATATTCTAAAAACTTCAATTTAACGTCTAAATAGTCTAAAAGTTTCAATTTAACATCTAAATTATCTAAAAGTTTTAATTTAACTTCAATTTAACATCTAAATAGTCAAAAAATTGCCATCTAAAAAACTCCTTTTTATCATTTCCACTAGCCAATGAATATTCAACTAAAAACAATTGAATTCCTTCATTTATTTTAAGAAATTCTTTATATTTAATCTTTTTAGCTCTCATTTCCTTTCAAATTCAATTCCTAACATCTAAAAAATTGCTTTTTTTAAATAAATTTTCAAATTCTTATAGAAAATTATCGCATTTTATTGAAAAATTTGACTCTTAGGTAGTTTCTGGGGATTTTCAGCGAATCGTCACACTTTAAAAGCTTATAACTTTATCCAGAGATTAGATTTTTGTTAACCTTTTAAATAATTGTGTAGAAGATGTTTGAGACTTTCAAATGATACCAAATAGAGCTTGTTTTTAAAATCAAATCGAAGAAAATCAGAGCCAACTCTGAGCAAATGAGCCCTATCCAACTCGGGTGTCATTTCGTCTGGTTTGCATGGGAATGAAAGATCTAAACAAGCTCTATTTGGTATCATTTGAAAGCCTGAAATATCCTCTATGCAATGATATAAAAAGTTAACAAAAATATAATCTCTAGACAAAGTTATAGGCCTTCAAAGTGTGACGACCCGTTCAAAATACCCGGGTTTTTCCAAAATACCCGGAAACTACGTAAGAGCCAAAGGTTTTCATTTTTTTCATTTAATTTTTTTTCAGCAGCCACTTTGTGTACGCAATGGTACGATTTGCACAAAAATTAAGGCAAGTTTTTTGGGAAATTGACTCGAGATTTACTAGAGAACTTGAACTAGACGCTTTGGTATACTTTGTGCTAAAAGAATACCTAAACACAATCTCTCTCGTACACTAGAACCCCGTTTCTCTAGGAAATTTCCACAATTTCCACAAGAATAAGGCTCCAGAAAGGGTGTGCTTAGGGATTTTTGGGCACAAGGTACATGAAACTTCTTTGAGCGATGGATCAGTCATACTTTGTGCTCCCTAACACCTTTTGAATCATGAAATTGAATCATTTAAATCTGGCAAGCTTTTTAAAATCGTTTTTTTTTCTAGAAAATAAAGTAAATTAGTAAATTTTGATGCACCAGAGAGCTTATCTCTCCATTTTTGAGCACTAGGTGCAGCAGAAAGCAGCCACCGTATTTATTTTAATAAACGCTGCCCCCCTCGACCAACTTTAGACGCCTCGTTCTCAGTTCCATTTTGAAAATTTTTAAGTTTAATAAGCCAAAAGATAGCCCTTATTGTTTTCTATCTTTTGGTATATTAAACATAAAAATATCTCAAAATGGGGTTGAGAACGAGGCGTCTGAAGTTGTTCGAGGTCGAGGGTTGACCGGATCGGTCAATTTTAGACGCCTCGTTCTCAGCCCCATTTTATGATATTTTTATATTTAATAAACCAAAAGATAGAAAACCTCAAGGGCTATCTTTTAGTATGATATACATAAAAATATCTCAAAATGGGGCTGAGAACGAGGCCTCTGAAGTTGGTCGAGGGACGGGGGCGGCTTTTATTAGAATAAATACGGTAAGCCTGCATTTAAACTGAAAATAAAAGCGAACTACGTTAGGAAATCGTTTTTTTAAACAAATCTAGTCATTTATCATAATCTTTACCTCAATTTTTGCAGTTGCTTCTCTTTCAAATCGGCTGGTGGCGTCGTGAGGAGACTCGTTTAGCGCTTCTCACCACCGACGGGCATCTCCTCGTTTACAAGTACCATCTACACGTCGTCGGTGCCGGGTCAATTCCATCTTGAGCTTGCGCCTTCAAAAAACAACTTTAACAATAAGCAATAAGCAATATCGATAGCAATATCGATAGTCTTTATGCTAAAATAATTGGCAAAATGTTTAGAGTAGCAAAATTTTCGCGTCAACTCCAATTTTCTATACGAATTGGCCAACTTCTACACTTGTTTTGAGCTTCTTTTTGCCTTCTAGTTGCCTTCTAGTGTTTCGTATTTAGTATCTTAACGTATCCTTATCACTTTTAAGTTGATTCTCTTATTTTAGAGTTCCTTTTTGGGGAAAGCGGATCGATTTGAATGCGGCGCGGCGAGTCGAGGTCTCTATGGGGAAAAACGATCGAATTCACGCGCATCTTGTTGACAAAAATGGACGATGGGTGAGGGAAATTTTGTATTTTTGATCATTTTAAGCATTCGATTTGGTTTTATTAGGTTGGCAACTTAATAATGACGCGTTTATGTAACAAATCATTTATTTTTAAAAAACACAAAAGAAGAGCTTTCAATTCGAAAGGTATTCTCCAGTAGTATCTATGACTTCTTCCCATCTTCTGCGCAAATCCCGGATCCCATCCTCGAAGAACTTGGGAGTTTTTGAGGCGAAGTAGTCATTCACTGCTTTTATGACCTCAGCATGATCATCGAACTTTTCTCCCTCTAAAAAGTGCTTCAGCGACCGAAACAAAAAGTAATCTGAAGGAGCCAGATCAGGTGAATAAAGCGCGTGGGGCAAAACTTTCCAGCCAAGTTCCTCGATTTTCTTATAAGTGATCTTTGCAGTGTGTGGTTTTGCGTTGTCGTGTAAAAATCTGACTCTCCCCGGTTTGAGCCCCAATTTCTTCAAAGACTCGTTAACTCTCATTAATTGCTTCGAATAAAGATCAGCATCGACGGTTTGGCCAGGTTTCAGCACTTCATAATGCACGAATCCCTTGAAGTTCCACCAGCAACAGAGCATTATCTTCTTCCCATCGATATTCGATTTGGGAGTGGTTTGCGGGGTCTGCCCAGTAGATAGCCATTGATTTTTGCGTTTAACGTTCTCGTAGCTGATCCACGTTTCGTCAGAAGTCAAAACCCTGTGAAAAAAGTCGTTTGATTTACATTTTTGTAGCAAAATTGAGGGGGCATTGACACGGGCCATTTTGTTGCTTTGGGTTAGTTCGTGAGGAACCCATTTTCCAACTCGATTCTTTTTCCCAAGTTTGTGTAAATAGTTTTCGATTGTCGTATGGGATACTTCAAATATTTCTGCCAACTCACGAACGGTGAGTGTTGGGCAAACTTCAATTAAGGCGAGCAAGTCATCGTCGACCACTTCTGGAGGATGTCCTTGGTGTGGCTCGTCTACGAGGCTTTCATCGCCGCCTTGGAATCTTTGAAACCATCGTTGACATTGCCGAATGTGTATACTTTCCTCTCCAAAAACAGTGATGATCGTGCGATGAGATTCAGCTGGTGATTTTCCTTGTTTAAAATCGTAGAACAATGCAGCTCGAATACGGAATTTTTTGTTCTCCATTTTTTTGGAGCACTAAATGTTATTTATGCAGACATCTTTTACTTTGTATTTATGCAAAAAAAGAGGGAAGAAACGGCGCTTGAAATTACAAAAAACATGTTAAGTAGTGACGCGTCATTATTAAGTTGCCAACCTAATACTTCTTAAAAGTTGTTTAATTGTAGAGAATTGTAGAGAATTGTAGAGAATTATAAGTTCAAGTGATCTTTCTGTCACACTTATGATCAGTTGTGATTGAAATTGTCTTGATTGAATTTGATGTTTTCACTGAATTTTGTCTAATGTAGTGATAGAAATCAGTTAAATTTTTGATTTTTGAGTGCTTAACAAGGGCAGGGCAGCTGACTGAGTCGGCCAAATGACATGCAATCTGTACCATTTGATGCAGAATTCTACGCTGATTTCGAATCTGCTTTCCGTTTTTCGTGAACATTATTCTGGCAGGAGTTATAAGCGTTTAAAGTTTGTTAGGACTTTAGTTTTGTTAGGACTTTAAAAATATGGGTTTTTGGGTCTTAGGCACTTTCTGTGCGGCCTCGATTCTTGCAGGCCGTAGACGAGCGGTAGAGCTTGTGTTTGAGACCAAAGATCTCTGGTTTGCTGTTTTCGTATTCGGAAATGAACCAGCTTCCGAGATCACAATTTAATCAAACATTCAGTGCCATCTGGACACAATTTAATAATCAAAACCTACTAGAATCGAGGCCGCACAGAAATCGACCGCACGGAAAGCGCCTAAGACTCAAAAACCCATTTTTAGAGTCCTAACAAAACTAAAGTCCTAGCAAAACTAAAGTCCTAGCAAAACTAAAGTCCAAACAAACTTTAAACGCTTATAACTCCTGCCAGAATAATGTTCAGCAAAAACAGAAACCAGATTCGAAATGAGCGTGTAATTCTGCGTTAAATGGTACAAATTGCATGTCATTTGACCGACTCAGTCAGCTGTCCTTCCCTTGTAAGGATAACTTTTACCCGTTTCAGCTCACTTTTACCCGTTTCAGCTCACTTTTACCCGTTTCAGCTCACTTTTACCCGTTTCAGCTCACTTTCACAATCGAGGGCGAGAACGCGAAAGTGTGGGCGGCCAAGTTATTTCTCTTCACCGGTGTGAATTTTTGGATTTTCAAAACTAGAATTTCAAAACTAGAATTTCAAAGCTAGAATTTCAAAAATTAAGATTTCAATTAGAAACTTGAAGCTCAAATAGTTCTTTTAGCTTTGTACTTAGCTCAAATAGTGCTTTTCTTTTTTTCAGTGATCCCGACTTTAGTTTAGTTTTAGTGAACAGCGAGAAATGTACGGACAATCATCCCACACACGACGCGTTTTGCTGTGAGCGAACGAAGATGGAGTAAGTGATCGGACTTTTCGAATCTCTATAAAGCATCTCAGTTACCGTAATCAGTAGTTTCTTTTAGAAATTCTAAAATAACTATAGATTACCTTTGCTTTTACACTTTTTTTACTTTCAGTCACCACGAATCGCTCGCTTTCGTCACTAAGGGAAATATGGTATTTAAACAAGAGCCGCTGAAGAAGTTAGTATTTTTTTTTGATTACTGTAAAAGATAACTTTAGTTTAAAGCTTTACTGTAGAAAAGTTAGCTGCCTAGAAAAGTTATAGTGGAAATGGAATTTATGTCTATTTATGGAAAGATTACGGTAGCTTTAGACAACCGGCTATCATTGTTTTAGTCATAGATTTGAACTTATTGAATCAATTTAAAAACGAGCTACTGTAGCTATAGCCAGTAGGGTTACGGTAGCCTTAGACAATTGGTTAGCATAGGTTTAAATGGTTAAAGGATTACTGTAGCTATAGCCAGGGCTACGGTAGATTTGTTTAGTCAGTGGGGTTATGGTACTTCTAGATTAGGATGGGGACGAGATGGATGAGATTAGGATTCGATTAGGATGGGGTTACTGTAGATCTAGACAACGGGGTTACGGTAGATTTAGCAGAATAGCTACGGTACAGTACTCTCGCCAGCAGACGGTACTTTTACCTAGTTAGAAGGGTTACGGTAGCTCGTTTTCTAGAGTTACTAGCTCGGTAGCCTCGTTCTTTAGAGTTACTAGGGTTACTGTAAATCCAGTCAGATTACGGTAGCTTTATCCAATGAGAGTAAAGCTCATATAATCACCAGCTAATCAGTCAAAGGAATACGGACAAGAAATTTCGGATTACTGTAGCTTTTCACATGATGCCTTACGCGGTAACTAACCATTTTTTTTCAGAAAAGAGCGAAAACGGATGAATGCTACGAGTGCCGATCGATCTAATCCAATCGATGAATCAAGCCGATCCAAGAAACAATAGATTCCCGATTTTATTTAAGATTTAATTTTATGGCTCAATTTTTTTTGTTTCTTTGTTTATCTGTGATCGAATAAAGAGTGCTTTACTTAAAGGAAACGAGGAGAAAATTCATTTAAATCATCTTGGCTTGAGGAGGCGCTTTTAAAACGGGACTTGGCTGCAGTAACATGGAAATCAGCAGTAATGAGGGGTAGTCAAAACAGTTTCATCAAAACAGCGCCGATCAAAACAGCACCGTTCAAAACAGCCTCAATTTTCAAAAAGTCGTCGTTTTTATCGAATTTAATTCTTTTTATTGAATTTAATTTACCGTAAAAGCTAATAGGAGCGTTAAAGCGTAAAGCTAATAGGAGCGCTCCCTATAGGAGCGTCGCGTAGTCTAAGTTTACTCTCAAACAAACGCTCATATCTTGACACCAGTACGTTTATTTTTGTTTGTTGAAGTATCAAATTAAATTAGAAAAGATGCGTGATTTTTTGAGATATAACACATATTTTTAACATGAACCAGTGCTTAGAAAACAATGATTGAAAATCGAGGAAAATCGGCTCTTTTTTGCCAATTTTCAATCATTGTTTTCTAAGCACTGGTTACTGTTAAAAATATGTGTTATATCTCAAAAAATCACCCATTCTCTCTACTTTAATTTGACACCTAAGCGCGCAGAAACAAACGTATTCGTGTCGAGATATGAGCGTTTATTTAAGAGGAAACTTAGACTACGCCACGCTCATATAGGGGGCTGTTAGAGCTCTATTAGGGTTTTTACGGTACTTGAATTTAATTGTTTTTTTTTACAGGAATCTTTGTTAACCACATGACAACTTTGCAAAAAGTCGAATTCTTCAATACGATTAGAATGGATTCAAATATCGAAAGAACAAAAGAACAAAATGGTCAAGAAAGGTGCGACTTTTTTATATCGGTATATTTTTTAAACTTTTATATTCTTCTACTTTTATTTTTAGTTTGTCATGGAAGAGTTTCTTGATGTAACAAGTGGAACGATGAAATTGATGAATGAACACAATGCTTGATGCTTTCCAAAGAAAGAGGTAAAAGTATGTTTATAATTATTAAGTTAGTCTACTGATAATGTCGTTTTTTACATTTGCATGTTGATTTTTCGTTTTTAGTTATGAGAAATGGAAACAAAGTAAAAATGAATCGAATTGCTGGTATGATGACAAAAGAAATCATCAAGAGTCGTGATTTGAATGCACCGCGCCATCTTCAGCCGCTAATGAATCAACATTGAATTCAGCAAATGGCCCGTCGCCAAACGCAAGTAAATAGAAAGAATGGCCAGCTCCAATCACCAAAACATTTCGTGAGTTTTTTTGTGAATTAACGATAAGATTTTATTTTAGGAAAGCTGTTTTAAGATACGACAATTGTGTAAACGGCTTTTCACCAGTCAAAGAAGCGATAAAATTCTTTCGATGATTCGATAAAAACTGGAGAATCGATTTGTTGTTTCAGGTTGAATATTTTCTTCAATTATAATAACTGGTCTAAAAGATTTAGCACACGATTTGGAGTATTGATGGGACATTTTAAGCAGCTCCTGCAGGTTTGCAGATCTTGGTTATTGGTGTCGAAGTGAGTATTTATTGATTAACATGGTAAATTATTTTATTTTAGTGGAAAGATCTGTTTATTCCATCTGTTCATCTGTTTATCATCTTGCGTTCGCCTTTTTGACAAGCAAAAAAGCTAAAACATACATGGATGTCTTTAGTTTAGTAAAGCAGTTGGGCATACCACCATCAAGTATTGATTTGGACGATTTGGCGTATTGCTGGGACATTTTAAGCAGCTCCTGCAGGTTTGTAGATCTTGGTAATTAGTGTTGAAGTGAGTATTTGTTGATTAACGTGGTAAATGATTTTATTTTAGTGGGAATACTGTCCATTCCATGCGCGTACACCTCTTTGACAAGCAAAGAAGCTAAAACATACACGGATGTCTTTAGTCTAGTAAATTCTTTTGTTGCGTTGTTGTGCAGTTGGGAATACCGTGTTGAAGCGGCTTTATCTCAAAAGTTGACTTTAACCCCAGATTCTGCTCAATCACCAAAAGTAATTCACGGTCAACATCTACGAAAATTTGCTGTTTAAAATGGCCCATTGGGCAAAAATCCCATTGATTATTTGCAGGCTTTGTGTTGTTATATTCATGGTGGCTAAGTTGCTTGTTTTGCTTTTTAATAGTAATTTGAACGGCGCTGTTTTGAACGGCGTTGTTTTAACGCGGTTTTGCGCGGTTTTAACGCTGTTTTGCCCGGTTTTGCGCTGTTTTAACGCTGTTTTGCGCGGTTTTAACGCTGTTTTGCACTGTTTTAACGTTGTTTTGCGCTGATTTAACGCTGTTTTGCGCGGTTTTGCACTGTTTTGCGCTGTTTTGCGCGGTTTTGCACTGTTTTTCGCTGTTTTAACGCTGTTTTGCGCGGTTTTAACGCTGTTTTGCGCGGTTTTGCACTGTTTTAACGTTGTTTTGTGGGGGTTTGCGCTGATTTATTACAATAATCCGCAAAATCTGTAAGCCAAACCTTCAGAAAAGCTCTTTACTTTATTGACTTTATTTTGAAAAAAACTGTTTCTCTAACAAAGCAATAGAGAAAAATTAACTGTATTTAAGATATTTTGAAGTCTGATGAGTACTTTAAAACAAATTCCTTTTCGGGAAGCGCTCATTTTGTTTATAATCACCTTTTTTTTGACTTGAAAATGGTAAAGAAGAGAGGAACTGTCGCAAAAAATGAACGACTCTGAAAATAAACAAGGTTTCAGTGATAGATTGACAGCGTTAATCAAACAATTTCGACTAATAACGATATAGTTGTCGATTAAAATTCAGCACGCAAGGATATTTCAACATTTTTTGAATGGAATTAATGGAGATTTCAGAGTTTTTCAGCAGGTAACCCTTTTTTTAACCGTACGATCTATAAATCACTAAAACAAGAGTTTAGCCAACTTCCGGACGCGCAAAAAAGAAAGCAAATCCTTTTCGCTGTCATTCCATCATTGATCTTTGTCATTTTCATCGTTTACAAAATGTAAGTATTGGGTTGGTGAATTGAAAACTGCCGGCTATTGTCATATGTGACAGTTTGAGCACTTTCTTCAAAAGAAACCCATTTTGGTCTGAATGGAAAAGTTGTAGAGAATCAAAAATTAAGCTTATATCCACATTTTCAGAACGATTCAAAAACTGGTTTTCAATAAATGCCAAATTTACGAAACTTTCACAAAACTTGCATTTTAAGCGAAACTACTAAGTGTATCTTTTTGGAAATCTGGCTATAAGCCTAATTTTTGATTCTCTACAACTTTTCTATTGACGCCAAAATGGGTTTCTTTTGAAGAAAGTGCTCAAACTGGGACATTGGGACATCTCCAGTCCTCCATTTTTGAGTCTCACACTTGTCTCACACACTTATACTGGGAGTTACTGGATAGCAAGACGACTGTTAATACAGTGAACGTTAATGAACTATATCTAGAGAGAAAAGGAACTATATTTAGAGAGAAACAGAACGAATACAGAGTTTTTCGATTCAAAACCAAAATCCTACAAGGAAAGAGGAATCCGCAAATTGCCTGTAAAATGGGTAGAAGTCGTCAATAATAATAGAAATTATTTGGAATGGATTGATGGTTTTATGTTGATGAAATTTTAGTTCAAAGTCCGGCAGTTTTCAATTCACCAACCCAATATGAACAATTGACTCTTTAAATTTTGCATTTATAATTGAAATTCATTGTTGAAATTCATTTGTTTTCTATTTCTAGATATCATATCGAATCTCAAGTTGAAGACTTTAAACGAATTATGTAAGTTAATTTTTTTGCAAAATCTTATCAAATTTTGAGCACCGAGAAGTTTCCGCCGGAAAAATGCGAAAAGAATTGGAAGTTTTTCCAGGGAAATTGTTATTGGGTTAGTTAAATTTGTTTAGATTCACAAAATTCATAGAAACTTTTCAAGTTTTGGGTATGCTGTAGATAGGGCTCAAAATCGTTGAGAAAAAAGGAAACATGAGATTTAACTAGAGACATTCTCAAACTCGACACCTAGTTTCGCCTCGAGACATAGCTCATTTTGTTCAATTTTTTTGCGCTGATTCTGAATATGTGGTTCGTTTTTGTGTAAATGTGGGTGAAAATCGGTCAAAAATCGCCTCAAAGTCAATTAATTTTGACAGCTTTTCTCGGATTTGTGGAACACTGAATTTCCGCTCCTTGAAATGCTTCCTTTTCACTCATTTCGGTGTGAGTTCGAAGCGTAGTGGCTAGCGCGGAAACTTTTTCAGTTCTGGTTCGAATCCGTTTCCGGTCAAGGATTTTGGTTATTTGAAAAATGATTGTAAAGTCCAGTTTTGTCTCAAGTAATTACGATCCATTAAAAGAAACTTCACAATTCAGACGATTTTTGACCGATTTCCACCCACATTTACACAAAAACGAACCACATATTCGGGATCAGCGCAAAAAATTGAACAAAATAAGCTATGTCTCGAGGCGAAACTAGGTGTCGAGTTCGAGAGTGTCCCTAGTTAAGCAAAAGCAACAACACTTCAACTCCATGCCAGAAAACATTGCCAGAAAAGCAAAAAAAGTTTGGAGCGGACGGGAAACGAACCCGATACCCCCTTGAGGCAGTCGTTTTGTAGACGGGACGCTAATCACCTCGGCCACCCCGCCGAAGCGCCGCCGAAGGTAAAAGGGACGTGGCTAAGTGGTTTTTCTGATTTTTGTACGGGTTTTTGATGAAAAACGTGTTTTGATCAAAAGGTATGTACCTATTTATTTTTAATTCCCTATCGATCAAAAAAAAGTTTGTCGAAATCGGTTCACAGGGAGCCGAGATCGAGAGTGTGACAGACAGACAGACAGACAGACAGACAGACAGACAGACAGACAGACAGACAGACAAACACTTCTCTTTTATATCTAGTAGCTTATGGATTCAGAAAGAGATTGCCTTTTTATCATAGATTTATATTTAATTGCATGGTTTAATTTAAATTTTAAATTATACAGAAGTTTTAGATTTTTCAGATCTTAACAAACTTTTTCTAGGTTAACAAGAAGAGAACAAATTGGACAACATCAGAAAAGAGTTGTGTACAGGAAAATGCTCATCTCGTATCGATTCACACGGATGAGGAGAATGATTTTGTTGAGTGTGGGTTACAAAAACAGAGAGCTTTTTAAAGCTTAAAGGTTTGCTGTGTTTGCGTGTTTGCTCTGTAATTTCTGAAATTTCAGAGATTACAGAGATTTTTATTTCAGAGATTACAGAAATTTTTATTTCAGAGATTACAGAGTTTTTTAGTGATCCTTGGCGAGGGGCAAATCGATGGATGGATTGGGTTACAGGTTTTGTTTGAAATATTCGTTTTGAGAGAGATTTTTAGAAAAGATTGCCATCTGATACATAAATTGATTCAAAACCGAAGCATTCAGCAGTATTTTCAGCTTCTCGACGACGAATGGGCTTGGTCCGATGAAAGCGATACAATGTACACGAATTGGAAGGCCGGAGAACCGAACGAGAATCATGGGATTGAGAATCATGCAGAGGTGAAGGGGAATGGAGGAATTGAGGAATTGAGAGGATTTACATTGTGCTAACTTTAGATTACTAAAATTCTAATATTATAGTTGTCTAAAGAGAAACTATTGTATTGTCCGGTGTGGATTTTTCTCTTGGAATCAATGTTTAAACTTTATCCTTTCATTTTTTTTGGATTAACTTAATTGAAATTTTGAAATCTCATCGAAAATGTTCGATCTGGATATCAGAAAGTATTTTGGAGTCAAAAGACTTCTGATTTAAGGGAATTTTTTGAATTTGGTTTTTGGGGTGTTCGAGTTGAGCGGCTATTAGAGCTGTGTTTTCTAAAAAGTGCCCCAAATTTCGTCACAGTCTCAATCCTGGATGTCATTCTGTACATGTACATGTAGAAATTTACAAAAATGTATAAAAATGTATATAAGCACTTTACCAACAGCATTTTACTATCTGCAGGTTCTTGTAGGTTGTAGATTGAAGCTTGTAGCTTGATAGCTTTGTTTAGGTAACTTTTTAGAAATCGTTTTAAAAACTACCGTAATTCTTTCCCAATATTCTTCTTTTAAATCTTTAGATATTTTAGATCTTTAGATTAGATATATTAGATAGATTAGATAGATTAGATCCTTTATAAAGCCAACAAATAGAAAATCTTTAGACAATTCTACTGTACTCTAAGCAGAGTATTCTGTACTATTTCTACTGTACAATTCTACTGTACTCTAAGTAGAGTATTCTGTACTATTTCTACTGTACAATTCTACTGTACTCTAAGTAGAGTATTCTGTACTATTTCTATTGTACAATTCTACTGTACCCTAAGTAGAGTATTCTGTACTTTTCTGTACTATCTTTTAGAATCAAAGTAACCAGCAGAAATAAAAAACAATTAGATCACCTTCTAGACTCCAAAACAACACCAAATTACTACTAAAACCCATTTCCAGATGTGGAACCCAGGCGGGCAATGGAACAACAACAAAGAAACTCGAAAAATCAGATCAATTTGCAAGAAAAAGGCGTCTTGATCTTTCAAAAAATGTATCTTTAATAAAAATCTCTTATCTCTGGTTATCTCTGAGTTTGTAGAAGGTTTTGGAAAGTTTTTTTTAAAGTTTTTTTAAAGTTTCATCAGTTTCCATATGGGTTTTTTTCAAAAGTCTCAAAATTCAAAAAGTCTTTCAAAAAGTCTCAAAATTCGCCGAATGTTGGCTTGTAGCCAGAGCCAAAGTAGTCAAATTAGCCAAAGCCAAAGGTGTCCGAAGTTTTGCAACGAAAAATTTCCCTCCAGTGCCTCCAGAACAACCCAACTCTCAAGTGATGAGTTTTCTTTCGTTTTTCCTGCACTTGAGAATTCACTTTATTCAAATTGCACAAAAAAAACAAAAATTCAGTTTCACTCAACGAAATCCCTTTAGAAATCGGATGCCGGTCTCTCTTTGAGCCATTTTGTGATCGCTGGGAGATGCTCGACTTTCTCCTTCAACTTAAGCACCTGAAAGATTTGGAAATTCATCAAAATTCACTCTAATCTTTGTAAAAATCAAAGATTCTATTGAGATTTTAAATTTCTACAATGAAAAACTGATAGACTTAAAGCTAAACTTAAGCTAAAACAATTGTTTGGAGCTCTTGTTTAGAACTTTTGTAGCCAACTTTTCTTGTCAACTCTTGTAGTCAACTCCCTGGTCTTTTTTCGATAAAAACTATATCTATCTACATCATTTAATAGCTTTTTATTATTTTATTATCATTAACAATTGGTTATCTACGTTTTCACATCATATTTTCATCTTATAAACCTCAGGGAAAGCGTCAAGCTCGTGGGCGGAGACAGCCAAGAGCGAGTGCAAGTGATCGGCCACTTGAATGTCCACATAGGTGACCGAGTCACCGACCTGTAAGTGAAAATAGAAGAGTTTTTATTCTAGATATTATATCTAAAATATCAATATTTGACTTGATCTTTCACTCACCAAGAAACCGCTCTTGTTGTGCTTCAATTGCTTCTCAATGGCGCCGAAGAATTTGTCTCTTGCCGGGACGAACTCTTTTTCGTGGGCTTCTTCCTGAAATGAGAAGTGAATTTCAAGCTTTCTGAAGAATTTCTCTTTATCTTAGTTTTGTTTTATTTTAGAAGAGCTAGCTTATCAGGAAACAAAGAAAATAAAGTCAAAAAAGTGACTTTATTGTAACGATCAATCGACTAAACATCTAGAATTCTTGTTTTTTATCCATTTTTCTTTAGTTATTATATTAATCTAGTTTTAATGGATTTAAGGATTTAAGGAATTAAGGAATTAAGGAATTAATGGATTTAATGGATTTAATGAACTCTAGATGGATTGAATGGACTTTAGATGGATTTAATGGACTCTAGATGGATTTTGATGGACTCTAGATGGATTGAATGGACTCGAGATGGATTTTGATGGACTCTAGATGGATTGAATGGACTCTAGATGGATTGAATGGACTCTAGATGGATTGAATGGACTCTAGATGGATTTAATGGACTCGAGATGGATTTTGATGGACTCTAGATGGATTGAATGGACTCGATGGATTGAATGGACTCGATGGATTGATGGACTCGTGGATTTAATGGACTCGAGATGGATTTTGTGGACTCTGATGGTTTTGGACTCGAGATGGATTTTGTGGACTCTAGATGGATTGAATGGACTCGAGATGGATTTTGATGGACTCTAGATGGATTGAATGGACTCTAGATGGATTGAATGGACTCTAGATGGATTTAATGGACTCGAGATGGATTTTGATGGACTCTAGATGGATTGAATGGACTCGAGATGGATTTTGATGGACTCTAGATGGATTGAATGGACTCTAGATGGATTGAATGGACTCGAGATGGATTTTGATGGACTCTAGATGGATTGATGGACTCTAGATGGATTTAATGTACTCATCGATAAACTAAAGCTAGTTTTGTTTCGTTTAGCGCTTAAAAGCTTACGGTTAATCACTGAATATTGCTAAAGAAATATGCTGATTCGATTATTTGATTCTCTTCCAAAAACCCACCTTGTTTCCTTCGCGCATTCCACGGGCAATGTAGAAGAAGTTACGGGACTCGTTCGTGTAATCTTTGTACAACTCGAAGAATGAATCGACGAGAGCATGATCGACATTTGTCTTGCCGTAGAAACCTAGAATCGAATTTTGTTCTCTAAGATAACTAGTGCTCGTTTAAAACAGTAGACAAGTTGGGGTCAAATGCTAATTTCGTAGAAACGGTAAAGTTTAAGTGTGAAATCGGCGAGGTAGGGCAGGCAGGGAAGGCAGGGTAAGGCAAGGCAGGCAGGGCAACGAGACGAACTCTTTCTTTCTCTTTCTTTCTCTTTCTTCCTTTCTTGGTGAGTGATCTGAGTCATACACTATTCAACGCAGAATTTTACGCTGATTCCGAATCGGCTTTTCGTTTCTCCTATGGAGCACTCTGTCAAAAGTTATAAGCAAGTAAAGTTTTGTTAGGAATTTCGAAAGTCAAGTCGTTAGTTGATAAGCAGCTTCCCTAGGTATTGAATAGTGTTGTGGTAGCCGAGTCGAAGTGAGCTTGAATACAAAGCAAGGGTTCTTCGGTTCGAGTTCACAGTTCAACTCTTTATGCTTTAAATATCCTTTGATGACTCACCGAATTCCCGAGCCAAGTAGCGGAAAATCGCGCCGGATTGAGCGATCTTTTGACCGCCAACCTCCAGAACGGGCATTTGACCGAATGGCATTTCTGAAATGGACAAAATTCTTGATTTTCTATCTTGATCTTGAAGGTTTTGTACCAAATTCGTGTAAATAAAATGTATTCGCTCTTCTGTTCATTGTAGTAGTTTTTTTTCTAAATTTCCATGAAAACTGACCAGCTTTATGTGTTGGCCATGTGTCCTTATCATATCGAATATCCTCGAATTCTTTGCCAGCCAATTTGAAGAGTTGACGAGCTGGCTCGGCAACACCACGACCGTTAAAGTAATACAATTTGTAGCCCATTTTCAGAGAGGGAAAAAGGAGTAGGTTCTAAATAAAATTCTAGAATTTCTAAATGTAAAAGTCAAGCAATTTATAGAATTAAAAAGAAGAAATTGAACAAAAACCCATTGAATTACAGCAACTTTTCGACAGAAAAAAGGATATAAAAAAGGTTTTTACGGAAAATTAAGACTATTTTCGAATCTCTGGATTTAGATTTGCATTAGCTTGTTAGATTAGATTAAAAGCTTTTATTGGAATTCATTTTTATACGAGATTCTCAATCGAAAATCTCAATTCGAAAGCAGTGAACTTTTCTAAATTTAAAGAAATCCAACTTTCTGAATCAATCAACTTAAAAAACCCTTTTTTATCAAATTCTTTCAATAAAACTTTCTCTTTCCAAACTTTGTTTGTTCTTTTTTCTAGTTTTTGTGCTTTTTCTGTTGAATTTTGTCGTTTTTTTGTGTACACAAGTGAGCGAGAATCACAGAAATCACAGAAACCACAGAAAAAAAGAGAAAAAAACGAAAGAATGAAAAGAGATCTCTCGAAAAATGGTTTAAATCAGTCTTTAGTCAAAAAAGTAAACAAGATTCGCAAAGGTGAGTTCAATGGTAAAAGTAAAATCCTTTTTTTTTTGTTTAAACGATGGAAATCTGGAAATATCTGTGCTGAAAAAATGCTTAAACACTTTCTCCAAGTGAATTGAATTCAAAAAATTGCAAATTTACTTTCTTTTATCATTCTTTAACGCTTAAAAAGTGGTTTTTTTCGAAAAAGGTAAAAGGTTAAAGAAGTTTTCATCGAATTCTGTTATTTTGCAATTAATTCTGCAGAATTAACTTAAGACGCAGCTCGACCGAAGCATCAAAGAAGTCACAAAGATACTCAAGAATCACCAGAGAACTCGGGCACACCTCTTCGACAGCACCGTCTCCCGACAGCACGGGCCTCCCGGCACTCTGCTACGGGACAGAGACCTGGGCCTCGACACAGACCACTAAACGAGCCCTGAGAACGACGCATCGAGCCCTTGAAAGGAACCTTCCCGGACACAATAGGAAGACGCAGCTCGAGACCTAAGAAGACGCAGCTCGAGACCTAAGAAGTACGGATATGCGCCAGCTCTCGGGACTCAGAGATCCAGTGGAAGTGATCGAGGGAAAAAGCCTCAGATGGGCCGGCCACAAGACCAGAAGAACAGACGACAGATGGACGATACGGATCACAGAGTGGCTACCACGAGACCAGAAGAGGCCCATCGGAAGACCAGCAACGAGGTGGAGCACAAAAGTGGCAGCGACGGTCAGAGAAAGGATGGCTAGAGTGCAGCCACCACCAGCACAAGCAAGTCGAAGACTTCGAACCAGGAAGAACCAAGATAGGAAACACTGGATGACAATAGCAAGGGATAGAGAAATGTGGAAGCAGGTTGTGATCTGCGCAAATATGAGCACCTAAGTGCGAAGACAGGCCAAAGAAAAAGAAAACTAACTTAGCTTTAGTAAAAATGGTTCGAATTTTTCGCATATAAATTCAAACCTTTTGATTAATTTAAGTCAATTACGATTTAAGTCTCATTTTTTGATCTGATTCTGAGAAAACCATGAAAAAAGTGTTTTTAAAATTGCTGAAAGAAAAACAAATGAGAAACTAAATGACAATTTAAAGCTTTTATTGTTTATCTCCTGATTTATTTTTACTTTTATTGATTAATGTTCTAATTTCTCTATTCTAAATCATTTATGTTTTGTGCTTTATCACTAAACTCAAAAAAAGCACAAAAATACTTTACAAGAAACGATTCTAAAATAAAATTTGATTGATTTAAGTGAAAAGTTTAGCTTGAAAAGGTAAAAAGATTAAAATTATAATAAAAATAATAAGAAAAAATTAAAATGAAACTCCAGAAAGTCAAACTTTTGAGAAACTCGTTTAAAATGATAGAAAATTGAGGAAATTGAGGAAATTGAGGAAATTGAGGAAATTGTGGAAATTGAGGAAATTTCCCACTTTTATCTAGCCGAATTCCTTTTTCTCTTTTTTCAAAAGTGGGTGGAGTTTTTGTAGTGTCAATTTTGTGTTCTTTCTGCTCAAAAAGTCATCGAAACAGGGAAAAACGGGAATTTAAGCCTTTTTTTTAGTTAGGATTTGTGTGTTAGTTGTGAAATTTTCGAGAGATGAGCACAAAATTTCGCAATTTCTCTACGCAATTCCCAATCTACTTGTGTTTCTGGTTTATGAGTGGTAAAGGGAATCCTCAATGATTTGTGATTATATTTTTGAGACAATGCAACAACTTCTAGATTCTATTGTTGAAAGAACAGTGATCATGAATCTAAAATACAAAAAATGATGCTGTCAGGGTGTTCTGTTAGGCGCTAGCGTCTGATCACGAGCCTAGGATCTAGCTTAGGTAACCTGGTCGCCGAGCTAAGTCCACCTGGCCAGGGAAAGGCAACAGTAGGATGTGGTCAAATGAGATGAGCCATAGATCATTCGACGCAGAAAATTCCAGGCTGATTCCGAATCTGCTTTCCGTTTTTCGTGAACGCTTTTCTCTACTTTTCTCTACTTTTCTCGGCTTTTCTGATCTAAACCCATTCACTTTTTGTAGAGCTAGCTAGTTACGACCACACTATGGTCCTAGATCTCTGGTTTAACGTTCAAACTGTTGCTTTACTCAAAGTTCACCCATTTTCACTTTTAATTTTATCTGATTTGTGTCGTTTTCTCATTTTTATACACTACTCGTGATAGCCGTAGCCTAGAATTTTGCTGAAACACGTTTTCTAAGTTGTACCAAAGTTGTAAAAGAGAAAAGTTGTCATTTTTCAAGGATTTCCCCATCTCTTCCCTCTTCCCTCTTCCCTTTGATGCTTTCTTTTTCCCTAGTGTTGGTTTTTACTAATTGAATAGTCTCTTATAGGAAACTAGTCTCTTATAGCTTACAAGGGAGGTTTATCAATTTACGATCAGCTTTTAAAACGTCGCCTAGCACATCTAGACCAGTTTTTCACGCTGATTCCGAATCTGTACTCAAAACTACTCCGGACGCCCTCTAAGGCCAAGAAAAATGGTTTTAAAGTTGGCTAAAAAAATTTGACGGTGTCTATGTTTTTAGCCAACTTTAAGACCATTTTCCTGACCTCAGAGTGCTTGCGGAGTAGATTTGAGTACAAATTCGAATCAGTGCGAAAAACTCGTCTAGATGTGCTAGGGTCACGTTTAAAAAGCTGGTGGTAAGTTGACGAACCTCCCTTGTTAGCTACTTTCAAGACCATGACTCGTTCAAAATCTTATCCTTTTTTGTTTTCTCGGCTTTTCTCGGCTTTTCTGATCTAACCATTCAATTTTTGTCCACGTTTGCATTCACGAATCTAGAATATTTTATCTCCATCTGGAATATTCTCGAAATTTCTCCAGTCATAAGCCCTTTTTTTATTCATTTTTAAGATAGCTCTTATCTGTTTCCCTTGAAAATTCTTCGAAAGCTGAGTGGAAAATTTTTTTTTCACTACGAATTCAGAGTAAACAAAGTCGTAAATGTTTTGTGAAATGAAATTTTGTGCAAAACAAAAAGGCTTTCTTTATTTAAAATGAACGAAAAAGAGAATATACCCGTGATTTTATGATGATAAAGACTATTTTTTTGATAGATTTTTGAATCAAATTTACAGCCATAAAAATTGAAATGATTAAAAAACAAAAAAAAACAAGTTAATGAATCGAAAAAAGGATCTCAATCTCTTAAAATCGCCATCTCCGACAGCTCAAACATTTCCTGTGTGTCGGCAACGATTTTCTCGATGTTCATCTCGAAATCGCGAATCACGGCTACGTACTCGAGATCTTTCACTACGACGTAGTAAAACTAAAAACGTTTAGATTAAAAATCAATCAAGATTTAGCAGATTTTCTGGTTCTTGCCCTTAATTGTGGTCTTTTAAAAGTTTCGTGGTCTTTTGAAAGTTTCATGGTCTTTTGAAAGTTTCGGGGTCTCTTAAAAGTTTCGTGGTCTTTTGAAAGTTTCGGGGTCTTTTAAAAGTTTCGTGGTCTTTTGAAAGTTTCGGGGTCTTTTAAAAGTTTCGTGGTCTTTTGAAAGTTTCGGGGTCTTTTGAAAGTTTCGTGGTCTTTTGAAAGTTTCGTGCTCTTTTGAAAGTTTCGTGCTCTTTTGAAAGTTTCGTGGTCTTTCAAAGGCCTTTTGAAAGTTTCGTTCTCTTTTGAAAGTATCGTGGTCTTTGAAAGTTCCCTGGTCTTTCAAAGGCTATTGAAAGTTTCATGGTCTCTTAAAAGTTCCCTGGTCTTTAAAAAGTTTCATGGTTTTTTGTCAAAAAAAAGTCCGTTTCGTCGTCTTTTGCAATTTTTTGTTTTTTTACCAGAAAATCTTCTGAAATTGTTTTAACGTATTTGATCAAGTCCCACATGCACCAGTTTATTTGATCAGAATTTAAAGAACAATCGTGAAAACAATAATTTTAGCGTCTCAGCAAAACGCAATGCTTGACACGCCTTGCATTTCCTCGGACATGCAAATGCTTTGTAAAGCTGACCTTCACCTAGAGCCAAGATAGACATCCTTGCCAACTTGACAAGATTCTGCGCATCTCTTTCGACCTCTTCATCCGGCTCATTGTAGTCGGAGTCACCATTGTCCAATCAAAAGCGTCAATCAAAAGCTTCAGTTTGATTTTTCGACCCGAATGACCCCAATATCTATACACAAAAAGTATAATGAAATCTTTGAAAATTAAGCTCAATAATTACAAGTGAATTGCGCCGAGGTGAGGGCTTCAATTCGCCATTCAGCTGCATGGAGCAAGAAAAGATCGACGTCCGACTTATTTCAATAAATAAGTTTAGGAGAGCAACAGAGAAGGGGCAACTCTTTCAAAATTTGTTGGTTTGCATGGAGGCTGCTTAATAAGCAATGCTTATCCCCTTTCCTAGGTTTGTTCTTTAAATTCTGATCAAATAAACTGGTGCATTTGGAGCTTGATCAAATACGTTAAAAACGTTCAAACAATTTCAAAAGATTTTTTTAGTAAAAAAGACAAACAATTGCAACGAAACGGACTTTTTTTGACAAACAACAAGACAACGAAACTTTTAAAAGGCCACGATTCAAGGAAAGAACCGATTTTCTAATCTAAAGATAAGCTTTTAACATTTAAACCCACATCAAACGGAGCTGCCCATCGATAGATCTCAAAACCATCTTTTGAAAGCATTTTGATGGCCTGAAAAATCAGTTTTACGTTCTAAAGCCTCTAGCATTTGTTCCTTAACTGGTTTAGAAAAGAATGACTCAAAAATAGATAGATTAGCTTAGATAGAGAGTATTTCATCATAAAGTAGAAAAATCGCAATGTCCTTATTGAAAACATCATCGAAAACCCGCTTAAGATTGGGTTTTTCTGGCTGCGTAGCTTTGTCGCCGTGGCGCAGTTATGAGCGCGCTTGTCTACGGCTCAAACCACCGGCAGAAGCTCAACACTCTAATCAGCTACAAGATCTCATCTTCGACTCCCGGCCGTGCCATGACTTTTGATTTTTATAAAACGAAATATTAGATACAATGCTACATAGAATTCTAAGCCTAAGAAATTGAAAATGATGTAAATCGGCTCACGGAGAGCTGAGAATTCGCAGACAAACGGACAGACAAACGGACGGACAGATCTTTCTTTATTTTTTATATTTGCTCTAGTATTTTCTCTAGTAGTATACCCCGCCGAGTTGATGACTATTTTACGGTTTTTAAATTTTCACAGAAGCTCAACACTCTAATCAGCTACAAGATCTCATCGTCAGCTACATTTTCCGACCCAACATCAATAGATTCTGATAATAGATGCTTTTCGAGATTTCTCTTGAGATTCTCTATTTTTTGAGCTATAAGCCAGATGAATCAGACAGATTTAAAACAAGTTAGAAGCATTTTTATTGTGACAGTTCATCATTTTTGTTGTTTCTAGTGACCATGTCAATCTTCCGACCAAGGCCTACAATTTTCTTTGAACTATAACTTTGACCTAACTTTTAAATAACTCTAACTGACCGTCCAAAAGCCAGGTAAAGCTTTCTGTCGGTTTAAAATCCTTTAATGAGACTTGCAAAGTCCTGGAAGTCCTGGAAGTCCTGGAAGTCCTGGAAGTCCTGGAAGTCCTGGAAGTCCTGGAAGTCCTGGAAGTGGTTTTGGGAAACTCTTTTGAAGGCTAAGCATACAAAATCTTGGCTTTTGACAATGGAAGGCTAGAAGGCAAGAACTAGTTTTCGGCCGGATTCTGCGAAATTGCTTTGCGAAATTGCGAACATCGATAGGTTCTGATAAGCGGTTTACGAGATTTCGAGCAATTTTGGCAGCGCTCAGGGTGCACTAATATTAGAGAGAATACGGTATAAGGTTGGAGCTTTTTTCGAGCTTAAGGAAGATATTTCCTTGCCCCTCAGTTCATCAGCTTTCTTTTTTTAAGTTTAAACGTCAAAACTGTGGAAGGGGATCGTACAATTATTAATAGAAGAGGTTCTATTAGAAAAAGTCGTTCTATTCTTTCGCTACTTTCTAAAGGGTTGTTCTAATAGAAGAAATACGGTATTTAAAGACTTAAAGACTATTTTAAAGATTTAAAGACTATTTTAAAGATTTAAACTACATCAAAGCTTCATTTACATCAAAGCCAATCACTAGTCGCTTCTGGAATTGCGCGGTGTAGTCACGGAAACGGAGTCCGACAAGGCGAGGCCGAATTGCTGATGGTTCGATGCATGGACGAGCCATCCACTAGAGAAAAGTTAGAATTTGGAAAGCAGATTATAGATTTTTTAGCTTTCTCTTTTACTTTAACTAGATGAACAACGAAATTTGCTTCTGGCCACATAGTCCTTTCCGGAGTGAGGGAGAATTTTGCAACGTCTTCTGTGGAGACTTCTTTGCTCGTGAGAATGACCGAGTCTCGTCGAATGATCTGCAAAAAAAGCAGTTTGAATAATAAAGTTTGAAATAAAGTAACAATTTCAATGCTAAGTTCAAGCTCTCTAATACTATTCGCTCTCTGATACTATTCGTTCTCTAATCCTATTCGTCCTCTAATCCTATCCGTTCTCTAATCCTATCCGTTCTCTAATACTATTCGTTCTCTAATCCTATTCGTCCTCTAATCCTATCCGTTCTCTAATCCTATTCGTCCTCTAATCCTATCCGTTCTCTAATCCTATCCGTTCTCTAATCCTATCCGTTCTCTAATCCTATCCGTTCTCTAATCCTATCCGTTCTCTAATCCTATCCGTTCTCTAATACTATTCGTTCTCTAATCCTATCCGTTCTCTAATCCTATCCGTTCTCTAATCCTATCCGTTCTCTAATCCTATCCGTTCTCTAATACTATTCGTTCTCTAATCCTATTCGTTTTCCAGTACTTTTTACGACCACTTATTAAGAAAAGATCACACAGAAAACATTAAGAATATGTAAAACATCACGCATTAGCATTTGTAACTGAAGGTTAGCATTTTTCACACTTAATTTACATATAAACCCCTCAATTTACATATTATCGGCTGTGATATGATAGACCTGTGATATCATAGACCTGTGATATCATAGACCTGTGATATCATAGACCTGTGATACCTGACCTGTGATACCAGACCTGTGATATCTTAGATCTGTGATACCGTAGACCTGTGATATCATAAACTTGTAATACCAGACCTCCGATACCAGACCTGTGATATCATAGACCTGTGATATCATAGACCTGTGATATACAACTGACAGCTTCAATTCTGTCTTTAATCCAAAATAAACACCAAAAATCCCCCCACCTGATCAATCCTCAACACTTTCGTCAGACATTGGATACAAACTGCAAAATTTTTCTGCTTTTTCGAGCAATCACACATTAGATCAGTGATCAGAACCTAGAAACAAGGAAATGTTTGAAATTTCAAATAAAAAACAAACAAACCTTTTTTGGTAACGTTTCTAATGAGTTCAATTGTTGACATAAATATTCAAAAATCGTCCAATCATGCTGAAGAACGAGTAGAGAGGAGAAAATGAAGAAATTCGTTTTTTGGAGTAGCGGAAGGATTGGATTCTTAAAAATAACTAATAGCTAACTAAAAAAATCGCTAAGCATTATCAAAACAAAAGCAATTTTTGAATAAAGAAGAATCAAAAAAAGAGGAAATTGTCCGTTTTCATAGTGAAATTTGTAACAGCCTTACACTATGAATGTGATTCGGTAACACGAGAATCCTCGTTCGAAACATTTCGCCCAAAGCGTCGAAGATCAGTCGGGCTATCGCTAAATCCGATCCGAGAAATGTGGCGCTAAATTAAAGTCTTTAAAAGGTGACTAAAAGATGTAAAAGCTGGTATGTTATTGGAGATTCTATTGAATTCGGGGGAATGAAATAGCGGTAAACTTTAATGAAACTTTAAAGGAACTTTTTTCATTCATAAAACCCTCTTTAAATAAACATTTTGTTTGATCAAAATACTCCACAATTTCTCTACAAAATCACTTTTGAGAGGTTCCAAAAATCTTTTCTTTTTTTGAAGTATATGTGTCGTAGCCAATTATGAATTTCAGCCGATTATGAATGAGTGGAGTGTCCCAATGAGCGTCTAGGAGCGTCCAACCATCAAGTATTTAGTATCATTCAACGCAGAATCATTGATAATTATGTTAAATTTTTAAAATTAGCAAGATTTAATAAAAAGAAAAAAAAATTAGAGCAAAAAAACTGTTTGTTCAAGAGAAAGCTTTGAAGCCCCATAATTTTTTTTCTTTTTATCCAATCTTTCTAATTTTAAAAATTTAACATAATTATTAATGATTCTGCGTTGAATGATACTAAATACTTGATGGTTGGACGCTCCTAGACGCTCATTGGACGCTCCACTCATTCATAATCGGCTGAAATTCATAATCGGCTACGGGGGGTCCCGCCAATTTTGAATGAAACATTGTAGCACCGGCAATTTTTAACCTAAACTCACAAATTTGGTACCAATCGACGTAGAATTTAATTCGCTACAAGATGATATAATATTGTCCTCATACATTAAAGGGTTGCTCTACTAGAAAGATTTGCCAAAAAATTTCATTCATAATCGGCTACGACATATGAACTCTCAAAATAGTCAAAATCAAGTAAAAATGGCAAAGAGTCATCGTTTGACCAGTTTCTTTGGCATAAACCTCTTTTAGTTTCTATATAAAAATGATAGAGCACACTGAATTACATAAGTTGTCAAATTTTCAGGAAAATCCCTTTAACCGTTCTCTCTAAATGACAGTTTATAGAAAAAAAAAATGGCTTTTTTAGCTAAACAACTGTTTGAGTTCTCTTTTAAATGTCATTTTGTAAAGAATTTGTTAACCTTTCTACTGATATCAAACGCGTAACATATGAAATTTCTTTGATTTTCCTCGTTAGTTCATTCTCCCCAATCAAATCGTTGCAAATAATTCGTTTGATTATCGAATAAATGATTATCGAGTAAATCTTCATCGAATAAAACGATCAAAATTGAGTGAAAATCGAAGAAAATGCAAAGGAAAGATTACGGTTTTCCCAAAGATATGGTTTTTCCAAATAAATGGTTTATCTTTAAGAAATTTGGAGTCAGATTTTCATCTAATAAACCTACATTATCCTCATTTTCTCATCAATCGTCGTCCGCGTTGACTCCAGCGTGCAAACGATCTTCTCTTTGCCGAAAATGAACTCGATTTGCTCAAAATTGATAGTTTTCAGAAGAAATCCAGCATTCTTGGGAGTCATTTTATACGTTTAGCACAAAAATTTTCACTAAAAAAACCAACCCCAGCTGCGTCTTTGATTAAGAACTCGAAAATGTCGATTCTTTGTGGGAGTCTTTCCCTTAAAAGCTTCAAATCTTGTTCGTAGTGCTGAAAAGAGTGAAAATTTCATTGAAATCCAGTGAATTTCATTGAAATCCAGTGAATTTCATTGAAATCCAGTGAATTTCATTGAAATTCAGTGAATTTCATTGAAATTCAGTGAATTTCATTGAAATCCATTTAATTTTGTATTAATCAAACATTATCTAGTTAGCTTTTATCTAATTTTAACGAAAAACTCACAGTCAACAAATCGGGCAAATCTGGAATGGACATTGCGTTGATTTAATAGATAAAATATTGAAATTTCGAAGATAATACTTTAATTTTGTTAGAGAATTGTCAGAAGAATTGTCAAAAAGTTGAGATTTTTGTAGTTTATCTGGAAAAATCTGCGTCTTTTCCTTTAATTTCGACTATTAAAAAGGATTGGTTTACGGTAAGTTATCCATGTTTTCATAGAGTTTAATTGTTCTATAGGGTTTGTTTGTTTCCATAGGGTTTAATTGTTTTCATAGGGTTTAATTGTTCCATAGGGTTTAATTGTTTTCATAGGGTTTGATTGTTTTCATAGGGTTTAATTGTTTCCATAGGGTTTAATTGTTTTCATAGGGTTTAATTGTTTTCATAGGCTTTAATTGTTTTCATAGGGTTTGATTGTTTTCATAGGGTTTAATTGTTTTCATTGGGTTTAATTGTTCCATAGGGTTTAATTGTTCCATAGGGTTTAATTGTTTTCATAGGGTTTAATTGTTCCATAGGATTTGATTGTTTTCATAGGGTTTAATTGTTTTCATAGGGTTTAATTGTTCCATAGGGTTTGATTGTTTTCATAGGGTTTAATTGTTTCCATAGGGTTTAATTGTTTTCATAGGGTTTAATTGTTTTCATAGGCTTTAATTGTTTTCATAGGGTTTGATTGTTTTCATAGGGTTTAATTGTTTTCATAGGGTTTAATTGTTCCATAGGGTTTAATTGTTCCATAGGGTTTAATTGTTTTCATTGGGTTTAATTGTTCCATAGGATTTGATTGTTTTCATAGGGTTTAATTGTTTTCATAGGGTTTAATTGTTCCATAGGGTTTAATTGTTCCATAGGGTTTAATTGTTTTCATTGGGTTTAATTGTTCCATAGGATTTGATTGTTTTCATAGGGTTTAATTGTTTTCATAGGGTTTAATTGTTCCATAGGGTTTAATTGTTTTCATAGGGTTTGATTGTTCCGAAAATCGGACTTCTTTTCCAAAACCGAATCTCCACCGAAACAAGGATTTTGTCGATTTGGTGGTAGAAGAAAGGAATGATACACTATTCGTTGCTGAAAAGCGGCCAAAGCATTGTCTACGTGCAATAAATCAAGGAGATGCACTCAAAGCTGCAGGTTTTCAAACCTACTTTGGTCAATGGAAAAGGCTCTATCCAGGACAACGCCAATGCAATGACAATGCAACGCCAATGCAACGACAATGCAATGACAATGCAATGACAATGCAATGGCAATGCAATGACAATGCAATACAATGCAACGCCAATGCAAGGAAAATGCAATACAATGCAATGACACTCAGGGCACTAAATCATTTAAGCATCGAATACAAAAACTCGAATCACTTCACACGGACTTAAGTTTAAATCACTTACGAAGGCAGCTCTCTGTACGAAAGCAGCTCTCTGTAGGAGAGCAACCAATCACGACTCAATCCCCGACTCTTAATCTCTATTTCTATACATTTTGTATTAATGACTTGCTTCCAGAAATCATGTATTTTTCTGTATAAAGTTCACTGAACACTTTCACGGTGATTCGGTCAGTCAATCTACTTCTGATATCTATTTTCCACAAACAAACTGATCTTCGAATTCTCTCTGATCGTTTCAATGATCAATACCAATGCAAAAAGAAGAGAAGAATGAAAAAATAAACAGAATTAAACAACAACTGTCGTAAAATTTGTAAAATGTTGCGTAAAATTCATAAAATGTTGCGTAAAATCCCTCTATAAATCGTTGTGTTCAAAGTTATTCTGAAAATTCATTCAAAATTCATTCAAGAATCAGCTGCTCTCTTTTCGGATTCGATTTGATTCGGATTCGTTGATTCGGATTTGAGGACGAGTTGACTTTGCTTCGTTGAAATTTCCCCAATGGAATGAGTCGTTGAATAAGTTTGAACACTTCTCGTCGCATCGATTTGTTCACTACCATGTAAAAAATCGCCATCGAACCTTGAATGATTTTATTATTATTTTTATTTTTATTTTGTCTAAATCATATATTTTTCTGCATGTTTTGTAGAAGAGCATGAATGCTTTCAACCCACGAAACACAATGAGCAGCCAAATCCACTGAATTTCAGAAGATTTGGCTTAAAATTCAAGCTATTCACCCTATTTGGCACCGTGGTACCCGTTTCGTTTTCTGATCGATTTACCACTCTAGGCAAAGAAATCCTCTAGGCAAAGAAATGCTCATTTCCACTCGAAATCAGCCTTGCCCTTCACGGGATCGTTAACTGAGCCTAGCACTTACTATTCGAGAATTGCCATGAGCCATTTGTGACAAGGTACATGATTGGAGGGAGCTCGATCCAACCCGAGGCGATTGTACAGTAGAAAACGCCGGTGATCATCACCGTCGTGCAAATGCCGAAGCATTGAATGGCAATCTGAAAGCAACGGTTATTAGACATTTGATCCGCGCCCCGTCCCCTTTTGCCATTGGCAATCTTTGAGCTCAAATTTCTTGGCGCTGGACTGTTCAAATTCAATATTTTTGATATCATTAGATGCGCAAAGTCTTTCTCTGTCGACTGGTACAAAAACTATTTCAATTGGATAGCCGAACACCGAGGAATTTGAGTTCAAAGTTGAGTCGCCAATGGCAAAAGGGTCGGAGCGAGTATAGAAGGTACATCGTCCCGCCCCTATTCCCTTTGCCAGTCTAGCATCGAGCGCAAATTTCTTGATGTTGGTTTGTTCAATATAAATAGTTTTTCTACCAATCGATAGAGAAAGTATTGGCGCATCTAATGATACCAAGGATATCTAGATTGGACAGCCCAACACCAAGAAATTTGAGCTCAAAGTTAGACTGACAAAGGGAATAGGGGCGGGGCGACGAACCTTTTATACACGCCCCGTCCCTTTTGTGATTGGCAATCGAACTTTTGGCTCAAATTTCTTGGTGTTGGGCTGTCCAATCTAGATATCCTTGGTATCATTAGATGCGCCAAGTCTTTCTCTATCGATTGGTATCAAAAACTATTATGATTAGACAGCTCAGCTCCAAGATAGTTGAGCTCAAAGTTAGATTGCCAATGGCAAAAGTGGCGGGCACGTATGAAATGTCCCACAAGACTTCCCCTCTAACATTTACAAAGGTTAGAATGAAAAAAAGAACACTCACAACTGTTTGTATCTTGTTCGTGTTTGCATTCATCTTTCGATGTGCTCGATACATCAAAATGAGCATGAGGCTATTCAAGAACAAAATGCAAATCGCCACACCGACATTGTTATACAAAAAGATCATTGGCATCTAGAATGAAAGTAAAATCGTAAAGCTTATGAAAATCGAACGAAATAAAAACAAAACCTACAATCGAATGCTCGGGTTTTGCCGCAAAATAGTAGCTAGCCGTGGGAGTGAGATAAACGAGTGGCGGGCAAGTGAAATAAACAATGGCTCCATAAATGAACGGCGGGAGAAGCCAAAGCGTTAGTCGCCATCCACCAAATAAAGTCTAAATTCAATAATATGATTTTGGCATTATTTGGCTTAATTTGGTAAATTTTCCGCAATTTTCTTAGAGTTTTCATGAATTGAGAGCTACCAATGACGTTTTTTGCTTTACTTTTGCTTACCTGTTGCAATTGAGGGCCAATAAAATCGACGCAACGATTCAGTGCCAACACCACACTCAACGCACAATAGACGCACCAATCAGCTGAAGAAAAACAATAATAAAAACCGAGCTACAATAGAAACAATAGAAACAATAGAACTCACCAAAGCACAGCGTTGCAATCCAGAGATTCAGCAGCGGACTGTCACAAAACGAGTAGCCCATCACCAGAAAATAGCCTGGAAAAAGTTGAAAAGTTTCTTTGAAAAAAATCTCTCTTACAAACCGGGTAGAATCGAACTTGGAACAAGACTGAACACGTCAACGAGTCCAACGACAAATCTAAAAACGTTAAAAGAGATTTTAGAACACAATAAACCACAATAAACCACAATAAACCACAATAAACCACAATAAACCTACAATAAACCTACAATAAACCTACAATAAACCTACAATAAACCTACAATAAACCAAAATAAACCACAATAAACCAAAATAAACCACAATAAACCACAATAAACCACAATAAACCTACAATAAATCTACAATAAACCACAATAAACCTACAATAAACTACAATAAACCACAATAAACCTACAATAAACTACAATAAACCACAATAAACCACAATAAACCAAAATAAACCACAATAAACCAAAATAAACCACAATAAATCAAAATAAACCACAATAAACCACAATAAACCACAATAAACCACAATAAACCACAATAAACCACAATAAACCTACAATAAACCACAATAAACCAAAATAAACCACAATAAACCACAATAAACTAAAATAAACCACAAAAAACCACAATAAACCAAAATAAACCACAATAAACCTACAATAAACTACAATAAACCAAAATAAACCACAATAAACCACAATAAACCACAAAAAAACCACAATAAACCACAATAAACCTACAATATTCTGTAGCAAATGATTTTCATAAACTTTTGCTGTGCCATTGCAACGAGACACAACGCGTACAGGGTGACAAAAAACGAGCCAACGGTCAAGTAGATTGAGCCTAGAGTATACATTTATTCACACTAATAATTTGATACAAAGAATACAAAAGCACAATCCCTAAGCCTTAAATGTAGAGAAGAAAAAGCCGTATTCTCTCTAATACTATACCGTATTCTCTCTAATAGTAGTGCTCCTTAAGCGTTGCCTAAATTATTTGAAATCTCGAAAAGCGCTTATCAGAACCTAAAATACCGTATTTCTTCTATTAGAACGGCCCTTTTAGAGGGTAGCAAAAGAATAGAACGACTTTTTCTAATAGAACCTCTTCTAATTGTTCGATCCCCTTCCACAGTTTTGACGTTTAAATTTTTAAAAAAAGCTGATGAACTGAGGGGCAAGGAAATATCTTCTTTAAGCTTGAAATCTCGTAAACCGTTTATCAGAATCTATTGATCTGGGGTCGGAAAATGTAGCTGACGATGAGATCTTGTAGCTGATTAGAGTGTTGAACTTCCGCAAAAGCTTGGAAACCGTAAAATAGCCACCAACTCGGCTCGCCAGGGGCACTACTATTGAGCTTTTGCCAAGTTTTTAACTGTTTTGGTTGTGCTGACTTGCTTTTTAACTGCGTGCTCAAAGTTGAAACTTTGCAATTTCATTTGCAATCTAAATTGTAAATAACGAAGAATTTTTTAGTAAAAAGTTATGGCTGGGAAACACGTCATCTTACTTGCGACCTTTTCCGAGAAAATTCTGGGTTGATGCTTTCAAGCGTGATAAAACTACCGTACCCAGAATTTGCAGGTAAGCGCGAAATCTCATTCTTTTATTCTTGTTCTTTATTTTATTTTATTTCATTCTTTTTGCCTATTTCTGCTGTGATTTTCTTTGTATACATGAGTGATCATGAAAAAACTTTGTTGAAGAGATTTGCAAAAGGAATCTCGATACTAGCCTAGTTGTGGCGCATGATTTTTTTCATCAAAACCACTTTTTCTAAGGTAATTTTATGCGTAGATTCCAAAAAAACATAACGAGCGCTTATGAAAAAGCATTTTAAGACGAGCTTCGCGGAGTTTCAGGGCTCCGAGTTTCTGAACTCCAAGACGAGTTTCTGAACTCCAAGACGAGTCTCTGAACTCCAAGACGAGTTTCGGGACTCCAAGACGAGCTTCAGGACTCCAAGACGAGCTTCAAAACTCCAAGACGAGCTTCAGAACTCCAAGACGAGTTTCTGAACTCCAAGACGAGTTTCTGAACTCCAAGACGAGTCTCTGAACTCCAAGACGAGTTTCGGGACTCCAAGACGAGCTTCAGAACTCCAAGACGAGTCTCTGAACTCCAAGACGAGTTTCGGGACTCCAAGACGAGCTTCAGAACTCCAAGACGAGTCTCTGAACTCCAAGACGAGTTTCTGAACTCCAAGACGAGTCTCTGAACTCCAAGACGAGCTTCAGAACTCCAAGACGAGCTTCAGAACTCCAAGACGAGCTTCAGAACTCCAAGACGAGCTTCAGAACTCCAAGACGAGCTTCAGAACTCCAAGACGAGCTTCAGAACTCCAAGACGAGCTTCAGAACTCCAAGACGAGTTTCGAGACTCCAAGACGAGCTTCAGAACTCCAAGACGAGTTTCGGGACTCCAAGACGAGCTTCAGAACTCCAAGACGAGTTTCAGAGCTCCGCGCTTCTATAGTGTGATGAGCATAGGAAAGAGGTCAAAAAAATAGTCTCTTAAAACATTCTTTGAAGCCAAAAACATTTCTTTTCACATTTCTTTTCATGATTTTACCTTGAAAAATATTCTTCGGATGTGGATTATTTCCTTCAGCACATTCGGCATCTAAACGAAGAACGTCAGGTCCTTTGTAAAGCGCATAGATCTGAAAATCAGAAACGAGAAAAGTTTTTAAATAAAACTAATGTTTAAAGCTGCTTTTTCAAGCTTTTTTTTATTCAACTCGTACCTCTAAAAGAAGCGAATCGTTAAAATAACGATATTTTCCCATGTTTCTTTAAAAAAAGAAATCTCAATTCAAATCTCAGTAAAGAAAGGAAGGAATAAAACGTAAAAGCTGGGTAGAAATTGTGAAATTGAAATTTTGGTGAGATGATCAGCGAATGACTCGACTAATTGAACCGTGAGGCTCCTTTTTAAGGTAAAATCCTTTTATCTAATCGACAAAAAAACGATTAGATAAAAGATTATCTTCTTGTTTTTAGTCAAAGCAAATGAAGCAGAAAAATCGCTTTTTTTTAATGCAGTGAAGTCTCAGCAGAGTCAAGTACAAATTTTGTGTTTATATCATTTTGGATTAGGTGAAAATGAGAGTTTAAGTGAAGCTTTTGCTTTAAAGGGTTTGATTAAAGCTCTTGCTTTAAAGAGTTCAATTGAAGCTCTTGTTTAAAGAGTTTAAGTGAAGCTCTTGCTTTAAAGGGTTTAATTGAAGCTCTTGCTTTAAGTGAAGCTCTTGCTTTAAGTGAAGCTCTTGCTTTAAGTGAAGCTCTTGCTTTAAGTGAAGCTCTTGCTTTAAGTGAAGCTCTTGCTTTAAAGAGTTTAAGTGAAGCTCTTGCTTTAAGTGAAGCTCTTGCTTTAAGTGAAGCTCTTGCTTTAAGTGAAGCTCTTGCTTTAAGTGAAGCTCTTGCTTTAAGTGAAGCTCTTGCTTTAAAGAGTTTAAGTGAAGCTCTTGCTTTAAGTGAAGCTCTTGCTTTAAGTGAAGCTCTTGCTTTAAGTGAAGCTCTTGCTTTAAGTGAAGCTCTTGCTTTAAGTGAAGCTCTTGCTTTAAGTGAAGCTCTTGCTTTAAGTGAAGCTCTTGCTTTAAGTGAAGCTCTTGCTTTAAGTGAAGCTCTTGCTTTAAGTGAAGCTCTTGCTTTAAGTGAAGCTCTTGCTTTAACTGAAGCTCTTGCTTTAAGTGAAGCTCTTGCTTTAAAGAGTTTAAGTGAAGCTCTTGCTTTAAGTGAAGCTCTTGCTTTAACTGAAGCTCTTGCTTTAAGTGAAGCTCTTGCTTTAAAGAGTTGAATTGAAGCTCTTGCTTTAAGTGAAGCTCTTGCTTTAAGTAAAGCTCTTGCTGTCTTCATGCTCTCTGATCAAGGTTGTTTTTCAAGCCAAGTCAAGCAGCAATCCTTTGGCTTTGGTTTGGTTAGTCATGACTTTTGGCTTTGTTGGCTTTTGATTTCGTTTCAGAAATTTGTGTTTGTGTGTGTGCTTTCATTGATTTATAAGTGTAAAATTGTACGCAAAAACGGAAAACAGATTTCTTTTCTTTTACCCTTCATAAACAGCAACAATTTTCGGTTGATTTCACTGTGTTTATGCGTGATTTCTTGAAGAATGGTGAAGACGTTTTGCAATGCAATGCAATGCTCATATAGCGGAAAATCTTCTTTTATATTCATTTCTAAACACTTCAAAGAATACAAAAGAAATCTTTAGACTCTTGTGGGATGGTGAGAATGCCATTCATTCAAAAACTCGGTTTGAATGAATGAAAATGATTGCGTTGAATCATAGCTTTTTGTAGTTAATGGTTTTGGTGAATTCTTTGGCCTCAAAAGTTACTGAGACTTTGTCTATCAAGTAAAATCAAGTGAAAAATGAACAGGAACTCAAAATAAACAAAATATTCAAAAACGAAAACGATGAAGCTCTTTGCCGTGCGCTTTTTCTTTTCTTTCTTGTTCATTTCGACGGTTCAAGTGAGTTGCCAAGCCAGGACCTGGTTTCTGGACTGACATAGCCCAGAAAGGCTTTTGAAACCCAGAAGTTAGAACTGAACCTGACTTGGGTTGGCTAACAAGCCCTAGAACCCAATTGTAACATTCCTGATTAACACATTCACGACGATACGACCCACCGGTGGGCCGTACGTGGATTTAGCACCGATTTAGCTGAAAATTTTCAATCAGGAGCTTTCGAAGATGAGGAATTCGAATCCGTTAATAATAAAACCGTCAACAACAAAACTGTCAACAGCAAAGCGATCAACACCAAAATTGTCACCCTCAATACCAAAACGCTCAACCTCAACAGTAAAGCGATCAACACCAAAATTGTCACCCTCAATACCAAAACGCTCAACCTCAACAGCAAAGCGATCAACACCAAAATGCCATCATCAATCCCAAAACAGTCAACATCAACAGCAAAGCGGTCAACACCAAAACTGCCACCATCAATCCCAAAGCGCTCAACATCAACAGCAAAGCCATCAATACCAAAACCGTAATTTGAACCTTTCTGTGTAGAAAAGAAATAGTTTGTTTTACATTCGAGTTTGTTTTATGTTTTAAAGGGAAAGTCAGCTTGTGTGCAACCAATTGAAGTCTACAAATGAACAACCACAATGGGAAGGCTAAAATCTCCGAGTTTGAAAACAATTTGGGATTAGGGCAAAACAACTCGTTCATTTGGGGTTTCTTTGTTAAAAATAACTTAATTAAATAATAAATACTTAATTTTGGGTCTGAAGCAAGGTACATGAAGCAGAAATCTTGCGTAAGTCGCCGTAAGTCGCTTCTTACAAGAAGCGGACTTTCCTGGTTAACACATTCACGACGATACGGCCCACTGGTGTGCCGTATTAATGAGGATTTCGATTAATGACGATTGAAGTCATTTAAAGCTTTTTACAGCTGGCATTAATCGACTCTCAGCTGGCATTAGTCGACTGGCTAAGAGCCCTGGATCTTAGTAGGAAGTTCAAGGGTTCAATCCCTGCTCAACTCAAGTTCAACTCAAGTTCAACTCAAGTTTTTAAGGCTTTTTGTTTCTTTATTTCGTATTCAAATCCTCGGCAACTTTGCACTAGTATTTAAGAGAAGATTCAGGGCTATTGAATGACCATAGTAGTTTCGTTTATCTTTGAATTTATATCAAAATATCATTGAAACAGTCGACGACTGATTGTAAGCTTAAAAGGAAAAGAAGCAGTTGATTGAGAGAGATTGAGATTGATTGAGAGAAGCAGATTGTGATTGTGCAGAAGCAGAGAGAAAAATTCAGATATTTGACTTGTTTCTTGATTTTCTCGGAATCATATCTTACTCAAATTCTCTTTTCCACCATTCAAAAGACTTCTAGAACTTCTAGAACTAAAGAAAATTATTCTAATTGATTGAAAATCAAGATTCCAAGCTGAACTGCATAAAGAAAATCTTCTTTTTCCCCTTGTTTCTTACCTAGAAAGTATCAAATTTCTCTTTTTTTCTTTGATAGATTCCCTAGAGAAAAACTAAAAGATAAACAAAGTTTTTCCGAGTTGAAAAAAAGTGTTTTTAAAATCATTTAAAATCATTTGTAAATCATTTTTTAAATTTTAAATTCAGTACTAAAGGATGGATTCCGACGATACCCCATTAGAATCTATGGTCATTAAAAGTATACCCCATCAAAAGCTATGGGGTATCGCTAGGATGCCCGATAAGAAATTATCGGGTAAACAGGATATCCCATTAAAAGGTTTCAGGGATCCTGGCGATGCCCCATTAAAAACTATGTATTATCGTAGGGAACCCCCATCAGATGCCATGGGGTTTTGCTTTTATTTATTTTGCTATTTGTTGAAGAGGGATAAATGATTGATTGATCATGATGAAATGATTTAGTGATAAGGGTAATGAAATGATTTAACTATTGGGTTGGGGAGAATGAGTCGGCGCCAAACTTTAAAGGGACTTTTTGCACACATAAAGCCTTCTTTAAACATACGTTTGGTTTCATCAAAAGGATCCACTATTTCTCTACAAAATCACTTTTGAGAGATTCCACAAAGCTTTTCTTTCGTGGAGTTTATGAACTTCCAAACGCAGCTGGTTAAAATGGCAAAGAGTCCGACTCATCATTTGAACAGTTTCTTTCACATAAACCTTCTTTGGTGTTTATATAAAAAAGATAGAGCACATTCAATTACTTAAGTTGCCAAATTTGCAGGAAGATCCCACCAATGGTTTTTTCTAGATCACAGTTTGTAGTTTTTGTGAAAAAATGGCTTTTTCTTGAGCGGAGGCGCTGTTTGAATTTTCTTTTAAATGTCATTTTGTAGAGAATTAGTTAACCATTCTACTCATATCAAACGCATATTATTTGACGAAGTCGAATAGAAGTTTTAGACATTTTTTTGATTTTCGGCGCCGACTCATTCTCCCCAACCCAATATTTAGAGCTTCAGTTTAATCTTAAATAATGAATCCTTCAGTACTGAATCTATGAATCATTCTTTAAATCATTCTTTGAATCATTCTTTAAATCATCCTTTAAATCATCCTTTAAATCATTCTTTAAATCATTCTTTAAATCATTCTTTAAATCATTCTTTAAATCATTCTTTGAATCATTCTTTAAATCATTCTTTAAATCATTCTTTAAATTTTCTTATTTTCTACATAATTAGACGTGTTATCATATAGTTTTCGGATTCTTTTTCTTCAAAAAAAAAGAATTTTGAGCGAATTGATAAGAAATTTGGTGTCTCACGACCTTTTTTTGAAGGAAAATCCTAGAAAACGGGTCAGAAATTGAGGGTTTTCTTGTCATTTTTTATTCTTTTAAGCAATTAATTTAAAGATTTATCTGTTTTGAGTACTTTAGCTCTTTAAAACTTATAGAATTACTTCAAGAATTATGTTAATTTTGGCTGTAGTCGGCTTGAGCCTAGTGTACTTTCTTGCTCCGTGTAAACGCATGCTTTCTGGCGCACTCAAACCCCTCCTGGCTTGGGAAATCAGGAATTTGGTGGGCCAGATTCTTGTGTTTACATGTTTAAAAGAGCACAAAGTGCGAGTCGTTCACAATAGCGGAAAATTCTTAAGATCTGTGCATCATAAAAAGTACATTTTTTTCACGATATTGATAAGAAATCATTGTTGGTTTCTTCTAAAGTAAAAAACCTCATTTTTAACTTTTTACTCCCAAAAGTGTTTGAGCTTTTAGTGATTTTTAATTCTTATAAATAAAGAACTTTCGAATTCTAGTTTTCTCATCAAAAACAGTGACTTTTTGAGCTGAAATAAGGCCATTTTCTCAAGCAATTTTCTTCTTTTTCTGCTCTCTTCTTATTCAAAGAAATTTTTCGATTCACCCCAAAAAATAAGTATCAAACTTTGGCTTCTGACTATGACTGATGTTTTGCGGTGAGTAAAACGATACTTTTGCCTTATCTGGGGGAACTTCGATAAAAATTAGCTAGCTGGTCTCACACAGGCTAGGAGCCTAGGAGCTAGGAGATTTTGCTAGGCTTTGGCTCTTCACCTTTGCCATCTTTTACCCTTTATTGAACTAATGTGAATTCTAATATCAAAAAGCGCGTTTTCCGTAACCATAAAACGTCTATTTTGTCATTGACATTCCCCCCAGGTAACACAAAAGTACCAGTGAAATGTCTGGAGTGTTTCTTGCTAGTAATGCGTTTTTTAAAACGCAAACTTGCGAAAAATTACCGTACTTTTAACGAAAATTACCGCAAAAAAATGACGCAAAAATCACGAGCGCCGCATTATTTACGCCGCCTTATATACGCTGCCTTATATATGCCGCTTTATATATGCCGCTTTATATACGCCGTCTTATATACGCTGCCTTATATACGCCGTCTTATATACACCGTCTTATATACGCTGCCTTATATACGCCGCTCTAGATACGCCGCTCTAGATACGCCGCTCTAGATACGCCGCTCTAGATACGCCGCTCTAGATACGCCGCTCTAGATACGCCGCTCTAGATACGCCGCTCTAGATACGCCGCTCTAGATACGCCGCTCTAGATACGCCGCTCTAGATACGCCGCTCTAGATACGCCGCTCTAGATACGCCGCTCTAGATACGCCGCTCTAGATACGCCGCTCTAGATACGCCGCTCTAGATACGCCGCTCTAGATACACAGCCTTATATACACAGCCCTATATACACAGCCTTATATACACAGCCTTATATACACAGCCTTATATACACAGCCTTATATACACAGCCTTATATACACAGCCTTATATTTTCTTTTCTTTTCTTTTCAGAGATCATTTCTTCTGTTCACATCTTGCCTCAAGATTGAAAAAGAGCTTTTGTTTTTCCTGTGTTTTCCGTCTTAATCCGCTTTTTTCATTTTCATTTTTTTTCATCCATTTTCCCCGAATCTCACAATTGTATCATTTTATTTTTGTCCTCGATCCGAATTTTTCAAAAAAATTCAGCGATCTCATGTCGATCCTCATTTTTCTGTTGCCAATTCTGGCAAAATTACAAACGAAGTTTTTCCGACATTTCTACCGAATCGGCTTCAACTTTTACAAATGGTGGACAGGTGGGGGAAAGTTTTACATTCAAAAAACGATCTTTTTAAGCTTAGAAAACCTCAAAAACAGTAAAAATATCGGCTTTTAACTTATTTAAAGCTTAAAACAAGCTCATTTTCCAGGTCCTCCAATAAGAATCACAAAACACATTCGGGATTTCGCAAAAAGTATTGAACCGGATGAATGGGAGTGGAAAGCGGATGCGAAAAGTGGCGGTGAGGTGAGTGATTTTTGAAGGAATTGAAGGAATGAAGGGATTTCGCTTAAAATAGTGCTAACCACAGCTTTTCTGAAATTTTTCGTCTTCGGAACTTGGCTACAAGACAAAGTATAGCTTCGAGGTACTTCTGTGGATCTGAAGCTAGGCCTGGTTTATCTGGATTGGCTATCAAGTAGAGCAGCATTGCTAGGAGCTCGCTAATTGGGGCAATGACCTTCAACCTATTGCCTATCAGCCAAACCAGCCAGCCAACCAAGGCAGCCAGCCAGCCGGCCAAACTAGCCAGCCAAGCCAGCCATCCAATGCAGCCATCCAATGCAGCCATCCAAGCCAGCCAGCCAAACTAGCCAGCCAAGCCAGCCAGCCAAGCCAGCCAGCCAAGCCAGCCAGCCAAGCCAGCCAGCCAAGCCAGCCAGCCAAGCCAGCCAGCCAAGCCAGCCAGCCAAGCCAGCCAAGCCAGCCAGCCAGCCAGCCAGGCCAGCTAGTCAAGCCAGCCAGCCAGTCAAACTAGCCAGCTAAGCCAGCCAAGCCAGCCAGCCAGCCAGCCAGCCAGCCAGCCAAGCCAGCCATCCAAGCCAGCTAGTCAAGCCAGCCAGCTAGGCCATAAGCCTGTCCAGCTGGAGTCAGGTAAGGCCAAAGGCTCCTTAGACTCATAGCCTAGATAAGAAGCCAGACCCAGGACTGGTCCTCTGGTCCAGCTTGGCCAGCTCTAACTTCTGCTAGTCTAGCTAGGCCAGAACTTGACCTGTCCTATGCTGAGTGGCCGTAAAAGAACGCTTTAAATGAACTTTTTTAGCTGATTGATATCCAATTACGACTTTTTTAGGAACATTTCCGTTTCGAGTTGTCCGATTGGAGTTCTCGGGATTCTCTTCATATCGATATTGTTTCAAGAGCGACTCAAATCGAGGCTCGTCTGATTTTATGGCATCAAGGAGAGACTTTTGACTCGGGGACACTGATTTCAAGGGAAACCGATGACATTCATGTGAGTGTGGAAAGCTAACTGAAATTGTTGGACTTTTGGTTCAATGAGGAAGTAAAATAGCTTAAAAATGGTTCAATTTTCAAGATTGGATTGATCATTTTCCTTTTTGGTTCTATAATTTTGTGTAATACTTGAGCTTTCTTTACTCTTCTTTATTCTTCCTTTACTCTTCCTTTACTCTTTCTTTATGCTTCCTTTACTCTTCCTTTACTCTTCCTTTACTCTTTCTTTACTCTTCCTTTACTCTTCTTTATTCTTTCTTTACTCTTCCTTTACTCTTCCTTTACTCTTCCTTTACTCTTCCTTTACTCTTCCTTTACTCTTCCTTTACTCTTCCTTTACTCTTCCTTTACTCTTCCTTTACTCTTCCTTTGCTCTTTCTTTATTATTCTTTTAGACAATTCGTTGTGGTCCATTGTTGTTAGATGTTCGCGAACCGTTTAGACGATGCCGATTTTTTTATCGAGGTGAAATAAGGTCAGTTTCACTAGTTTTATCAACGCAAAACAACGCAAAACAACGCAAAACGATAAATTCAATATTTTATTAGCTTAACTTTTCAGAAACTCTCAAAACGAGCCGATCTTCTTAAGCATTGGCGGCTGGTTTAAGCCGACGTCAGATGTGCGCTTTTTCTATTCAAATCTTCAAGTAAACGAAGAGATTTTAAAGAATCCATGGAGAATTTTAAGCAATTTTCGGAAATTCAATAAGTTTTGTGGAGATTTTCTTCAAAAAAAACAATTCATTTTTAAGGCAACGAGAGCAAAAAGATTTCGTTCAATGGGGCGAAGCGTTTTGTGAGATCGAGATGAACCGAGTGGCGGTGAGGAGAAGGTTTAGGTGAGTTTGATGTCTGATTTAGATTTTTTTATAGTATTTTTTTGATAAATACCATAGAAACTTTAATAAAACGGTCTATAGGAGCGTTGCGTAGTCAATCAAGACAAGTAACAAAAGAGCCTACATCATCATAGAGTTTTAGATAGATAGATATTGGAGTTGTTGATTGACTAAGTGAATCTGTAAGCCAAGTCAGTCAGTCTGTAAGCCAAGTCAGTCAGTCTGTAAGCCAAGTCAGAAATTGGGGCTCTGACCTGATCTAGCTTTTTGTGGGTTAAAGAAATTCTTGTAAGCTTGCTGTAAGTCAAGGTAAAGCCACTGCAGCAAAGCCAAAGCAGACAAGGCAAAGCCAGAAACCCAGCCAGAACTTGAAAGGCTTTCAGCAAAGCTAGGCCAGGACCTTGCCCTGGCTTGTAACGGAAAGTTATTCCCAATATTGTAATATATATTTGTTAGAAAGATGAAAAGTTCTAGACGCCTGACGTTTAAAGAGAGATCTTTTTGTCCTTTCAATAAAGAACTCAAAGTATTGGGTTGAGGAAAAAGTAATGTCGGTTTTCAATTACTGTTGTTGGCAATTTTCCATTTCTTTGCTTATTCGATTTTTTTTCAAATTGATCTCACCTAGACACTTCTATACTTTCATATTATATTTGATTTTACAAATTTAACAATATTTTCCGGTACAAAATGCAAGACGAAAAGTTTCGACTTCGAGCCCCTTTGTGGTATGATTTTAAACAAGGGAAATCGACGAGCTTAGTTGGAAACTTCTGCCCCACGCACCTTTTGGTCCGGACCTGAGCCTGAATAATCTGATGGTCCGGACCATCAGACTAATTTTTTGTTTCGGTCGTTCAAGAGTTTTCTTATGGGAGAAAAGAAAAGAAAAGGAGAAAAAGTTCGAGAATCATGCATAGATCAAAAAAAGCAGTCGAAAAAAAACCGACATTACTTTTTCCTCAACCTAATAAAAGAAAGTAGACTCCAGTAAAGGAGTACTAGACTTCAGTAAAGGAGTACTAGACTCCAGTAAAGGAGTACTAGACTTTAGTAAAGGAGTACTAGACTCCAGTAAAGGAGTACTAGACTCCAGTAAAGGAGTACTAGACTTTAGTAAAGGAGTACTAGACTCCAGTAAAGGAGTACTAGACTTTAGTAAAGGAGTACTAGACTCCAGTAAAGGAGTACTAGACTCCAGTAAAGGAGTACTAGACTTCAGTAAAGGAGTACTAGACTTTAGTAAAGGAGTACTAGACTCCAGTAAAGGAGTACTAGACTCCAGTAAAGGAGTACTAGACTTCAGTAAAGGAGTACTAGACTTTAGTAAAGGAGTACTAGACTCCAGTAAAGGAGTACTAGGTGAGTCAAAGGAAGATACTTTAGTTCAAATCATCCACTGAAACTTAAATGGGAATTAGTTAGTGCTTCCAAGACAAGTAGACTAAAAATGGAAGGCTTTTCAAGCAAACAAGGTCAAAAACCAGGCTAGGATCTGGCTTTGACTTTGCTTTTAAATCAAGCCTATTTAGAGGACTCAAAGAAGTTCGACGCTTGAGTGCAAACGATCGTGAGGATCAGATCTCCGTGTATTTTGAGGTAAAGTTCTTGAGTACTGAAATCACCACTAGCAAAAAAATTTTTACGACTTTTTAAACGATTGATTCATTGAAGCGATTGATTAAGTGATTCACCTAGTCGTAAAATTTCACTCCCCAAAAAGTTGCTTGAAATGAAAGTAGAAGACAAAGACAACTTTCCCAAGCGACTTCAAGCCATATAGAGGCCAGATAGAGGCCAGATAGAGGCCAGATAAAGGCCAGATAGAGGCCAGATAGAGGCCAGATAGAGGCCAGATAGAGGCCATAGTTTTTACCAGTTAGTTGTTCAAAAATAAAACGATCTTCTTTGAATTGAACTTCTTTGAAAAATGATCTTTGGCCAGTATTTTTCTTGTTTCAGTAATGAGGCACTCTGTCTACCAACAAAGTACACTATATTGTTGAGAATTTTGTCTTTAGTTCTTTTCAGGATGGTCTTACGTTTCTTATGTTCTTTTCAGGATGGTCATCGCTATTTTTGGCGCTCGGAGGATCGCGCTCAGTACAATAGTCATTTGGAGCACGGAATTCACTCGCACGTCGATCAAATCGTTCGCTCGATTTCACTCGATACACCTGAAGGAGTCTATCAACCGGATTCATTATCGATTTTGAAGTTTAAAACAAGTTTGAGAGTAAAGTAGTTCTATAAAATGTTCATTTAGATCAAGGACAAGAGGAGAGTTTCACCAAAATGAAGCACTTGAACAAGTGCAGCTATGAGAGAGATGACGGGGTGACGATTGTTGTGAATAGGTGTGCTTTTTGCTGTGAATGTTGCTTAGATTCAAAAAGGCTTAGCAAATAAGCCAAATTTTTAGGCAAATTCAAGCCAAAGCTAAGATTTTTCAAGAGTTATTCAAGAGTTATTCAAGAAGTTCAACGATAATTTTGAAATTCCAAGGGAAAGCCAACTGAAAGCCAATTGAAAGCCAACTGAAAGCCAATTGAAAGCCAATTGAAAGCCAATTGAAAGCCATTATCTTCTACTTTGATTTGACTAAGCTAGCCTTGGCTTTTGGCTTTTTGCCAACTCTGATCCAGTTCTGCAATATCAACACTTCAGATTCGAATGCGATCGAAAGGGATCAATTGGATACGCGTTCATTTCCTCGATCATTCAACCATTGGATAAGAAAGAATGCAAGCAAAGAGTTGAGGCAATACTTGGTAAGAATATGATCTATACTTACGCATCTTCTGGAATTAAAATCTCATTTTTTTGCTAAACTTTTATAAAACGTTGCCCTGTGAATTTGGAGTTAAATTTACAGCTTATTAGGCATGATCAAACTGACGCAGAATCGTTTTCTTGAGCGTTTTCTGACTAGCCGAATGTTCTGACATTTGGAAAGAGCACTATTCTTTGCGTCTTAGGTTTTAGGTTAAGGATTAGCAGATCTATTAGATCTAGTAGATGTTAGCAGAGCTATTAGATCTAGTAGATGTTAGCAGATCTTTTAGATCTATTAAATGTTAGCAGATCTTTTAGATCTATTAGAGATCTATTTATTAGAGTCTAAAACAGCTTGAGAATCTAAGCTTGAGTCGAACCAATTGGTTTAACTTTTTGGTAACAGCGACGCTAACCAATAAACCACGGGGTTGTGCAAAGAGTTTCCGAAAAGTTTCTAGTTGTTGATGCTAATGGCAATCTGAGAGATGTAGGCAAAAAGTCACAATTGTGACTGTGAATGACACGATTCAGTGACTAAAAAGTGACAAGCTTGAAAATTGACGGCTAGATTGATTGGAGATGATTGGAGATGATTGGTGATTCTTTTCTAAGCCTTAACAGATTCTAATCTAGATTCTAGATTCAAAATCTAATCAATTTGTTCAATCAATCAATTCTATATGTTCGTTTCTAGACTATAAAGCAATTGGTCTTGAGCGGATTCTTCGCATCATTCCACTCACTCATCGTGCTTGCCAAGACTCGTCATTAACCGGTGGAAAGGGGTCAAATCTCGGAAAATTATCAACAATTCGATGCAAAGTATGCTAAATGGAAATACTAAATGGCTTTCTATATGGAAATGGAGCAGAGAAGCTAAATCCTTTTAGTACCAAGTCCCTAATGGCTTCGTGATATCGACGAATGCTTATGAAGAACACTTGAAAGCAAACAAAGCCTTATCTCAACTGATCAATCGAATCAATCACAAGTTAGACTGTTAATCAATCAATTCTTCTATTTAAAACCATTTTTTAGTTTGAAAATTGATGAATTAGAGAGTCTTTTGAAGAAAATCGAGGCAGCTTTTCATGAATCAGAATGTGAGTTTCGAAAAGCGATCTTGAATTCGTTTTAGCGCTAAAGTTCAGATGTTTTGTTTTGGTTTCTTAAATCAAAAAAGATTTTAGTAACACTTGCAATGAGAACCGAGCTTGAGATCGTTTTGCGTAACGAATTCGCGGAGAAACTCTTGGCGATTCGGTGAGTCAGTGAACGATGGCTAGCAAACTGAGCTTTTCTCTAGCTAACTCAAAGAATATTCGTTTTCAAGTTGTACAAGCATTCAAAATCAACAAAATCTTTATTTTCTTATGGCGATTCGCAGTCTGAAAGTTGAATTTCAATGAAAAATACCGTAAAAAGTTTTTCGGGAAAGACAGAACGGTTTATTTCGCCAATTTTCAATCACTATTTTCTGCATACTGGTTTATGCTAGAAATCTGCCTTATATCTCAAAGCATCACCCATCTTCTCTACTTTAATTTGATACTTAAACAAACAAAAATAAACGTACCGGTGCCAAGTTATGAGTGTTTGTTTAAGAGTCAACAAACTACCCGACACCCAAAAACCCGATCATCGATTTTCAATCAGTTTTTTCTGCACACTGGCTTAAGCTAAAAAACTCTTTTATATCTCAAAAAATTACCCATCTTCTCTACTTTAATTTGATACTTAAATAAACAAAAATAAACGTACTGGTGCCAAGATCTAAGCGTTTATTTAAGAGCAAACTTAGACTATCGGAAACTAGTTTTCACGGTAGTTTGTTCGATTCTTTTTGAAGCTTTTGAAGCTCTTCTTGACGTTCTTTTTAGAATTCTTTGAAGAAAGAAGCTTATTTTTCTTCCAATCATGCGTTTACATTTAAAACCTACATAATTATAACTTATAGATCATCAGCAATTGGCGAAGATGGCGCCGATCTCTCATCTGCCGGTCAATTAGAATCACAGCTGAACATACAACCAAAAGACGTAAAAAAACTTGCTTCTAAAGATAACTATTACTAAAATATGACTGTAAACTATCAAAATTTTGTTTCCAAGGAGAATTCTAGGTTCAACAAACTCTCAAACGCGTGTGGGCATCGAATTTTCGCAAAGAGGTTTACTCGTACAGAAAGTGAGTAAATTTAGGTGTTCTGGCTGTACAAAATCAGAAATAAATGGCTAGAAAAATATAAAAATCAAAACTGTAATCTCTTTTACATTTTACATTACAAAAAAAACGGTTCTTCTAGGTTTTATGCTCAACTCTTGACTCCATCAATGGCCATCGTTGTACAAGAAATGATATCGAATGGAACAGCTGGTAAATTTTAGCCCCAAACTCTCACCTAATTATTTCTTTCTTCTAAAGATCTTCTTCTATAGATCTTCTTCTAAAGATCTTCTTCTAAAGATCTTCTAAAGATCTTCTTCTAAAGGTCTTCTTCTAAAGATCTTCTTCTATAGATCTTCTTCTATAGATCTTCTTCTATAGATCTTCTTCTATAGATCTTCTTCTAAAGATCTTCTTCCAAGGATCTTCTTCCAAGGATCTTCTTCTGAAGATCTTCTTTTAAAGATCTTCTTCTAAAGATCTTCTTCTAAAGATCTTCTAAAGATCTTCTTCTGAAGATCTTCTTTTAAAGATCTTCTAAAGATCTTCTTTTAAAGATCTTCTTTTAAAGATCTTCTTCTAAAGATCTTCTTCTAAAGATCTTCTTCTAAAGATCTTTAGCTTTAGTTTCTACTTGTCTAAACTTTTTCACTAAAAACAAATCCCTAAATAACCAAATTTCAAGGTGTGATGTTCACGTGCAATCCGGTTACTCGAGATCCCACAAAATTCCTCATCAACGCTCACCAAGGGATGGGTGAGGAGATCGTGAGTGGGGCAGTCACTCCACACACCGCTCTCATCGCTAAACATAATGGGGAGATCCTTGAAAAGGTAGTTTTAATTGAATTCTATTAATATTTAATTGAAACTCTATTAATCTGCACATCATTTTGTTCTTTTAGTCCGAAGAAATCCTCTGCTTGGAGGACTCACAATTGCTTGAGTTGACTAAAGTCGGGCACTTCTTGGAGACACATTTTGGAAAACCACAAGATGTCGAATTTGTGATCAAAAATGAGGTCATCTACTTGGTACAAAGTCGTGATGTCACAGGTGAGTGATGGCTGGTTACGATATGCGGGTCATGCTTTACGGTTACGGTAATCGGCAGGCTTAAAGCGTGCCGTGCTGGCTACCATAAGCTGACTACCGTAAGCTGGCTATCATAAGCTGGATATCATAAGCTGGCTATCATAAGCTGGCTATCATAAGCTGGATATCATAAGCTGGCTATCATAAGCTGGATATCATAAGCTGGCTATCATAAGCTGGCTATCATAAGCTGGCTATCATAAGCTGGATATCATAAGCTGGCTATCATAAGCTGGATATCATAAGCTGACTACCGTAATCCGTAAGCCAATTAGTAGATGTGGCAATTGCTATAATATCATTTATCAACTATGGAGATCTGAATTGAGTTACGGTAGATCATGCTTTACGGTTATCAGCTGGCTTAAAGCGTACCGTAACTCATAACCCAGGTTGTAAATCATTTATCTTTCAACTCTATCAAATCTATCAACTATGAAGATCTAGACTGGAGCATTACGGTAGCTGAGACATGCTTTAGATCTGAGTCAATGCTCGGAAAAGTTCCCAAATCCTAGGTCTCGATCGGGAAAGCGATTTTGAGTTGAGCACCGAGTTCGACTCAGGGAATCTCACTGATCACGAAATCTATACAACGGCAAATGTTGGGTGGGGCATTTATATATTAAAGTGATCACAAAACTTTCTATCAATACAGTAACTTATCCATTCTTTTGCAGCGAAGTGTTGCCCCGGCCACTCACCCCGTTGGGCATTTCCGTTGAGGCTCAGTTGTACGAGAAAGCTCTTTGTGTAAGTTCTTGCCTTAAAGGAGGACCAAATGATAACCGATTCTCTGTAGTAATATTGTTTTTGTTGACTTTAACCGTTTGTCTCAAGAAAAGTTTTAATAGAAGCGAATTGGCTTGGGTTTTGCATAGCTTTTCAATGAAATTTCAATGAATTCAATGAATTTTCGAGAAGAACCGTAAAAACTATAACATTCTTTAAATTCCTATCGTTTTCTACAGTATCTTTATTCCAGAAAATGTTCTTCTCATTTGGTTCTACCCATATCCCGATGCATCACCATATGGCTTTTCACATCACCAACAATCGAGTGTTCTTCAACGTTGGAGAGGTGAAAGATGAATAAGACATAGTTCTATCATTAAAAATCTATGTACTTTGAAGAATTTAAAGAGAGTTAGAAAGCTAGAAAGCTAGAGCTAGAAAGATATCGTATTGTCCCATAGTTTCTTTAGGCGTTAGTATTACGGTAAGCCGTTATCTTTGATCTTTGAATAGTTTAAGAAGTACCGTAATTCATTATCGTTCTTAAATTGCCACCAGTATTCCTGGTGGCACCGTACCTGAGTGCTGTACCTATCAGTACCGTACTTCTATAAGTACCTTAGTCTAAGTACCGTGCTCTATAAGGATCGTACTTTTATAAGTACCGTACTCTAAGTACCGTACTTCAATCAGTATTGTGCTTCTAATAGTACCGTACTCTAAGTACCGTACTTCTACAAATACCGTACTCTAAGTAACGTACTTCTACAAATACCGTACACTAAGTACCGTACTTCTATAAGTACCGTACTCTAAGTACCATACTTCTACAAATACCGTACACTAAGTACCGTACTCTAAGTAACGTACTTCTACAAATACCGTACTCTAAGTGCCGTACTTCTACAAATACCGTACTCTAAGTAACGTACTTCTACAAATACCGTACGCTAAGTACCGTACTTCTACAAATATCGTACTCTAAGTAACGTACTTCTACAAATACCGTACTCTAAGTAACGTACTTCTACAAATACCGTACTCTAAGTAACGTACTTCTACAAATACCGTACTCTAAGTACCGTACTTCTATAAGTGCCGTACTCTAAGTACCGTACTTCTACAAATACCGTACTCTAAGTAACGTACTTCTACAAATACCGTACTCTAAGTAACGTACTTCTACAAATACCGTACTCTAAGTACCGTACTTCTATAAGTGCCGTACTCTAAGTACCGTACTTCTACAAATACCGTACTCTAAGTAACGTACTTCTACAAATACCGTACTCTAAGTACCGTACTTCTATAAGTACCGTCCCCTCAACTAAGTACCATAACCCTCAAGTTTTAAACTTCTAAATATCAGTCTTTAGATATAGCATAGTCTGTAAGATACCGTACCCCAAATTTTATTAGCCTTGGTTTGTAGTCTTCTTTTTAAACTTATAATAATTGAAGATAACCTTTTAAAACTTCACGAATCATTGCTGGCCTTAATGACCTTAATTTCACCCTCTTTATAATCCTAAAGTTTAAACCAATTTTCAGCTCTATCTTCGTCAATGGGTTGTTCTCGAAAAAGATCCATTATCCGAGTACACCCTGGCGGGAGAGCGAATGATCTCCACGGAAATGTATCGACAAGGGAAACTCCGCTACAAGCCCTCACATCCACTTTTTCCTATTTATCGATTGGGATACATGATACATGTGAGAGATCTGAGATTCTGAGATATCTGAGATTCTGAGATATCTGAGATTTTGAGAGATCTGAGATTTTGAGAGATCTGAGATTTTGAGAGATCTGAGATTCTGAGAGATCTGAGATTCTGAGAGATCTGAGATTCTGAGAGATCTGAGATTCTGAGAGATCTGAGATTCTGAGAGATTATCTATAACTAGATATCAGATTACGATCTGATATCTGATATCTTATCTTGTTTCTTCTCTAGGCAACACTTTGGGGCGGAAAGAGTACACTGAAAACGGTGGAATTTGGATCGAAAGCGATTCAAGAGCTCGTCTCGGATGGAAAAGCTCAACGACAATTGGAGAACATTCAACAACAACAGGAGCTGTTTGCGAAGGTTTAGCTGTGTAACTTTAACAAGAATATTGTAACAATTGTAACAATTCAAAGCCAAACCAGCTAAGGTCAGGGACAGATCAGAGTTTGGTACTGGCTTCTGACTTTACTGCAAGCTTTTTTAGCTCTTAGTTCACTAAGAAAAACAAAGTCAATCACAACAACAAAGTTCTTTTAATTTGTCAAAGAAAGTCAAAATAGTTCTTTCAATTTCTCCCGTAAAGCCAGAGTTAGACCAAGACTTTCTGGATGACCAAGAGTAGAAAGTCTTGGACCTGAACCTGTGTTCTGACGTATTAGCTAGCCCAAGAAGCTGCTTAGCCAGTCAGCCAGAACATCCTTAAACAGTATTTAAAGAATAATATTTCGATACTAAATCACCTAGCTAATCTACAATCACTCGTACATCTCCTCTTGCTCCTCGTTCACTTATATCATTGTAGCGATGTTGATTCGTGGATCACCGGGTGAGTTGAAAAAAGAAATACTAGTTAGATCAGTTCAAACACTTGATTAGTTTATATTATTCTAGCAACTTCAACATTTTTCTTTTAAATTCTAAGCTCTAGAGGTTGAAATTTGAGATTTTAAGTAGACTAGTAAACCAGGCTTTTGGCCTTATTTCTGGCATTGTTTAACTGGCCTTGTTTAGCTGACCTTGCTTAGCTGACCTTGCTTAGCTGACCTTGCTTAGCTGGCCTTGTTTAGCTGACCTTGCTTAGCTGGCCTTGCTTAGCTGGCCTTGCTTTAGCTGGCCTTGCTTAGCTGGCCTTGCTTAGCTGGCCACTTTGAAAATCTTTAAACAGTAATAGTGAATAATATTTTATCTATTACATATCATATTGCATAAAGTTCCATAAATATGAGTATTACATCAAATTTCAGAAGGAGATCTGACTCCAGAGATGCTTTCCGACATCGCCACTTTATTCGGGAACAACAGTTTGTCTGTGATCTCAGCCGATGTGCCAAATGCTTTAAAGGTGAGTTGTCTATGAAAGCAATAACTAAAGGGAACGGTCAGAGATCGCGAGCGCAAATCCAAACCAAAGCTATGGCTTACGAAGCTATGACTCACACAAATCGGACACGGGCAACACGATGGCGTTTATAGTTTTTGCCTAAAGGCTCTAGATTTCTGTAAAAGAGCATTTGAAATTTGATTGGGCGACTTATGAGTTTGTAAGGACTACCGTCGATCACAGAAAAAGTGACTCAATGGTGCAGTGGTAGTGGCGGTGGCCCCTATTTTTGACATCCGAGTTCGATCCCGCTTGGATCCATTTTTTATTTCATTATTTTAATGTTTTCAGCAATAGGTCGAAAGAATCTCATCGAAGCTAAAGATATTGAAAAGCTCCTCAAAATATACCAATTTTCATTCAGAACATCGCCAAAGCAATCACGAAAAGCAAGGTTCAACCCGAATTCGAGACATTGGAAGCACCAAACTCTCTTAAGCCAAAAATAGTTATGATCTTACTATTTCACCTATGAGCTGTTACACATGTTGTTCAAGTTTTTGCCGTCAGTATTCAATAAATGTTACCTTTTCTCTCGTTTCCGTCAGCTTCTTGTATCGTATCACACCAAAATGTTCAAGATTCTTCTGCTTGACAGCTATGAGACTTTCGGCAACCTTCTTTCTAAATATAAAACTAATTTTTAAAAGTCAAAGTAAAACTGACCGCTTCTTTGCAACCCGAGCCGCTTCCTTCTGCTGCTTTTGAATGTTTTCAATCACTTCTTTGCGAGTAGAGCTTCCGGGATTCTAAATTCTTTTAAACAATCAAACAAATTAAAGCAAAGTCTCACCGCTTCATCGGCAAAAAACGAAGATACTTGATCAGGATTCCAGATTGGTTTAATAGGAGCCTCTGTAGTTGTTGGACGCACGAGTCTTTTTAAAACCGACTAAAACTTGCAATCATAGATTTATACTAAACGATTCACCTTTTGTTCGATCGATTCCTTGTCTAATTAGTCCTACCACTTGTAACTGGGCTTGTTCATTCGAAGTGAAAACCAAAACACGTGGTTCTATAAAACTTTTGAAACTGTGTTGTATTCCAAATAACTAACCATTATTTGGAATTTTTTCTTTTGGAATATGAAGCTCTTTGATCTCATCCAAAACGGATTCTAATGATGTCCATTTAGGCGGGGCTAAATACGGTGGGATTCAAAACAAAAGTCACACGAACCAACAAATTCGGGACGATTGGATGCAAATGAGGCAAGCTCCTGGGCAATGGCCTTAAGTCGCGCTCCAGTTGGAGTAAACGACCATCCAGTGGACTCTTCCAGCGCCTAAACTAATAAATTTAGATGTAATAATCACATATAAACAACTTCTTTATCGTTTCCAAGCTCGTTTAGCTTATACAGCACTGTACATGCATCAAGATTCTCTGCCGTCCGCAAAAGGTTTCGCAAAAATTTTAAATCCGACAAAAGCCGCCGTTGACGATCCGGTAAAAAAGATCTGCAATGCAAACGATTACGAATTGTGATTATAGATATTCTATTACCCCTTGTACTGCAATCTCTTCTCGAGTTCTGTCGTGAAATAAACACCAGCGTTGAATGAATCACTCTCCTCTTCTTCTTGTTTCTAAAAATGAATAGTTGGAAAAACAGAGAAATGTCTCACTTTGTTTCTAACAGAAGATTGTTTCAATTCCCGAAGGCAAACTTTTAACAAATCAGTTATCAGCGAAATACAACGTCGTGTGCCTCCCGACAAATCAACCGTTATTTCGATAGACGACGGCTAAAAAGAAACGTTTATTAAGCCATTTGTGATCATTTGTATATGTTTAACCCCATACTGCTTACCGGAGCACGCGCAAAGGTTTTGACAACCGACGTATCGTGTCGTGGGAGAAGATGCACTTTTCGAACAAACAGGCGATCAACGAGTCTGTAAATATAAATTTAAGCAGCTTCCCCATTTGTTTATTTTCCACTTTTACTAAAATTCCAAACTCAAATACCTTTGTAATTGTCCTATTCCAGCAAAATACATCGGCATATCTGTAAAGCCTTTCACATGACCTTCCGGGTTCTTTTCACGGTATAATCGAAGTATAAACGTTTCTTGAAAACTATTCAAAAGCCTAAATAGAAACAACGGTTTAGTAAACGCAAAAGTTATTACTGATGTGCTCGGTAAACGAGTATAGCTGCCACCATCTTTGCTGGAACACGATTTGTGAGAAAATCCACCATCAAAATGCGAGAAGTGATGAATTGTACGCCACCTTGCAAATACAACGCCTCTCTAAAAGATCTCATGTTATTGTAAGCAAAACACTCATACCGATCCGAGGCAAGCACTTCTGCTTTTATCACTTTTGGAGGGGGCAAACTCGTTGGCTGGAAGCGAATGCAATTTAGAAAGGAGGAAAGCTTCGTCTTCTTGTGTAGTGTTGATGACGAAAGCGAGAAGTTTTCGACTCGAGTACAACATTAGAAAGTTCAAAAACAATCTTTCGACGCCAAGTCCACTAAATTGATAAAAGATTAAAAATAAAATTGGAAAAATCTTTCCCAACAACATTGTATTGTATTGAAAGCTTTAAACCTTGCCATCACAAATAAAGTATCTTCGTTCATATGTTCAACCATGGCCATATGTTCGTGCTCGAGTACCTCTATTGCTTCCGGCAGGGGCTACATTGAAAAAGTTATCAAATTTTTTTCAAAATAGTTACTTCGATTGCCGGAATGCATTGACGGCGCTCTCCGCGAGTTTCTTCAACTTCATGTTTAACCTAAAACCCATGCTAGTTTTCGAAATTTTAAATTTTACTTTTGCTGGATCAAAAACCGCGTCCATTTAAGATTATAGGAAGTTGTCATCAACTTGGAAAAGCCTAAAATGTGCGTTTAATCGAGCTGTGTGCTTTTACACCCAAGAGTATCTCAAACGTGTTCAAACGCGTTACGTACCAGTAAAAGAAAAGAATTTTTTTTTTATTTCAGACAACAAGGTTATAACAAAAAGAAAAACTGAAGGACTAGATCAGAAAAAAAAAATCAGAAACATGAAATCCATGGAAACAAATGCTTAAAGATCATAACTAAATTTTAGCTACTTTTCAGACAACAAGGTTATAACAAAAATGATCGAGGTTGCGGAAGTGTTGACTAAATAAAAGGCTCATTTTAAAAGAAAATTCAAAGTACCTAAGCCTAAGCCTAAGCCTCTATTACTTGCCATCTTCCGGCAAACTCTGCCCGTTGTCCTCTACCCATATCCATTGTCAATGTTTCATTCGAATCCAATAAATGAGAATCTCCCTCATCGCCACCGAAAACCATTAAAGGGCTGCAATAAATTTATTATGTTTACTCAAAAGCTTCTACCTATTCACAAAAAGTACACCCGCGTTTCGTCTTGGAGCGCTCATGTTTGGAATCAACGCCCAATCATCATCTACCCCAGGATTATAGATCTATTTTTTTCTGAATAATTTCATACGAAAATATTACAAACCTCAACGGTATCTCTCACAGTTGCTCCCTCGTGACCACCCGCAGCAACGATTGAACCATTAAGAGAACATACTGCAGCTCCAGATCGAACTTAATGCAATTTTAAGAAAAACTGTAAATAAAAACTTACCTCGCGTAATGGCTTCCCAGCACGCCAACGATTTGCTCGCAGATCAAAAACTTCTACCTAAAAGAATTGGTTATTTTTGATAAGTTTAAGAAGACATACCGTATTCAAACAATGTCTACTGTGACCATCGTATCCGCCAACCGCGTAAACACTCGAGCCAACAGACGTCACGCCAACCGACGATCGACGCGTTGTCATCGAGGCAAGTTCTGACCAATCTCCTAAACACAACAATAGTTTTTGCAAAATAACTTAGCGAACCTGTTCGTGGATCCAACAGTCCAGCATTTGCAATCCCAGTTGCTTCATCAAAGCCTCCTACAGCAATCAATACCTGATCGTGAAAGTGGTGACCCCAAGAGTTCCCCGACGAAGCTTAAAATTTATTTGATTACAAGACCAAACAACTTAACAAGTCAACTCGATACTCACATAACATTTTGTATCACAAACTAATACCTCATAGGCGGTCCAGGGATCCATTGATTTCTAAATTTTTCTGTTTGGAAAAATTATTTAAAAACAAAATGCATATGGGCAGTCAAAGTAACCAACCTAATAGTGTCATACACATCAACAGATTTCATTCGCTGAGCCCCATTAAAACCACCAACAGCATAGATATGACGATCGATTAGGGCAACACCACATCAACGTCTTTGCAACGGCAACGTCTTTGCTATAAAGGGCTTACTAAAGCCATTTTTAGAATAAAATTGATTGAAGACTAACAAGAAGTCCATTGCATTGTAGTTGGATCATAGGCGTCAACATTATGACTTGCCTTTAGTGTCTGACCTCCGACGACTATCACAATCTACGAACCACAATATTTCTGAATCATACACTAATCAAACCTTGTTCGATCCAATTTGTTGTCGAGGTCGGACAAACCGTTGACGAAGTGATGACGCAGATGGGAAAAGTCGCCCTCGGCGTAGATGTACTTTACTTGCCTCCAGAAGAATATCCTTAAAGAAATGTTAGAACAGAAAATCGTTAATAAGTTTATCTATTGGGTTGTCCAGTTATGAATGCGCGTTTTTACTATTTTGTAAATTTCTCAAGATACCGAAATCAAGAAAAGGATATATATGAGTATTATTCGAAAGCTGAAGATCTCCTCTACATTTTGATATAAAAAGCTTTTGAATTTGTTCAGCTTTTGGGCAAATTGACTGCACAGAAGAAGAGATGGCCAAAAAATGGATGGGTACCTTTGGATCAAGTTTTGGCTCCGCTCAAATTGAGTTAACCGTTTTCTTAAAAAATTTTCTACTCAGCCAAAAAACTTGCCTAATAGCTCATTTTGTAGCCAATTTGATGTAGTTTCTTAAAGTAAAGCTACATTGAACATTTGTTTTTCAAAGCTAGGAGAAAGAGGGCGAGGAACGACTTCAGTTGAACTCGGTCGCTGTTTTCACATTTGAGAATTGCCCTGAATTTATTCCTCGCCCTCTTTCTCCTACTTTCAACGAAAAATTGTTTTAGATGGCTTTACTTTAAGAATCTACATCAAACTGGCTACAAAATGAGCTATTAGGCAAGTTTTTTGGCTGAGTAGAAAATTTTTATAGCCATTTTAGGGCATTTTTGAACCTAAACTTTGGGGGCTCAAAAAAAATTTTCTACTGAACCAAATGAGCTAATTTCAAAAATTTATTATAAAATATATGTATTATGAACATTTTTATGTGGGTGACTTTTTGATTGGATGCCCGGAAATACCCTCATTCGTTAGCGGCTGAATTTCGTAAGCGGCTACGACATATACAACTTGTGTTAACTTTCGTACCTCTTGATCCATATCATGTAATTCTACAGTGATAACTTTCGATTCAATCATATTGGAAGTTGCAAACATGGCACAAAAATAGGGAGATGTAGAAGATAGAATAACTCTAAAATTGCAGTTAGAGTGCTGACTAAAAGTCTTACTTGTGTGCATAAATTGGCGGGCCTTTAAGTTCGAAGGAGTTTCAGGTCTGTCAAGCGAGACTCGTTTCACTGGTACCAGTGAAACGTCACATAATAAACGGTTACTAAAACTTTGTTGATTTAGAATCGAATTTTAAAAGACCTTCTCAATGAATTAAGCTGTTCGAAGAAGCTTGAGGTGTGTCGACGACGTGTCGTGTCGACTAAAAGTGTCGACGTAAAGTTTTGGTGGTGGCGAATTACTAGCCTTAAGGAGGTTTTTAAGGTTAAATGAACCTCTTCTCTATTGGCGAATCGACCGCCAAGGTAGCTCTCAACCTTCTGCATCATCAATGACGATAATCACATTCCACTTTAGCTCTCATCAACAATATGAGCGCACGTGTACACTCCAGCACAATTCCATTTTCTTCTGAAAACCATTTATGAAATACACAAAAACAATACAATTAAAGGGAGAACACCACATTTCACAGGGCAAAGGGGTTTTTAAATAATTCCACAAACACGATATGGAATTAGACGCAGAGCGGAATAAAACTCAAGCCACAAACATCACAATCAAAGGGAGTGGGACAAATGCGACCTTTTTTTTGCGCACCTGGACATTTGCGCACCTTTTTTTGCTGGAAAAGGCCTTAGGAAAGGGCGTAGAGCTTCAAAAATATTTCCATATAAGGGAATCGTATGCGTAGATTCCGAATTTCGACAAATCACACCTCGCTGACACATCAAATTTGGACTAAAAGGCAAAGACTGCGGAAAAGCGTTAAGTTGCGTAGTTTTTGCCTTTTAGCTCAAATTTAACGTGTCAGCGAGGTCTGATTTGTCGAAATTCGGAATCTACGCATACGATTCCTTTCTATGAAAACATTTTTGAAGCTCTACGACCTTTTCCTAAGGCCTTTCCAAGCAAAAAAAAAGGTCGCATTTGTCCCACTCCCCAATCAAACACACCTAAAAATCAATTAAAGAAAAATAAAAACTATTGAAATAGATTTTTACGTGAGGCACTTCAATCCCACCAATCTTTGCTCTGGGTGGGTTTTGGGCGGAAGCCGTCCCTTGAAGACTCAGCTAAAGCAAAAATTAAGAATAGACAACTACGTTGAAACCTGGTGAAGGCTGATAGTGGCTTCCGGAATTTTGAATCCGATAATCGCGGTGAGGCATATTGCGTGATCCACCTCGGCTTCCACGTCCACGCGAATTTGCTTGTCCATAGCGACTAGCATCGTTCGAAACCTACAACATTCAAATGAATAGTCAAGAAAAGAGTCAGCAAACCGTCGAAAGGAACTCTGGATTGATTAGCTCTTGATTAGCTTGATTAGCTTGATTAGCTCTTGATTAACTTCAATCATCAGCTTGATAAGGTCGTTAGCGAACCGCGTGTTCTTGTCGTTGAAGAAAGTAGAACAATTTCGAGGAATTGAAGGAGCTGAAAGGAAAGTTTAACTTAATTTATCATTAATTTCTCATTAAGTTAACTTTTTTTAAAAAAATCTTTGCAATTCACAAAAACAATAGGAGCCAGGGGAATTGTTGATAAAGAATTGAGTTGATGATAGCTTGATGATAGCTAAAAGATCGCTTGTAAACGTTAAAACTTGCTGTAAAAAGTTCGAAATCTCGAATCTCTTTTAGAAAACACTCAAAAAGCAATAACAGTAGTGTTTTCTAATATATAATTGTTGATTCACATGAAGAAAGAAATGGGTTCTTTTCCAATATCGGGGGAGCGGTCCGATTATCGGGGGAGCGAAAGGAAAATCGGGGGAGCAAATTTTGGGAGCAAATCAAGCAATTCGCTACATATGTCCTATTTAAAATTGTGACGAACGGGAGCTTGCTTTGTTGCAAAAAGTTATCGACTCGAATTCCTCTTGAATACTTGGGGACCTTTCGCCGTGCGCAAGTGTCACATACCCAGCGAAATAGATCTTTTCCCTTTGAGCGGACTTTCATCAATTTGCCACAGTTGCAAATCCACGACTGGATGACTCCTTTGGTGACGAAATAATCGATTGCCGTCGATTCCTTGAACGCACAAATATCGGAGAAGCGCATCGTCGTTAAAGTTTTTAAAAAAAACGTTTCAGTTAAAATACAGTCCCGGAAATGCATTTTTCGAGGGGGCAAAATTTGCTCCCCCGATTTTCCTTTCGCTCCCCCGATATTGGAAAAGTACCAAGAAATGCTATGCAATCAGTAACGTAAACGATGAAAGATCAGTTGTAAAGTAAAGTAAAGTAAAGTAAATTAAAGTAATTTTATCAAACATTCAAATCACAGATCAATCATTAATATCAATCAATATTTCAATCAATATTTCAAACAAGCCGTCGAATTTGTATTCATATTGTACATATTTGGATTATCATAGATACTCGCCACGCATTTCAGCCGATTGTGCTCGTTTTTGCTGACGAATTCGGCTGGATAGTGATCCGGATGAAAATACGGGATCATTCCTAGAAATTTGCAATGAAAGAGTGCCAGATCTTTCTTTTTGAGAACAAAAATTGCATTGAAAAAGCCAAACCTCCATATGTGGCTGGGGCACAATTGCACGGTTCCTCTTTCCAGGTGTTTGCCCAATCGGGTTGCCAAGACATTGCGTGTGGACCGATTTGATCGAGCAGAACGGGCATGTCTAAAGATTTATCTACTAGCTACTCAGCTCTTCTATCTGGTATATCTCTTCTATTTGAACCTGGCTTGGGCTGCCTTGGACCTGGCTTGGGCCTAGTTTGGGCCTGGCTTGAGCTTGGCTTGGGCCTAGTTTGGGTCTAGTTTGGGTCTAGCTTGGGTCTAGCTTGGGCCTAGCTTGGGCGTGGCTTGGGTTTGGCTTGGGTTTGGCTTGGGCTTGGGTTTGGCTTGGGCTTGGCTTGGGCTGGCTTGGGCTTGGCTCGGACCTGGCTTTGGCCTGGCTCGGACCTGGCTTTGGCCTGGCTTGGGTCTGGCTTAGGCCTGGCTTGGGCTTGGCTTGGGCCTAGCTTGGGCCTAGCTTGGACCTGGCTCGGGCCTAGCTCGACCTGGCTAGTACTCGAAATATTCTAGTCTATAAGCTGGACAAAGTCAGGCTAGAGCACCAACCGGAGTTTGTAAGTTAGTAAACTCTAGACTGATCATTAGTACTCTAGTCATAGCCTTTAGTCTGCAAGCCAAGCCTAGGCTAGAGCCTAGAAACCAGCCCCGACTCATTACTCTAGCAAATCTTGCATCAAGCTTCTCTAGTACTAGACGTTACCTCCACATATTAACCCATGCTCCTAACATCCAATAATCTAATCAAGACACCGATTGAACAATAATGACTCACTTTTGCAAGACAGCAACTTATCAGCACCAGGCGGCACCTTGAAATATCGACAAAACCATTTAAACGCCTTGACTCGTCGGGATTCACCAGGACCTAGAGAAAAGCGTTTATCTCCTAAACATCTTTAACATTTCTTATATTTTCTCACCTCCAGGCTCCTCTCTATCCTCTCCATTGCATTCATTATTGATGATGAGAGAAGTCGGGCCGAAGATTGGGCCCGTGTAGCCAGCCTCCGCGTTTTTCTTCCCACTGTTCCATGTGCCTGAAAAGAATTTAATCTATAGCAAGTGATGAGTCTATGTTTATCTATAGGAATTTTTATTATATTAATCTAAAGCCAGATCACAAGGCTTATTCAGTTTTAACCACAAAAAAAGCATTCCATCATTAGCAGAATCTCTAATTGTAAGTGTAAACGAAAGCTGTTAAGTAAACTCTTATAGTAGCTGGATTTAGGCCAACTGAAGCTAAGCGATACTTTAATACAATCAAGTGATAACTATAAACATCAACTCACCCATTACAATATCGTGCATAGCCGGCTTTGGCGGTTGTGGGGTCATGTAGAACCACAACGAGGCAAGGATGGCAAGTGGTGGATCCATCTGGAAGTTTCCAAAGTTTTCTTTGGATTTAAAGGTTAGTGAAAGGTCTAGATTGAAGATTACAGTATGACAGAACGCATAAAATATTCACCCTTCCTACAGCAGTACCGTTAAAATCAAAAAAGTGTCAAAAATTTTCGAAGAGAGGACTCGAAGCCGAACAAGGGGTAGATCTCTCGCTTTGTAGACAAGTAGCTTATCCATTAGGCCACCAGTGCATATCAACGTGGCCCAAGAAAAGCCTTTTAACCGGCTCACCTTTGTCATGACTAAATTCGGATTCGACATGATATCAATTTTGATGTTTCTCGAGTGGAGCCACTCTTGGAATTGGCCATAGTTGTAGTTGTAAGAGATCTGAAAATGAAAGGAAACTTTATCGATCAAGCCTTAGATCTACGCTAAACTTAGGCCCGATTGGAGCTGTCTTAGACTGCCTTGGTTCAAACTGTACCCAGTTGAACCTAGACCGTACAGACAGACGAACAGACACGCTCTTTTATCTCTAGTAGATACCTGGATCGCCCCTCTCCCAAAATAGCATCCATTGTGCCATGTCTGATTGTCGATTGTTCGTTTTTCGTTATGACATGGGAACCAGTAGGTTAACTCATCGCTTTCCGCACAGTATCTAGAAATCTAATCATTTTTCATCAATTGTTTCCCAATTTCAATTCACTTTCCATGCTCGAGACAGTAATCTCCATCGATTGGCGAGTAGCCGGGACTTTTCGGATCAAGAAATGAACTGGAGGGGCCACCCTAGAAATGGTTAAGGATAAGAGTAGTTTGGTAATAATTAATCCAATTGTTTAAAGCTTTTCATGATTCAGGGCTGTTAGACCTTAATCCAGGCCTAGTTTGACCAAAATTCGGGTCTCATAAATCCAGGTGTAGCTCGATCTAAATCCAGGCCTAGTTTGATCCAGGCCTAGTTCGATCCAGGCCTAGTTCGATCCAGGCCTAATTCGATCCAGGCCTAGTTTGATCCAGGCCTAGTTCGATCCAGATCTAGTTTGATCCAGGCCTAGTTTGATCCAGGCCTAGTTCCATCCAGGCCTAGTTCGATCCAGGCCTAGTTCGATCCAGGCCTAGTTCGATCCAGATCTAGTTTGATCCAGGCCTAGTTTGATCCAGGCCTAGTTCCATCCAGGCCTAGTTCGACCTAAATTCTCCATTTCAAGTCCAATTCTAAAAAAGCTAAAACCTGGATAGCTTACAGTTCCTATAAGACACTTAGGGACAATAGATTGTAGTCCATTTTGTCCAGATTATAGTCCATTTTGGCGCTAAGACTTACCTCAAACCAGTTATAGAAGCCTCCACGATAGAAGCAATTATGAGCTTCCTCATTGGACATTGCTTCTCTAAATGACAATAACTAAAACTTTTGTGACAATAACTTAATACTCTTTATCAAGATTCACTAGTGATTTTCAAAATCTTAGACTTACAAGGAGAATGCATGGAATCATTATGGATTTTCTGAACTTTGACTGCTATCATCCGCAATTTGAGCTGCTGACCTGAATGCTGGACCGATAAGTGCCGGGGATCGAATTTAGCTTGTTGGCTTTGTATTGTGGCAACTTACTAGTCGGCCACCGAGTAAATCGTGGCAACTGCTTAACTTCACGTTATGAAGGCTCTCAAAATTTTTAGCTCTATTTTCAGCTCTATTTTTCTTTCCAAAGGATTGGAGAAAAACTAATTATAGATTCGGATCCAGTGGCTCAAATTTGGAAGCAGTTAAAGTTTAAAAAAACCCATAATGACTTTATGTCTTTGAAGGTTTGAATTGATTTGAATTGATTTGATTTGAATGCAATGCAGATTTAATGTTAATTCACCTCGGCATTAGACCCAGTTTCTCTTCTTTTAACATCAAATTTACATAAACTTTTATTTTCAATGTTTGAAATCTGATTTTGATGTCAGAAAAGCTTTTGACTATTCACTCGATTATGGAAATTTCATTGAACAAGTTAACGTTATGTGTAGCGAAAAGCGTTTAAATGGTTTTATCGATATTTCAAGGCGCTTGCTGGTGCTGATAAGTTGCTGATAGTTGCTGTCTTGCAAAAGTGAGTCATTATTGTTCAATCGGGCCTTGATTAGATTACTGGATGTTAGGAGCATGGCTCAATATCGAAAGATCTAGTACTAGAGAAGCTTGATGCAAGATTTGCTAGAGTAATGAGTCGGGGCTGGTTTATAGGCTCTAGCCTAGGCTTGGTTTGCTAAGCAAGATTTGCTAGAGTAAAAAGTTATTTGTAGCGAAAAGTCCTTTGTACAGGTACAGGTTTAGAGACAAATATGGCGACAAATTGTTGTTTATGTTCAGTGGAAAAATCGTCGAATTTGTTAAAGCCTTCGAAATCTATTAGAAATCTATTTAAGATCTTGAGAAAATCATCAATTTTCAGCTAATCAATTACCCATAAAGCGCAATATTGTTCTCGCCAGTCTCCTGAATGGCGTGGGCGAAGAAAGCGGCCAACTCGCGACGATGATTCTCCTCTGGAGTGTAGATCTAGAGCTTTTGAATGGCTTTTGAATTTAAAGATTGTTAAAGATTGTTTAAAGATCGTTTAAAGATCGTTAAAGATCGTTAAAGATCATTTAAAGCTCGTTTAAACATCTTCATTTTGACTATGTTAAACTTTTTTTAAACTTTAAATAAACCTTATTTGGGGAAACGGTTCCAAAATCGGGGAAATATCGAGCAGCGATGATGAACGCTTCATACGAATACGGAAGACAAGGATCAGGCCCAAGACCCAGGTTCGCAAATGGGAATAGATCCTGGAAATCGATTGTGATTGTGGAATGGATGGAATGGACTGGCTTGGCTTTATTGTAAGCCTTGGACCTGGCCCTGGCAGCTGGCCCTGGAATCTGGCCCTGGCAGCTGGCCCTGGCATTTGGCCCTGGCATCTGGCCCTAGTCTAGTGTGATTGGTCCTTGCTCTAAACTCGTCTGACCTGGTCAGACCCCAGCTAATTGAAATGTTAGCTTTATGTAGCATTAGAATATTCAGTCTACAAGATTTCTATACCCTAAAATTGTTTAGTTATTGTTTCTACACAAAAAGCAATCTGCAAGTGGGTTCGAACCTTTGAGGTAACAAACTGAAGGCAAGCACACTAACGCTTTATTGTAAGCGAGTGTGCTTACACTCGCTTACAATAAAGGCCACGTTTTCACAGTCACCCAAAAGCCACCTATCCATCTAAGCTGACTATTATGTCAAGGGGTCGAGACACCACTCTAGATTATGTTGGCGCTTTTCTTCTTTTCGCTGCCGCCAATGCACGAATTAACTACGTTGCTTAGACTTCTGAAATAACATTAAACGGGTTTATGCCTGGATTTTCTTGGTATCAGTCGGGTGTCGGGCTCTCGATGTGCGGTTGCCTGCGCCCTTCGGCATGGGACGTTTGATATTCGCCATTCAGGAACAGGCCATTTCCGGATAGTTCGAGCTTCACTCTCGATTTGCTTGGGAACCGAACATGAGCAAATTGACCTTTGGCACTATGCATCTGTTTGTTACTTTTACGGTACGACGGACTTATCATCACCATGTCGGCCGCCAAATCACATCTACGGCGGGGCACCTAGGGCCAGTCTAATACCTGGCTCTAGGCCATCTAAACTGACTCTAGGCCATCTAAACTGACTCTAGGCCATCTAAACTGGCTCTAGGCCATCTAAACTGACTCTAGGCCATCTAAACTGACTCTAGGCCATCTAAACTGGCTCTAGGCCATCTAAACTGGCTCTAGGCTTTGTTACAATCATTTCAATCATTTCAATCATTTCAAATCCTCACCTCAAACATCTCCTTTGTAAACCATGACTCTAATTTGCTTTTGGGTAAATGATTTGGATCGCTGGGCGTTTTACAGGGTTTTTTTGGTGATTTCCCAAAAATTAATGCTTTCGGGCAATCTTTCGCTTTCCCAGTTGCACCTTTAAAAACAGGAATTGATGGAGGTTCGGTGATAGCTGAAATCTTGAAATTAAACAATTCCGATAATTAAACAAAACAAACAATTGTCGATTGTAGTTGTCGAGAAAAGTTTCGAGTTTTTGATTAGAAACTCGGTGATGTTCTGGAATCTGAAAGAGATTCAGAGATTCAGAGATTCAGAGATTCAGAGATTCTTTTAGAAAACGAAAGAAAGAAGCCTTGAAAGAAAGCCTTTGAAAGAAAACCTTGGATGCACGATATCTTTAGCAATCGGTAAAATGCTCGTCGTTGATTCATTCTCGAAATTTTGCAAAATACTGACAGCATGGAGTAAATTGACAAGCTTTTCCAATAGCATGAAGTTGGAAAGATGATCAGGGTTTTTGGAAAGGTGATCGGGCTTAGTTTAGATTGAAAAGAGAAGACCCAGTCACTTCTCTGTCGATTTCCCCTTTCGCACAAGTCCAGTCCATTCTTGTCCTCTTCTTCGGTCTTCAGTTTGAATTGTGAGGGCCCCTTTCCCCATAAATGGTCCTTGACGCGTCCCCAATATAGAGGAGTACTGGGGATTGGACTGAGGAAAAGGACTAACAAACAAGACCCGCTCTCACAACCAATCCACTCTTTTTCTCGTTGATCGACTAAAGGACTATAGAAAGACTAGGTCTAAGTGCAGGCTGTAAAGTAGCTGTAAAAATAACTGAGTGATAGACTAGTACTAGATAACTATGTAACTGAAACAATAACTGACTGTTAGACTAGTACTATTGGGTTGGTGAATTGAAAACTTCCGGACTTTGAACTAAAATTTATTCAACATAAAACCATAAATTCATTCCAAATAATTTCCATTATTATTGACGACTTCTGCCCATTTTACAGGCAATTTACGGATTCCTCTTTCGTGATAGGATTTTGGTTTGTGTGTGAGACAAGTGTGAGACTCAAAAATGGAGGACTGGAGATGTCAGCTGTCAGCCCAGTTTGAGCACTTTCTTCAAAAGAAACCCATTTTGGTGTCAATAGAAAAGTTGTAGAGAATCAAAAATTAGGCTTATAGCCAAATTTCCAAAAAGATCCACTTAGTAGTTTCGCTTAAAATGCAAGTTTTGTGAAAATTCGTAAATTTGGCATTTCTTGAAAATCAGTTTTTGAATCGTTCTGAAAATTTGGATATAAGCTTAATTTTCGATTCTCTACAACTTTTCCATTGACACCAAAATGGGTTTCTTTTGAAGAAAGTGCTCAAACTGTCACATATGACAATAGCCGGCAGTTTTCAATTCACCAACCCAATCGTTAACTCTATGTAGCTGAAACAATAACTGAGTGATAAACTAGTACTAGATAACTGGATGTAGCTGGAACAATAACTGACTGATAGACCGGTACTAGTTAACTCTATGTAGCTGTAGTGACAGATCCTGGAGAAGAAACTTCTTTAAATGTTATACGTTTCATAAAACTTCTATAATTCTTTTTTTATAATCTGTTAATATCTAAAAAAGTACAATTTTCTAGTCCTAATGTTGTTTTTTGCCAATCAACGAATTTCTCTTTTCAGTAGGAATGAATAAATTTATACTATAAAGAATATTATACAGTTAAGTTGATTGGCTGCAAAGTTGCATTGAAGAACTCTTATCTGGGTTCAATTCTGTATAGTGTTACGCTCTACAAAAAGTTGATTTTCTTAATGATTTTTCTTTTCAACAATATTCTAATAGAATTGAATGAATAAATTTATGTTATAGAGAAAATTAGACAGTTAATTTGCAAAGTTACAACGAAGAATTCTTGTCGGTGGAGATTTAGGTCGAACTAGGCCTGGATTTAGGTCGAACTAGACCTGGATTTTGGTCGAACTAGGCCTGGATTTAGGTCGAACTAGACCTGGATTTTGGTCGAACTAGGCCTGGATTTTGGTCGAACTAGACCTGGATTTTGGTCGAACTAGGCCTGGATTTAGGTCTAACAGCCCTGAATCATGAAAAGCTTTATACAAGGACTACTGTAACTATTACCAAAGTACTCTTATCCTTAACCTTAACCCTAACCATTTCTAGGGTGGCCCCTCCAGTTCATTTCTTGATCCGAAAAGTCCCGGCTACTCGCCAATCGATGGAGATTACTTTCTCGAGCATGGAAAGTGAATTGAAATTGGAAAACAATTGATGAAAAATGATTTGAAATGAAAAATGAAAAAAAGGTAGAAAGAAAACCCACAAAATTAACCAATTTAGATAGATGGCTCAAAGATTTTATAGCTGCGAAAAGATAGAAATTCATTGAATAGCTTATAATCTTTAATTAGCTTTAATTAGTAATTAGCTTTAATTAATAATTAGCTTTTAGTAAATTGAAGAAAAAGGGAATGATATTTGTGTACTTTGTAGTTTAGACTGTAGTCTTCTGGTTGTAGCTAGGTAAACCTATTTCCCCATCTGTACTCTGTACTGTTTTTCTTTTGACTATAATGACTGGATAGGTTCATTGTATAGAAAGCATAGAAAGATTAGGCGCATTGCTTCACTCTGTCTGTAACTAACAATACAATAGAGCATGATGGATAAGCAGGATAGGATAAGCGGTCAGACAGGATACAGGTTAACAGCTGTAATCAGTTATATTCCAATTGAAGCCTGTGTCAGCCAATCTTGTCAGCCAAACCCAGCCAATCTTGCTTTTGAAAAAACCTGATTCAAATGTCCTTCAAATTCAAGTGATCAATTCAAGTGTCGCAATCTTTTACCAAATCCTGTCCATCGAGTTTTATAATACTCTATCTTTCTTTCACCGCCATTCTTTCACCGCCAAGCCATATCTTTGGCATTGGCCGACTTCTTTTCTTCTTTTGCTTTGTCTATTTCTTTTTTTCACTTTGTGAACTGCGGTCGACTCATTCCATCCGCCATTCATTTCTACCACTTCGAAAGGGTGGCGCCGGAGCGTGCCAAAGAACTGGGAGCCCCAACGGACACCACGCAATCGATCGCCAATGGAAACAAATAAGATCTACAACGATTTGGGACTTGATGACGATGTTAAAGCGGGATTGCCAAGATCGTTTATTCTTCGCTCGTGGAAACGATCGTCTTCCAGCAAAGGCCATCAGTTATTGATGTAGGGGCGAATATGCTCCAGAATAACAATAAACATATTTTCTACTTTTTTTTTTTTGTTAATAAATCATTTTGAGTCCGGATATTATGCACACCCATACTTAAAAATGTACGCAAACAAAGGCTCAATACAAATAGATTCAATAGATTCAATAAACCTAAATCGATTCAATTTCTCAGTTTTTAAAACAGATTTGAAAAGGATAGTGAACAAATCGTGCTAGAAAGATTTTCTTTCGACTTTTAAGAGCTTAAAGTAAACTAAAACTAAAGATTGATAAAATTCGATCATAAAGACTTCTCGTTACTTTGTTTTCCTAATAAACAAACGTCACTTTTCCCTCAAAAACTTTTACAAAATCTCCAAGGTTTCATAGACAAAAAAAAATCAATCAAATTTAAATTTTAAACAACAAAAACATTATTGACGTATCATTTTTTCTTTATCTCATTGTCTTTTCTTCAGGAAACTCAACCCAAAATAAGTCTCTTTTATCTTAAAAATCGACCGATCGAATCGAAGAGATCGAAGAAAGTCAAGAAAGTCAAGAAAGGGTTATTTTCTTGTCTTTTCTCTCAAAGAAGTTATAGAAGCCTCCACAGTTTGATCCAGATCTAGTTTGATCCAGGCCTAGTTCCATCCAGGCCTAGTTCGATCCAGGCCTAGTTCGACCTAAATTCTCCATTTCAAGTCCAATTCTAAAAAAGCTAAAACCTGGATAGCTTACAGTTCCTATAAGACACTTAGGGACAATAGATTGTAGTCCATTTTGTCCAGATTATAGTCCATTTTGGCGCTAAGACTTACCTCAAACCAGTTATAGAAGCCTCCACGATAGAAGCAATTATGAGCTTCCTCATTGGACATTGTTTCTCTAAATGACAATAACTAAAACTTTTGTGACAATAACTTAATACTCTTTATCAAGATTCACTAGTGATTTTCAAAATCTTAGACTTACAAGGAGAATGCATGGAATCATTATGGATTTTCTGAACTTTGACTGCTATCATCCGCAATTTGAGCTGCTGACCTGAATGCTGGACCGATAAGTGCCGGGGATCGAATTTAGCTTGTTGGCTTTGTATTGTGGCAACTTACTAGTCGGCCAAATTGTGGCAACTGCTTAACTTCACGTTATGAAGGTTCTCAAAATTCTCAGCTCTATTTTCCGTTCTATTTTCCGCTTTATTTTCCTTTCCAAAGGATTGGAGAAAAACTAATTATAGACTCGGATCCAGTGGCTCAAATTTGGAAGCGGTTAAAGTTTAAAAAATCCACAATGACTTTATGTCTTTGAAGATTTGAATTGATTTGAATTGATTCGATTTGAATGGAATAGAGATTGGATTTGAATACAATGCAGATTGGATTTGAATGCAATAGAGGTTTGATTTGAATGGAATAGAGATTTAATGTTAATTCATTAGACATTAGACCGGCATTAGACCCAGTTTCTTTTCTTATTAACACCAAATTTACATAAACTTATTTTCAATGTTTGAAAGCTGATTTTGATGTCAGAAAAGCTTCTTGATTATTGACTCGATTATGGAAATTTCATTGAACAAGTTAACGTTATGTGTAGCGAAAAGCGTTTAAATGGTTTTGTCGATATTTCAAGGCGCTTGCTGGCGCTGCTAAGTTGCTGATAGTTGCTGTCTTGCAAAAGTGAGTCATTATTGTTCAATCGGTGTCTTGATTAGATTACTGGATGTTAGGAGCTATTGGTGTAGTGGATTACTGGTGTAGGGAAAAGCGTTTAAATGGTTTTGTCGAGCTTAAAGTAAACTAAAACTAAAGATCGATAAAATTAGATCATAAAGACTTCTCGTTACTTTGTTTTCCTAATAAACAAACGTCACTTTTCCCTCAAAAACTTTGACAAAATCGTCAAGGTTTCATTTCACAAAAAAATCAATTAAATTTTAATTTTAAACAACAAAAACAATATTGACGTATCATTTTTTCTTTATCTCATTGTCTTTTCTTCAGGAAACTCAACCAAAAATAAGTCTCTTTTATCTTAAAAATCGACAAGAAAGTCAAGAAAATCAAGAAAATCAAGAAAATCAAGAAAAGAGTTATTTTCTTGTCTTTTCTCTCAAATTTCTTTCTCGAATTTAGTGGAATGTTTTGTGCAAAACATTTTAAACGAGTAAACAAGCAAAAACGGGGTTATAAAAGAGATATTTGATGAGTGCTAGATTGAGCAAAAGACTCAAAAAGTCATCAAAAGGTCGTTTTCTCGTATTTTCTCGTATTTTCACAGTTAACAATGAAATTTCTATTTGAAATTATCGCATTAATGCTTTTATTGAATGTACTTTTAATGGAAGTCGATGCGGGAAAGGTTTTGCGACGAATGGGGTGAGATTTTTCGATCTTTCTTGAGGTTTACTTTGTGCTCAATGATTGAAACACACTTCCTGGTGCACTAGAAAGATTTGATAAAGACTTTCGCTTGTCTAAACGTCTGTCTAAGTGTCTAAACGTCTGTCTAAGTGTCTAAACGTCTGTCTAAGTGTCTAAACGTCTGTCTAAGTGTCTAAACGTCTGTCTAAGTGTCTAAACAAGCAAAGATCCCTTTCCCTTGTAAGATTCTGATATTTTTCAAGGTTCTAGCTTTTGTAAATCATTTGTCGACTAGAGAAATGTGTAGAGTCAATAATTCAAGAGAAGTAAGTAGGGAAACAGTTTTATAATTACTTATTGAAGTTACAGAAAGGTGTAGAGTCAAGAATTACATAGAATAACAATTTTTAAAAAAGCAAAAGAATTTCGACGACAATGGGACTCGAGCCTGAGGGCAAGGAAGGTGATCAGTTCGGTAATCTTTGAGACTATCCACTAGGCCACAGAGGGACTTAACCGGCTAACGTATAACGGCCTCATAAGGATTCAAGGGAATTTTCCGGCACCTTTTTCTTAAGTGCACTTTCCTTCTTCTTAACTGTTGTGTTCCCCTTTTTCCCTCGCCTCATCAAGGTACCGGATAGCTCAGTGGTTAAAGCATTACGGCACGGTAAGCATAGGATCGATGGTTCAATCCGCTCTCCGGAAATTTGCATTTTCTTTTTTGACAATTCCTTTAGTTCTTTATTTTATATATAAAAAAGCTATTTAATAAAAGGTATTTAATAAATTCGCATATAAAAGGCCACTTTTCAGCCACCTCCGAGCAAAACGGCAACTCTTCGGTTGGGGTTATACCCCAATTGCGGCACCTGTTGGTTTACCCGTGCTAAACGTCGGTGGACCCTGGGGATTGACGATTGGTTAAGCTGGCTGACAATTTCAAATGAAAATTTCCTTTTTCACGAATCTCTCCTTGTAAATAAATCTTATTTCTTTTCTCTGGTTTTCAGAAAAAGACAATTGTTGCACTTTATCGATAAACAGTCTTTGAAGAACTTTGGCTTTGAGAAACTTTGCGAAACTTTGCGAAACTTTGTCTTTGAGACTTTGATTTTAATAAAAACTGGCAATGTTTTGTACTTTAAATAGAAAATAAGAAGAAATTTATCTCAAAATTGTTATCAAAATTGTTTCAAGAAACAAATCACTTGGCTTGGCTTCCTCTAGACAGTTTGACCTTGAGTTTCGCGTGTAAAAGTGGAACTGTTTTCTTTTGAAATTCTAAATTCAGCAGAGAAATTGATAATTTAATAGCAAAAGAGATATTAATAGCAAAAAAGAAGTATTTGTATTTGGGAACTGTGAGATTTCTTTTGTACTTTTGTACTTTTGTACTGTAGAAGATGTGTGACCAAGTTCACAAGCAAGTTCACAAGCAAGTTCACAAGCAAGTTCACAAGCACATTCACAAGCAAGTTCACAAGCAAGTTCACAAGCAAGTTCACAAGCACATTCACAAGCAAGTTCACAAGCAAGTTCACAAGCAAGTTCACAAGCAAGTTCACAAGCTCAAGCACATTCACAAGCACCGTTTCCCTTGGCCTGATCTTTGGTGTTTGGTGAAATGGCTAGAGTTTAGATCGAAAAGAGTTTTGCTTTTGATGGATTTCTTTTGAAAGTTTATTTATTCTTTAACAAAAACAAAAAAATCGATAAATAAATGGCAAAGAAGTTTTTAGAGTAGAGTTTACAGTAATCAGAAGAATTTTTAAGTTAACAGTACATACAATAGCATTAGATTAGGTCAAAAAGTGTTGATTCCGGGGATAGGATGGTTGAAAAGTTGTGCCGGTCAACTCCTGCTGAACGAATGGAGATGAATCGGACTGATTTGATGGCTTTTGTTGTTCGGGAGCTGCTTGGATTTGTGATGGTTGTGGTGGAGACGGTTGGGTGGCTGGAAAGGACAGTTTTGATGTCAGAAATTCTGGCTAAATGGTTTTTGCTCTGAAGAAAGTCTGGACCAGACCAGGGACTAAACCGGATTCCAAGCTCTTGCCTGGGTTTGGTTATAGCTTAGGTTTACTAAACCTGAGCTGGCCTTGTCTGACATGTCTTTTGTCTGGCTGGGACTAGCCGAACTTGACCTGGCTTGGTCAATCTGGCTGACCAATCTGGCTGACCAATCTGGTTTGGCCAACCTGGCTGACCAATCTGGCTGACCAACCTGGCTGACCAACCTGGCTTGACCAACCTGGCTTTGCTAAAAGTCAAGCCAGGTACAACTACCGTAAATACTGTAATTGGACCCCACCCCTCTAATAGTACCCCCCCCTCTAATAGTACCCCCCCCCTCTAATAATACCCCACCCTAGGGGGGGAGGGGAAAAATAATACCCCACCCCTCTAATAGTGCCCCACCCCTCTAATAGTACCCCACCCCCACCTAACGCGTAATTACAAACAACGCTTTTAAAGCGGAAAATTTTCATGTATTTTCAGAAATCGTTTGTATTTTTAATTTTATTCATAAATTTGGGGTGGCTACTTTGCGCCAAATTTTTTGCACAGCTCGCTATAACTTTCTTCTAAGTGGGCCAATCTTTATGATTGTAGATCTCAACAAGTGCAACAAAGTAACACCAAAATCATAAAGATTGGCCCACTTAGAAGACTTGAACCACTTAGAAGCCACTTGAACTCGGAGGGGATTGATATCGGTTTGGCTGAATGGATCGTCGAGCCGAGAAGAAACGAGTGACACACCGGATTATCTGGAATGAAGCGGCTAATCGATTCGAAAAAGCTGAAATTTCTTTCAAAAGAAGCCATGGCTGGATGGAGTCGTTCTTGAGGCGCCACCAACTTTCTTTGAGGGCACCAACAACAACTTGTCAAAAGCTGCCGAGTGAATTTGAGAAGGCCATCGTCAAGCACATTCTGAGGCTGAACAAGACAATCAAAGAAGGCGATTACAAGCACATTGTTGCTTGCGATGAGACGGCGGTTTGGCTGGATGCTTCGACGAGCAAGTGCATCTAAGCGGTTGGAGCCAAAGAAGTTGGTGTTCTCACCCGCGGCTACGACAAGATGAATATATCCGTGATGCTCACTGCTCGTTCTGATGGGAAAAAGTTGCGCCCTTTTGTCATGGTGCCTCGGAAGACGATGAACAAAAACAAAAAAAAATCGAGACAAAGTTCCAATCGAAGTTATTGCTCTGTTCGAAAGAGAAGCAAAGCAAGTACTTCGACAACGAGATCACGGCGAAATACTTGCAACGCTCTTTCGGTGGACTGATCTTTAATCTATTGTACTTACAGGCGATGAGAAATGCTCGGACAGAGGCAGAAATCGAGGACCTCTTGGAACCGCTCGCATCGACGGGATTTCAAAGACATCGAGGAATTGATGAGCAAGAGAATGATGAATTCATTGATTCAGATGTTTCTATTGACTTAGCTTGTTAGTTGGTTTTGTTTCGTTTTGCTGTTAAATTTTCAAATGGTTAAAACCAATAAAAACTAAAGTAAAAGTTGGCTTTTGAACAAATTATTTAAATGTATCCTGATCTGGTAACTTGAATAGTGGTGTAAAATAGTAACCCACCCTCTAATAGTGCCCCACCCTCTAATAGTACCCCACCCTAGAGGGGGAGGGAAAAAATAGTACCCCATGGGGTCCAATTACAGTATTTACGGTAGGATACTAGGCTCTAGGCCAGGCCTGGCTAGGCTAATGTAAGTCTAGGCCAGGTCTGACTAGGCTAATTGCAAGTCTAAACCAGCAGTCAAGCTCGGGATTGGCTTCTGGCTTTGCTTTACACGCCTTTCTTAGCTTAACCCAGCTTTGCTACAGAGTTCACAGAGTTTCGCAGAGTTAAAACCCTTAGATCCACAAGAAAACAGATACAGAGCTACAATACTGATGGAGTTGAGCTCTGCTTATAGACTCAAGGATCCAGTTGGATCTTAGAGCCTGCTCTAAGATCCAATTTAAACATGCGATTGAAATCTTTTGAAATAAGTGCATTCGAATATAAAATGTCGATGATATTTCCGAAGTTTTTCTTGTCTTTTTGGCTTGCAAACCTCCTTGTGTCATCCACGCAGTGTCACTTTTTCGCTTTCGAGTCTCCTCGGTCACTGGACTCTCCTCAGCTAATTGTTCTTCAAGAACCTGAATCTTAAACCTGAATCTTAAAAATCAAGATTCAAGTTAGAATATAGAACTAGATCTTCTCTGCTAAAAAAACAGAAATAGAAGATCTTCTCTGCTAAATTAGATAAACATTTCGTAAACTAGATCAACTAGATCAACTAGATCAACTAGATCAACTAGATCAACTAGATCAACTAGATCAACTAGATCAACTAGATCAACTAGATCAACTAGATCAACTAGATCAACTAGATCACCTCTTGCACCCGGGAGAGCAGCTCATTTCGGAGTCGTAACTGTTTGGTGGGATCACGAATTTTCTCTAGATGCGTGTAGAGAAGACGGACTGAAAATGAGAAAGTCGATAGGTACAAAAATTTGAAAATAGATTGATTTGCAGATTGATTGCAGATTGATTGCAGATCTGGCGCCCACCTTGCTGCCTACCACTCACCAAGTAACTCATTCTCGTTTTCCGCAGCGTTCAGCGGAATCGCCTGAGCTCGAGCCTCAATCTGAAACTGTTTTTGTTCTACATTTGCTTATACAAATGGCTAACTCTCAATCAAACCTCGTTGTTTCCCTGTGATTGCACAAAGTCGCTCGGTTTGCTGGTTTGTTGGGTATTTCCCAACGGTTGAGTGAGCCGATCCTTGTTGAAAAAGCCATTTACTAAATGGATTTTTGGATAGAAACGATTGAATTGTCGAATTTGAAGGTTATTCTGTCAAATTTGGAAGGTTAACTTTTGAATCTGTAAGTCTGGGAGTCTAGAATTTGAATTCACGACCAGATTCAGGGTCTAAATCGAAAATGAATTCAGGATCTAATGCAATTTATTCGATCTATTCAATCTATTCAAGCTATTCAATCTATTCAATCTATTCCATCTATTCAATCTATTCCATCTATTCAATCTATTCCATCTATTCAATCTATTCCATCTATTCCATCTATTCAATCTATTCGATCTATTCAATCTATTCAATCTATTCCATCTTTTCGATCTATTCAATCTATTCGATCTATTCAATCTATTCGATCTATTCCATCTATTCAATCTATTCCATCTATTCAATCTATTCCATCTATTCAATCTATTCGATCTATTCCATCTATTCAATCTATTCAATCTATTCCATCTTTTCGATCTATTCAATCTATTCGATCTATTCGATCTATTCAATCTATTCAATCTATTCCATCTTTTCGATCTATTCAATCTATTCGATCTATTCAATCTATTCGATCTATTCGATCTATTCGATCTATTCGATCTATTCGATCTATTCGATCTATTCCTAAGTTCATTTCTTTCTTCTTTCTTCTTCCTTCTTTCTTCCGCCTTCCTTCTTTTCTCTTCTTTTCCTTTCTAGGAAACACCGATCCAGTTTTTTTCTTATAAATTCAAAAGAATTACCTTGCGACCCAGCTGGTGGCTCATTTTTCTGATGCTTCAACTGAAAAAAGAAAATTAAATGATTAGATTTTAATCAGAAAACAATTCAACTTCCCATTTTTTGGCTGAATTTGAGCAATTTTTGATGAATTTTGTTGAATTTTGATGAATTTTGATGAATTTTTTAAACAATTTTAAGCAAGCAAGCTGATAAGCTTTACCTGATAAACGGCTGTTTGTGGGGTGCTGTTCGCGGTGAAGAAACCGTATCGTTGAATGGGGAATTGTTGGTTGGGGCCTGGTTGCGTGAATTGATTTGGAGGCGCTTGGTTCTGGAAGTAAGAATAGTTTAATCGTAAAATTACGAAGCTATTCAATGGTTTCAAGGCATTAGCAAATTCCTTCCCATTCTCTACTTACCCGTCCTTGTTGTGACCGAAACGAGGTGCTCGGGCTGTCCGAACGAGAGTTCTGAAAAGTGAACAATGGAAAGTAAAGTACTGTAATTTGTGCTGTACTTTGTGCTGTACTTTGTGCTCTGTAAACCACCCTTTCTGGTACACAAAATCGTTGGGGATAGTTGGCAAAGTTCTCACAAAGGAATGATCAAAATGGAATGATTTTGAAAGAAAGGCTCCTGGAGGTTAAGAGGTCTTTATGAAGGCCGGCCGAGGGTGTCTCGATAGCCTAGTGGTTAGTGCGCCAGGACAGCCAACAGGAGAAGTCCGGTTGTCGCTCGGGTTCAATTCCTCTCCAGGCTTTTTTTGCAATTCTCCGGAGAAACGTGTTTAAAATTGGGAAAATGACTGCTAGAGGTTAAGAGGTTAAGAGAAAGGCTCCTGGAGGTTAAGAGGTCTTTATGAAGGCCGGCGAGCAGTGTCCCAATAGCCTAGTGGTTAGTGCGCTAGGACAGTAAACAGGGTGAGTCGGTTGTCGCTCGAGTTCAATTCCTGTCCCAACTTTTTTTGCAATTCTCCAGAGTACCGTGTTTAAAATCGGGAAAATTGCTTGGAAAATGGCTGCTGGAGGATAAGAGGTCTTTATTGCATTCAGAAAATGTGTCCAGATAGTCTGGTGGTTGCGCGGCGAACAAAGTCGATCTATTTTCCGTCGGGTTCAACTCCGGTCCAGCTATTTTAACAACAATGATATTTTTCATAATTTTTTGCTAATTCAACATTTTGTGCAAATTCAACACTTGTTTTATGCATTTTGCGAGTGCTTTCACTTGTTTTGTGGTCAGTTTTATGCATCGTTTTCTCGATTTTGCGTCTTTATGCTTGATTTTCGTCTTTATCCAGTTAATGAACTTAATTTTGAGACAATTTTGAGAAATCGATTGAATTTTGCTTTTGAAAAGAATAATTGTAAGGATTTTTTTTAGTTATTAAATGCGCAAAATGTGATTACCGCATTTTCTCTAATAGTAGTGCACCCCGGCGAGCCGAGTTGGTGACTATTTTACGGTTTCTAAGTCTTCCCAGAAGCACAACACTCAAATCAGCTACAAGATCTCATCGTCAGCTCCATTTTCCGACCGCACATCGATAGGTTCTGATAAGCGGTTCTCGAGATTTCGAGGAATTTAGGCGAAGCTTTTGGTGCACTACTATTAGAGAAACTGCGGTACACGACGATGCTCGACAAGACGATGCTCGACAAGACGTTGCTCGACAAGACGATGCTCGACAAGACGATGCTCGACAAGACGTTGCTCGACAAGACGATGCTCGACAAGACGATGCTCGACAAGACGATCCTCGCCTCTTAGGATGTACGCCCAGAACAGTTTCTCTTGTTATGGCAAAAATGAATGCGTCTGGAAATGTGCACAGATGTAGGAAAAAGGGACGGCCGAGGATTACAACTCATTTTTCAGTGTTTTCCCTTGTGGTTGCCTTTGTTTAAAAGTGTTTTGTTGATTAAAATCCATTTTTTAAAAGAGTCTTTCATGGAATCTTGGTATTAAACTATTTGAAAATAAAATTTTACTTCAAAAAAGAACTCCAATGGCAACGATTTAGTGCGTCAGAGAGCTTTTCAGTCAAATAAAAGTGCTCAAAAGTGCTTCTTGTGCTCAAAAGTATATTTGGCGCACTCGATTTTCACTCTAAACCATTTTTATTTGATTTTAGCAACTTCTTTTAACTAATAGCTTTGAAATAACTTTAGAAATCTCACCTCAAAACCCCGTTGCATTGGCATTCGTCCTCCAGGCATTATGAAGCTGAAAAGAGCTGTTAAAAGAAGTTGATCAACTATAAAATAATAAATCAAAAAGAAAAAAAACGGTAATTCAAACTGTTAAAACAGTTTAGTAAAAAATTTGACACAAATTGCAATGGAAAAATATTCATTCAGTAGCTCAAATAAAGGTAGAAAGAGGCTTTTTGTTTCTCCGGTTCATCGCTTTCAGGGTAGAGACTGGAAAATTTCTTTTAAACTTGTTAAACTTAGAAGTAGAGATCTAGGATTATAGATCTTCTTTGATAGATCTATTTTGATAGATCTTGTTTGATAGGGCTTGTTTGATAGATCTTGTTTGATAGGTCTATTTTGATAGAGCTTGTTTGATAGATCTTTTTTGATAGAGCTTGTTTGATAGGGCTTGTTTGATAGAGCTTGTTTGATAGAGCTTGTTTGATAGATCTATTTTGATAGATCTTGTTTGATAGATCTTGTTTGATAGATCTTGTTTGATAGAGCTTGTTTGATAGAGCTTGATTGATAGAGCTTGTTTGATAGATCTTTTTTGATAGAGCTTGATTGATAGATCTTGTTTGATAGATCTTGTTTGATAGGTCTAGTTTGATAGATCTTGTTTGATAGGTCTAGTTTGATAGAGCTTGTCTGATAGATCTATTTTGATAGATCTTGTTTGATAGATCTATTTTGATAGATCTTGTTTGATAGATCTTGTTTGATAGGTCTAGTTTGATAGAGCTTGTCTGATAGATCTATTTTGATAGAGCTTGTTTGATAGATCTTGTTTGATAGATCTATTTTGATAGATCTAGTTTTACAGAACTTGCAATAGATCTATTTACGCTAGAGTTCCATTGTCTGCTTGGTAGACAATGCAGGCAGATAATGGCACTCTATCGTATATTTCAGCATACTATAGTAAGACTATATGACTAAGGTAAAAACTTGGTTTCTTTTTTTGAAATTAAGAAGCTTACCTTTGATTCTGATTGGTTGAAGGTTGATGAAGATGATGAGGAGAGTTGAGTTGATTGTGAGGCGAAACTTTGAAACAAATCGTCGTGTGTCTGGAAATGAAATCTTTTCTCTTTACAGCTCAGTTTCAACCTTTACCAATCCCTACTTGATACTATTATAAACAGGATTTAGTTTATAGTTTAACAGGATTTATACACGGTGACAGCGAATCCAGCCAACATCTCTTTTGGAAAAGTTGTTGACAAACGCCTAGCTTATTGCCAAAGTGCCAAGTGTTATATAGAGAATTATAGCCCTTGATCTTGGCATCATTTTTTCTATAAAGAGCTTTCCGATTGGAGTTATACAATTCATTTTACAAGCTTTTGAATGAGCTCAAGTCGATTTCTCATTGACGATCTGCTATTTTTGGCACTTTCTGAACAATATTTCCATTTAGAAAGGGATTTCTTTACTTAAACTTGTTGTATTTTGCTTTAAAACTACTATTTAATAAAAATAGAGCTTATAAAGCAAGATCTTCTTGTTAAATGGACATTGTCAAATGGACAAAAAGCTTAATTTTCCCTTTTTTGTCGAGTTTCCAAAAGAACTCAGAAAATAACTCAAATTTTGATTAATAAAAGAGTTTTCTGTTATTCTTATTGCTATTAAATATTATTTTCTTACAAAATAGATATGAATGAAAACTTTTTAAGAAGCTTTTTATCAAGAAAAATGTCAATGGCAGATGGCTGAAGAGAAGAGAGATCGCTGAAGACTTCAGCGCATTCAAGAGCTTGTAAAATGAGTTTACCAATCGACTTATAGAAAAATGTCAATCAAGGCTCTATATAACACTGGCGTTGGCAATAGTCAGATATAGGTCAAATGTGGCGCGTTGAGCGCAAACTTGTAAATGAGTTGTACAGCTCGAATCGGAAAGTTCTTTGTATGGAAATGATGCCAAGATTAAGGGCTATAATTCTCTATATAACACTTGGCACTTTGGCAATAAGTTTGACGTTTGTCAGCAACTTTTCCAAAAAAGGTCATGGCGACTTGTTAAAAATAGCCAAATTTTTAAAAAAATTAGCTAAATTTAAGGCAATTTCTCCAGGATTTTGGACTTTTCTTTTGCTTTGTAGATGGTAGCAAAAGAGAGGTATTAAGGTGTAAATACGCTTTCGAATATCGGGCGTAAATTTCTGTACTAAACCGCACTGTAGTGGTGGGATCGGCGGTGAAATCCGTTGTCTCTTGTTTCTTGCTTTCCGGAGCAAATTGGCTTTCGATTGCCTATAAAAAAACTGATTTTGTTTGTATTTTGATTTGAGCCAATTTTGACGCCAATTTTGAGCTAAAATAGCTAGAAACAAAGCTTTTCGAACAAAATGCTTTCTAACAAAATGCTTTTCGAACAAAATGCTTTCTAACAAAATGCTTTTCGAACAAAATGCTTTCTAACTGCTCAATCATTCACCCGATCGATGATCCGATTGATACCGATTTGAACATGATTGAGTAAATCTTGATCCTTGATCAACTCGAGCTTTTTCCAAACCATTCTTCCTGGAAATTGCTTTGTTTATGAGCTGAATTCGATTTTAATTCGATTTTAATTCGATTTTAATTCGATTTTAATTCGATTTTAAAACTCACCAAAAACCTCTCTTTGATTTAAATCTCTTGTTGTTGTTGCTGTTTCATTTAAATGTTGATCTGAATCTTGTAGCTTTAGGCTACCGGGTGGTGGGATCATTGAACGGCCAGTTATCTGAAAAGTTTGCATTAGATCTATGTTTGTTTTGCATTTAAAGTTTTGTTTTGCAATTTCTATGTTTTTAAAGTTAACAAAGTCATTCAAGAATTGCTAGAATTTAAAGTTAGAGACTAATCTTTATCGATTCGATTTTCAATTTTGAATTGTTGACCTTGAATTGTTGACCTAAAGTTGACTTTGCTTTGAGGCAAACTGATATTTTAGTTACTATTGTTATTATTGAATGATTTGTCTATTCTTATGTAAATGTGATCTCCTTTTGCTTATCCCTTTCATCGACGAGAATGGGCGATCTTTGGGATTGGATCCTTTGGAAGGAGAAGTGAGGAGGGCAAGTGGACAAGTGGACAAGTAGACAAGCTTCACTTGTCCTAGGAGGACAAGTAGACAAGCTTCACTTGTCCTAGGAGGACAAATGGACAAGCTTCACTTGTTCTAGAAGGACAAGTAGACAAGCTTCACTTGTTCTAGGAGGACAAGTTTACTTTTAAACTCACTAAATTAATCATCGGTGGATTCGGGAATGGACCAGTCAGCGGTTCTTTCACTCGACTCGACGCTGGAGGTTTTCGACTCGTTGTGGGCCCTGAAATTGATTTGTATTCGATCTTTGAGAAGAAAAGGATCAAATAGAACTAAGTTATGAGTTGAATTGTTATCCTTTCGTTCTTTTCTATCTTTCCTTTGATACTAATGGCTCCAAATTGTAGCATATTGTAGCATATGATTGGTAAAACATTGCTTAGTCATTTGGCATTGCTTGTTGCTTGCATTGCTTATTCATTTGGCATTGTTTATTGATTAGAAGGCAGCCTCTGTAAGGCGCTAGTGGATAGCAAAAGTTCCGTAAACTATTGTTGGATAGAGAGATTTATTAGAAACTGTACCCGAATCAAAAAATGAATACCCTGGTGGCTCGTTGGACGAGTCCTTCATCGAGGGAGGCTGAAAAAAGCTCAATTAGCGAAAAGTCGCTTGATTGAGTTTAGATATTAAGTCTAAAAATTTGTTTTTCTTAATTGAATTCATTACAGTTCATCGTAGACTTGCTATTTAGCAAATTTATTCATTTTAAAGTTGATCTATGATTCCAGGGTTCTTGGATTTTAGGCGCTTACGACTTGCGGATCTGCGCGTACATTGCGCACGATCACTTTACCAGTAACTCAAGCTAGTGCTCAAGCAAGTTCAAGCTCTAGCTCAAGCTCTAGCTCTAGCTCTAACTCAAGCCACAGCTCAAGCTCTAGCTCTAGCTCTAACTCAAGCCACAGCTCAAGCTCAAGCTCAAACTCTAGCTCAAGCTCTAGCTCAAGCTCTAACTCAAGCTGTAGCTCTAGCTCTAGCTCCAGCTCAAGCTCTAGCTCCAGCTCCAGCTCTAACTCAAGCCACAGCTCAAGCTCTAGCTCCAGCTCCAGCTTTAACTCAAGCTGAATTCATCCATTTAATAGTTTAAACACCAGATAGTGCTACCCTAATCCAGCTTTGAATAAAATTTGTGCTTTTTTTGTAAAAATACCTTCATCCCATGTCGTTTCGAGTATGAATCGGGGAAATTCGAGGTGAAAAATCCCATTCGCGGTATGGGACGCGGTTGATCGTGCCAAATTGATCTAGGAGCATCTGAAAGCAAGATAAAACAAGAGAAAACAAGTCAAAACAAGTCAAAACCAGTTAAAACCAGTTAAAACAAGTCAAAAACAGTTAAAACAAGTCAAAAACAGTTAAAACCAGTTAAAACAAGTCAAAACCAGTTAAAACCAGTTAAAACAAGTCAAAAACAGTTAAAACAAGTCAAAAACAGTTAAAACCAGTTAAAACAAGTTAAAACCAGTTAAAACAAGTTAAAAACAGTTAAAACAAGTCAAAACCAGTTAAAACAAGTTAAAACAAGTCAAAACAAGTTAGAACAAGTTAAAACAAGTTAAAACAAGTTAAAACAAGTTAAAACAAGTTAAAACAGAATACAATATCTAATTTCCATTAAAACTTACCGTATCCTCGATCATCAAAGCGAGAATGAGGCCCGAAATCGTGTCGATTTCGATCAAAATATGGCCGGTAGTTGTCTGGCTAAAGTTTTGACTTTAATTTCTAACTGAATTACTAAATATCTTTATATGTAAATGGAATCTATAAATTGAATGAAACATGCAAAAATTTTCCAATAAACCAACCAATCCAATGGCTGATCGGTTCCATGAAGAGTGACCATTTGGAACAAAGAGGCCAGCTTGACGGAGAGCTTCACGCTCCTTTTTCATCCTTAATTATAAATTTCTAAATGAAAATGGGGGAATATTTATGTCAAAATCTAATAGTTTAAATTCCTAGTTGAAAAATTATACAATCTTTCGTTTAAGAAGTTGAAATCTCGGGTTTTTGAATGAGTCGTCACACTTTGAAGGCCTATAACTTTATCTAGAGACAATATTATTGCTAATTTCTTAGATCATTGCATAGAGGACATTTCAGGCTTTCGAATGATACTAAAAACAGTTTGATTGAACAATCCAGTCCAGTGAAATCAAAGCCAACTCTGAACAAACGAGGTCGATCCAACTCGAGTGATGTTTTATGAGTTTTCATGATAATGAAAAATCCAACCAAACTGTATTTAGTATCATTCGAAAGCCTGAAATGTTTTCTATACAATGATCATAAAAGTTAACAAAAATATTATCTCTGGACAAAGTTATAGGCCTTCAAAGCGAGACGACTCATTGAAAAACCCGGTGACGAGAGCCGACCTTTGAAGGCCTATAACTCTATCCAGAGACAATATTATTGCTAATTTTTTAGATCAATGTACAGAAGACATTTCCGGCTTTCGAATGATACTAAATACAGTTTGCTTGGATCTTTCATTCTCATGAAAACTCATAAAACAGCACTCGACTTGGATCGGCCTCGTTTTTTCAGAGTTGGCTTTGATTTCACTGGACTGGATTGTTCAATCAAACTGTATATAGTATCATTCGAAAGCCGGAAATGTCCGCTATGCAATGATCTAAAAAAATTAGCAATAATATTGTCTCTGGATAAAGTTATAGGCCTTCAAAGTGTGACGTCTCATTCAAAAACCCGGTGACGAGAGCCGAAATCTCTTTGAGGTCAAATTCTTTATTTAGTTGAATCAAAATTAATCAGAATCAACAAATAAACAATAGAAATTGTTTATAAATCATTTTTTCTACAAGATTTACAAGATAGTTTTCCTTTTTTCAATGATTTACCTCACTTTCACTCCTCCTCTCTCTCTTCTTTCTCGTTTTGGCTTCGTTTCGTCATCTGCTTTCGATGAATCCATCGAAAATGCTTTAGAAATTGAATTTGAATTCGATTTGAATATATAAATCATAAAAAGAAAAGAATAAACAAGAAAACGACAGGAAAATTATCAGAAAAAAATGAATTGCTCAGAATAATTGTTAGCAAATTTGGGTAAATTGTCAAATTTTGGCAAATTTTTAGTAATTTTTAGTAATTTTTAGTAATTTTCAATCAAATTCAAGCTATTTTCAATCAAAAAAACCTTCTCTAATATAAATTCTATTTAATTTATATTTAATTTATATTTAATTTATATTTAATTTATATTTAATTTATATTTAATTTATATTTAAATTTAGCTTTATCTATTGTTATTTTAGATTTTTACATTATGTAAGCTTTCCGGAAAAGTCAATTTGGCTTTAGCACGGGAAAATCGACGAGTCTTGAGAGGAAAAAGGCCCATTTTGGCAATGAGCCAATGAAACAAACGTCGATTTTGCGGAAATCTTTATCGATATCGATATCTTAAGAAAATTCATGTTTTTTCCCTTTTATTATCTTAAAGTTTTCATATTTAGTTAACGAATTTTCAGCTAGAACAAATGATTCGCTTCATTTTGATACAAAATCGAGCTGGGAAGACGAGACTAGCGAAATGGTGGGTTTTAAGGAAAGATTGGATAATTAATTCCCTCGTGGAGTGAGAGAATCAAGCATCAAGCACCTTGTGGTGAAATGATTAACACAGTTGCCTGGCAAGCGGAAGGTCTCGGGTTCGAGTCCCAGCGGCGCACAAGCTTTTGCTCTGCCCTAGTTCCAACTGGACAAATGCGTAAGCTATTGCTATTGCTATAAGCTATTGCTATAAGCTATTGCTATAAGCTATTGCTTATTGCTGTCTTTTGCTATCTTGCTTATGATGTCTTCTGCTATCTGACTCTGCTTAAGCTTACTTCATTGTTAAAAAGATATGGTAATTGAATTCTATTTGACAATTTATTCGGTGCTAAATTTAAGGCTTGTAAAAATGAAGGTAATCTCTGTAGCTCTGTAGCTCAGCTCTGTAGCTCTGTAGCTCAGCTCCGTAGCTCTGTAGCTCAGCTCTGTAGCTCTGTAGCTCAGCTCTGTAGCTCTGTAGCTCAGCTCTGTAGCTCTGTAGCTCAGCTCTGTAGCCTGTAGCTCAGCTCTGTAGCTCTGTAGCTCAGCTCCGTAGCTCTAGCTCAGCTCTGTAGCTCTGTAGCTCAGCTCTGTAGCTCTAGCTCAGCTCTGTAGCTCTGTAGCTCAGCTCTGTAGCTCTGTAGCTCAGCTCTGTAGCTCTGTAGCTCAGCTCTGTAGCTCTGTAGCTCAGCTCTGTAGCTCTGTAGCTCAGCTCCGTAGCTCTGTAGCTCAGCTCTGTAGCTCTGTAGCTCAGCTCTGTAGCTCTGTAGCTCAGCTCTGTAGCTCTGTAGCTCAGCTCTGTAGCTCTGTAGCTCAGCTCTGTAGCTCTGTAGCTTATAGGAAAATAAAGCAAATGAATCAAGTACTTGATCTTCTTGAAAAATACTGAAACTAGTATTGTAGACAAATAGAAATTATTCAATTATTCGAATTCTTTAATCCTAAACTATTCAGGTACATGCATTTTGATGATGACGAAAAGCAGAAACTGATCGAGGAGGTGCATGCCTGTGTCACTGTTCGAGATGCGAAGCATACGAATTTCGTTGAAGTAAGAAAAGTTTTGTAGGCTAGACTTGGCTTTATTTCCTTCTCTTTCTTTCTTTTTCTTCCTTTATCTTTCTTCCTTTATCTTCCCCCTTTTATTTCCTTTTTCTCTTCTGGCAAGAAGATATCGGATAGCTCAATGGTTAGAGCATGCAAGAAAGCAAGAAAGCCGAAGAAAGCAAGAAGGACGAGGGTTCAATCCCCTCCGGAACTCTTTCTTTACCATTCCTTACTTTACTACCGTAGCCACCAAAGTCTTGCCAACCCTGTTAAGTCTCATTAATCTAGAGATCTAGGCTCTTGTGTTCCTTGAGCAATGCACAGAGATCTAGGCACTTGTGTTCCTTGAGCAATGCACTTTGAGCAATTTGAAAGAGTTACCGTTAGCTTCTGAAATTGTGTCAAATGAATTTTTCAATTGTTAACCTAATGCTAAAACTAGAAAACTTAGCTCAACAACTTAACGATAGACATTAATAAAATTGTCTATCGTTAAGTTGTTGAGCTCAGTTGAGCTCAGCTCAGTACGGCTACTGGTTGATAAGCCAAGCCAGTTTGGCCAGGCTATGTCAAGCCAGTTTTAAAGCTAGAACTTCTCATTCTTCATTTGAAAAGTCCAAGTCAATCATTTTCAGTTCCGAAACTTCAAAATCGTCTACCGACGCTATGCAGGGCTCTATTTTTGCATTTGTGTCGACATTATGGACAACAATCTTTACTATCTTGAGGCTATTCATAATTTTGTTGAGGTGAGCGGGAAATTCTTCTTCTCAAGCAGCTACAAAATTTTTTGAAGCGGCTTGAGAAGTTTAGAAAAAAGTTTTCAGGTATTGAACGAGTACTTTCACAACGTATGCGAGCTGGATCTTGTCTTCAATTTTTATAAGGTAAAAACTATTGACTAGAGTAGAATAAATACTCTAATAGAAGCTTTAATTACTTTAAAGTACTTTAAAGTAATTAAAGTAATTAAAGCTTCAGAGCCCTTGCCCCACTCAGCTGAATATCTTCTAGTTTTGTGGGGAATTTCAAACAAAAGCGGCAGAGCTTCGTAGCTTTCTTAGCTGCCCAATTTGTTGAATTTTCTCATAAAATTGATTCCTCATCTTGATCTGGATCTGCCTTCTGACCTGACTTTAGGTCTGGCTTCTGGCCTGGATCAGGATTTGGATCTGGAGCTGGCTTCTGGCCTGGATCAGGATTTGGATCTGGATCTGCCTTCTGGCCTGGATCAGGATCTGGATCTGGAGCTGGCTTCTGGCCTGGATCAGGATTTGGATCTGGATCTGCCTTCTGGCCTGGATCTGGATCTGGAGCTGGCTTCTGGCCTGGATCAGGATTTGGATCTGGCTCTGCCTTCTGGCCTGGATCAGGATCTGGATCTGGATCTGGCTTCTGGCCTGGATCAGGATCAGGATCTGGATCTGGAGCTGGCTTCTGGCCTGGATCCCGGCCAGATCCAGATCTAGATCCAGAGCCAGATCCAGGCCAGAAGCCAGACCTAAAGTCAGGTCAAAAGGCAGATCCAGATCAAGATATTCAACTAGAGCTTGGGTGGAGCAGCTCACAACGCGTACGTAGTTTGAAAAAGTCATTTGTCTTCAAACCAAAAATCTAAGCACTAACAATTCTTAAATGATGTCCAACTAAGAGAAAAAAATGCAAAAAGAAAGACAAAATTTCTCGACCTATCAACAAAAAATTGACAAGTCGAAATCGATTCTTTTTGCATTTTTTCTCTTAGTTGGACATCATTTAAGAATTGTTAGTGCTTAGATTTTTGATTTGAAGACAAAAATTTTTGTACTCTCTGTACTTTTTGTGCTCGCTGTGCAGCTCCAATCGAAATTCCAGGTCTATTCTGTGGTCGACGAAATGTTCCTGGCTGGTGAGATCCGGGAAACCTCGCAAACGAAGGTCCTCAAACAATTGTTGATGTTGACTTCTTTGGAATGATTTTTAATCTGTAGCAATATCAAAAAATGTTCGAGTTTCGAAAATCTCTCCTTTCCATCGGAATCCCTATTTTGCTCTCGATTCTATATAAAATAAACATGCAACGGTAGATTTGTCCGGTAGATTACGGTAGATTTGTCCACTTTTTAGCCTGTCATTCCATTCCATGTATAAAATTGTCATATTCTAATCACTTTCCACGTGCTAGTTGCATAATGTTGTACTTATTTTTTGTACTTTTGTATGTACTTTTGCTTCCCAGCTGCCCAGAGTTATTTATTATTTAAGTTATTTGAATAATTTATTGAAATAAAGTGTTTTTCTATGTGGAAAAGGATGAAATGAACGAATTGAGATGTTCAAATGCAACTATCATTTTCAATACCGTGTCTAAAAACTATGAAAACCTTTGAAAAGTCTCAAAAATCATTGCATCATCATTATTTTACAGTTTTCGAGCTTGTTTTTCGGGGGTGGGACAAATGCGGCCTTTTTTTGCGCACCCGGACATTTGCGCACCTTTTTTTTTGCTGGAAAAGGCCTTAGGAAAGGTCGTAGAGCTTCAAAAATGTTTTCATGGAAAGGAATCGTATGCGTAGATTCCGAATTTCGACAAATCAGACCTCGCTGACACGTCAAATTTGGGCTAAAAGGCAAAAACTACGCAACTTAACGCTTTTCCGCAGTTTTTGCCTTTTAGCCCAAATTTGACGTGTCAGCGAGGTCTGATTTGTCAAAATTCTGAATCTACGCATACGATTCCCTTCTATGAAAACATTTTTGAAGCTCTACGACCTTTCCTAAGGCCTTTTCCAGCAAAAAAAAAGGTGCGCAAAAAAGGCCGCACTTGTCCCACCCCCTGTTTTTCAGTTTTTTTTTGATCTTTTAATAAATTTCTCGTGCTTAACTTTGCAATTTTCCATTTTTAGGCCCTTTTGCAGTAAGCTGTATGTCGGAACAAGCATCGACTCATTGGGCTAAAGATCATCAGGTAAATTTTCTAAGTCTAAAGTGTTAGCTGGATACTTAACCTTGATTTAAATGTTTGAATCTGCACTCTACACTGAAAAGTCTACCTAAAAATGTTCAGTATAGACTAAACGCTTTGTTTAAGCTCAATTTGTTATTGAAAAGGTTTTAAATATTATGAATTGGTCCAGAAAGCTGGCTGTTTTAGGTATAAAGCTTAAATATTTCTATGATAGATTAAATGTTTTGAGCTTAAACTTTTAATAACTTTGTTGGTTTAATAGTTTGGGTTTTAATAGCTTTGTTTTAGGAAGAAGATCGAGTCGAACAATTGATCAAGAAGACGGGTTGCTGGGACGCGCACCTCGGAGTGGTTGATTGTATGGGAGAGCAGCGCGATTGGCGCAAGTGTCAGGAACAAGTACTTATTAGACTTGCTTATCGATATTATCGATACAAACGGTATGCTCATGTTTGACCGTTCAGATCTCGCTTTCTAAAACAGCTATTAATCTGAAAATTGTTTCATTGGAAAGTCAAGAATGTCAGCATTTAATTGCTATTTTATACATAGCGACTTTTAATGAGTCTAACCTCATGAACCTTATTGATCCTTATCGATCCTTATCGATAAGCTTATCGATATTTGAGTATCGATCAGTATTGATAAACTTTTTAAGACAATCATCTATGTGTAAGATAGCAATTAAACGCTGACATTCTTGGCTTTCCAATGAAAGAGTTTGCAGATTGATAGCTGTTTTTGAAACCGAGATCTGAACGGTCAAACATGAGCATACCGTTTGTATCGATAATAGCGATAGGCAAGTCTAGTACTAATCACATACTTATTCGATACTTATTTGTACTTATTTGATTTTTAATGAAAACCTAATCAATATTGCTATAATCTAGCTAGA